TTTTATTTTTTAATGGTAAATTGTTGAGCAATTTTTGTTGTTGTTGTTTATCTGGTTGTTTAGAATCACCTTTAAAAAAGAAAAAAATTTTAGAGAAAAGAAATTTGGTTTGTGAGACGAAAACAGCATAAAGGGCATGGTCATACAAAGAAAAAGATAAAAGTTAAGATCAAGATGTTTGGATTTTTCCCAGAACATATTCCGGAGCCGGCTCGGCAGGAGTTAAGATTTTTGAATCCCTAAAGCGGAAGCCCATCCCCGATATGTAACTCAATAATTTAAGTTCTTTTGAAAATTAAAAAAAGAATTCCAAACCGATTTTGTCACCCTCCTCTTTTTGATCTTCTCCTAAAGGAAAAGTCTTAGACCCTACAAAGGTAGAGCTAGTAGATGTATCATTATTATTCTCATTATCAGATTCACACGTATCACTTTGATTAATAATTATTTTTGCTGCATCATCAGATCGACGATAACGTGAATGGTGTTGTTGAGAAGTTGAGGACGTTGTTGTTGTTGAGATTCTTTATAGAAAAATTTTTCATTAAAAAATCCAAAAAGAAAACCTGTTTTCCATTTTTGGTTCATGCCTCAAACCTTCCCTATTAAAATTGTTGTCCTTCTGATAAGGAGATAAATGTTGAGAATATTTAATTATCATTGCTGCACAACACCAACCTTCCGCAGCGGCTTAAAAAAGGGAAAATTTTTAATAAAAAATTTAATAAAACCAGCAAGCCAAAGCATATCTTGTGTAGATTTGAGCAATTCAATGGCAGAATGGTAAGAATTAAGAGCCCCTTCAAAATATCCAGTTAAAAAAGCATAATCGGCAAGCCTTTTGCGTAAACGTCCAATACATTTTTTCCTGTAAAAAAATAATTCTTTTAAAGAAATTTTTAAGGAAACATCAAGAAATCTTAATTTAAGGTCTCAAATGTTTAAGTGATTTTCCAAGTGAAAGACAGTGGTGGGTATTAAGCGTTTTGTGGTTCCGTCCTCTTTCGAATCTTATGTTAGTTTTGACCCGAGGTTTTAAATCTTTGCTATCGGAGTCGTTGGCTTTGAGAGAAGGCTCTGGCCAGAGCAAAGATTTTGAAATGACAGGACCCGAAGCTACGAGTTGAAAAAGGTAGGAGCCAGAGCAAGAAAAACACAGAAAACCAGGTGACGGATGAAGAAAATCACAAATATTATTCCCAATCGCTCAAACAATTCAAACCCCCCCCCCCCCCCCAACGAACAACCAACCAAAAATTAAAAGAAAAAACAAACTTATGATTTTTACTTTTGACATTATCAATTCCCATCAAATATTTTTCTTCTTCTTGCAATAAAATATAAGGAGGAGAATCCATTCTTTCAAAAGAAGTATCCAATCTTTTACTGTCCAAAACAACGTAAATACTTCGAAGTAAATCTCTTGTACAAGCTTCTAATTGATCATAAAGTAAAGAAATATCATCAGAACGAGGAAATGAAAGAATTTCTGTTGAATTTTGACTCTGAAAAAAATTTTTTTTTAAAAAAGAAAAAGTTTTGAAGGTTAAACCGAGCTAAATCCAAAAAGAACACATCGTGAGTCAACTAATTGATCGTTGAATTCTTGCTGCAAAGAGAATTTTTTTAGAAAGGAAAAAGTTTTCTTGCGGAAAAAAATCAACGGACTTTTTGTGAGTTAGTTGGTACGTTCCATTATTTGCTGACTCGAACACCAACAGGGCGTCTGGCATTCGCTAAGTCATAGCTCTGTGCCAACGACTGACCCTTGGATTGTTGTTCAGCCCAGGATCTGTGACCATTCTAAATCCAAAGAGAAAACCCCGAGCTAACCAGAGCCTATCCTAAACAGTCACAACCTCCCAGAGTCGTGATAAACGAAAATATTCCCAAAATCCCAAGAAAACTTCCTAATAAGAAAACTTTTAAAAAACCTTCAATTTTTGATATTCCTGTTTTAAAATATTCATTTGTTTTGCCTCAGGGTCACTAGTTTGTTTATCGTCTCCTTCCCCCTCTTCATTTTTTAAACTACAATCGGGTTCAAGAGAAGCCATTTTTGCAACAGAAGATCTCCTAATTTCTTGATTATAATTATTTTCATTTGGCGAAAGATTTGGAGAAGAAGCAAATGAAGAATTTAAATAAAATCCATTATATTGACCAATACAAATTAATCCAAAAATTTTGCGAAAGGCCTGTAGTTAATTAGAAAAAGTAAAAATATTTAATTAAATTCGGACCTCACTATGAGATATCCCCACCTTTTAGATACGTATACATATCTAAAAGTTGAGTGGCAACTCACACTCAATTTAAGGGACCCACAAATTTACAGTATCCCCCACTAAAAGATACCCACTGCCGTGATAGATAGACCTGTTTATGATACACTTATAAAAAATTTGTTCACCCGAGTGTCCTCAATTTAAGGTACCCAACTTATACAACAACTCCTTATAAAACAAGATTTAACCAAACCCAAGAGTACCAAACCCCGAGGGGACTTAATTGTATAACAAAGAACTCCACCTCGAGAAAAATAACTAAAATAAGCAAGGAAACCTGAAATTCTGCAAATTTGGCAAGATCGGGATTTACTTGTTGAATAAATTTAGGAAAGATTAGCCTTCTAATGCTTTTACTCGTTAAAACTAAAAATCATTCAAAATCTTATTTAAACGTCCAAAAAAACCTTCTACACCGCATAATTTATTTTCCAATTTTTTGAGCAATCGGTCAAATATTGCTGAGGGGAATTGTCCAATAGGATTTACCTAAAAATTTAAACCTCAAAAATTTTTTTCCAAAAAAATTAAATAAAAAACCAATATTTGTACACGACAGTGGTCTGCAGGCGTTGGTAGAGCATATTCCATTATACAAATAAATATATTGATTAATTAATAATTACTAGAAAAATTGATTAAATAGAAAAATCAATACGTTTAAAAATAAATTAATGTTTCAAACAATAGAAAAACAAAAAAATTTAAAAATCAAAAATTTTAAAAACAACATGAGATCAGTTAAAATATATAAAAGTTAGAAAATAAAATAAATTTGGGTCAAAAAATTTTTTTTAATAAAAAAAACTTGACCAAATATATTGACCCAAACGAGACCTAAACGACAAAAAATTAACACTGACCTAAATGAGACCTAAATAAATTAACGAAAGATCATTAAGAAAAATAACAGAAAGAAATAAATATAAATTAAATTACTACAAAAAAATTTAATCAGATGAAGAAGAATCATCAAATTCTTTTAGACAAATTGCTTCATTTTTATTTTTTAAATTATTTGAAATTCCAAATTGTTCTGTTAATAAAAATTATTTTTTTTGATAATTTGCCAATTGGTGATAAAAGAAAGATTAAGAGATATACCCAATTTAAGGCAACTCTCAATGAAAAATCTCACTATCAAGTAAGAGATTTTTCAGTAAGAGAGATCCTATAGCGAAGTTTTCAACCACAATTTAAAAATAAATAAAATTTATACCAGAATATTCCAAAAACATCCTTCTAAATTCATTTAAGCAATCACTAACACCTCCTTCTCCTCCACGATTTTTTCTTCTTTTTGACATTTTGACAGGACTAAATCTTCCATTTTGTTTAAAACATTTTTGGTTATCATCATGTTGTAATAATATTTTTTTAATTAATTTTGATTTTTGTAGCCTTTTAAGTTCATTTTTATTCCAATAAAAAATCAAGAATTTGATAAAAATAAATGTTGCAAAAAATAATGAAAGCCAAACTATTATGGAAGGCCAGGCTAAAAATATAAAAAAAGAATTTAAATTTTTACAAGCGTATAGATCTAAGCCTATGTTATCATATTTTAAAAGCCCAACCCCCGCATTTTTGGATAAACCCCTGTATTGAGTTAACTTAAAAGGCCGGTTTAGCACTTATTAAAAAATGAAAAAAGAAACCGAAAAAAAGTGGGAATTTATAAAAGACGGAATTTTCTAAAATATTGGACCGCTTTAGGAATAGAAAAACTGTTTCCTCGAAAAAAAGGGAGAACGCAAAATTCCAAAAACTAAATTTAAAACACTTTAAAAAAACCTTACAACAGTCTAAATTCCTTCCATTATTCATTATTTTAATAAAAATATTTGGCATCCAAAAATCATCACAAATACAACTTTTAGTTAAATTATCACATTTTCCATGTCCAGAACATTTTTTACAATCTAAAATTTTTAATAAGTAATTTAATATTTAAAAAAAGTTTTTACAATAAGGGCTGATTTGTATAATGCCAAAATGCTTCTGAAAAGTCAAATTTGCTTGTAATAATGAAATAATTTGTTCTCCATCAAAAATATCTTTAAAAAAATTAAAAAAATAGACTTTTTTAGATAAGCTAATTTTAAAAAAAAACTGCTTTTGGTTAAGTGGGATAAATTTTGGTTTGTGGGAGAAGACGAGGTGGGTTCGATACTTCCCATAGAAAAATAATTTAAAAAAAGCAGAGCTCATTTTCCGATGGTGTGTTTCGAACCAACGTCTTTTTTGGTACTTTATGGATATGTCACCCCCCCTCCTATTTTGAGTCTCAGAGTTTTCCTTAAACGTAGAAAATGGTCAGAGATTATTTTCTTCTCCATGTCAATCATTTTGCCTTCTTCAAGTATTTTGCTTGTTTATTTTGCCTTTTTCACATATTTTGTACTTACATTTCACTCATTTCGTTTCTCCATTTACCACATTTCACTTGTTTTGCTTGGAAAAAAGAAAAATGATTGACATGGAGAAGAAAATAATCTCTGACCATTTTCTACGTTTAAGGAAAACTCTGAGACTCAAAATAGGAGGGGGGGGTGACATATCCATAAAGTACCTCTTTTTTATATGAAATTTCAAAATTATCCCACTTAACCAAAATGTAAAATTTTTTTGGTTAAGTGTGATAATTTTGAAATTTTATATAAAAAAACGTGGGTTGGATACACACCATCGGAAAATATTTTTAAATCATTTTTAATAAAATATTAAAAAATTAAAACCTTCATTTTTTGACTGTTTTGTAACATAAAAATAAAAAGAAGTAACAGCATTTCCAAATAAAGTTGCCTCAGAAGAAAAAATTTTTGTAAATTTAACCAAAACAATGTTATAATTTAAATCTTCGTCTTCCTGTTGTTCCGATATTTGTTCAATTTCACTTGACAATTCAGTTAAATATTTAAAGGTAAAATTATTAAAGGATGAGATTAATTCTATTAGATTTTCTTCAGCAGAAGTTCCTATAAATTTTTGATATAATTAATATTTTATGGACACAGATGTTGCGGACAGATAGATATTTGCGGCAGAGTTACAGACAGCACTTTCGGATCCTACCTCAATCTTTCCTAACTTATACATCTTTTATACCAAGCATAGCTCCTGTCCATCATCTCTTATCCACTCATCCAACAAGCCTCGTAAATTGCTTTGACAAATTTCAAAAGCCATTACCAATCTGAAATTCTATTAAAAGATTTTTAATTCTCAAGCTATGCTATTTAATTCAGAAGCTATGCAGGAGACGGCTTAGTATAATGGATAACAAAGGTGTCGGACAACTGATGATTGGTTTATCGGTTTTTCTATTTTTTTTGAAACTGGTTCGATGCCAGCCATATTTGCATCATCTGAAGAAATAGCTATAGCCCAGTTCAACTTTACTTAACAAAGATATTACAAGTTAGTTTTAGAAACAATTCCAAAATTATCTAGTACAATCAAACTTCGAAAAAATAAATTAACAACAAAAAATATTAAATCAATATTTAATCCGATTCCTCCACCATTTCAGGGTACTCATCGAAAAATTCCCCCATAATTTCATCATAGTCAGCCTCATATGAGCAACCAAGCTGCGGCGAACTTGAAAGTGAAGGCACTGGAGAAAGGAGTGGCGGCAGCTGGCACATTTCCTTCAACATAGCCTCAATTGGCGGTGCTTAGTGGTCAATCTGTAAATAAAAGGTAATCTTTAGCTTACTTAGAATTCAAAAATGTTAGAACTCACATTGTAAACAGACTCAACGATTGCATTGACGCAATCCGAGATCTGCTGATTGAAGTGGTGTTGACGACTTGCAATCCATTTGGTGTTCTTTGCGGCCTTTTGCCCAGGGCTTTTCTTTTTCTTCTTTTGCAATTCCAGCTGCCCTGGCTTTACAGTCTTCTCAAAACGCCGCAGAGGAGCCTTCTTTCCTTTGGCAGGAACGGCAGTTGCGTAGCAAGTCTCGGAATCGCCTTACTGTTGACTTCTTGTTTGCAGCTATAGGAAATTGATAGGGCCTTAAAATGAAATAAAAAATGAAGAAAAATCAATAAACTACTTACTCATATTTCACCCTCTACTCTCATCGAGCACTCCGGGTTTATGCGGAGGCGCGGAGATGGTGATTTCGCTGCAGGCAGAGTCTTGCCTTCAAGTACCTCTGCCTGAGCTTGAGCCAATCATTTAACCTTCTTCATTCCAGTAGAAGTAAACCTGAAAAGTGAATTATCAGCACTATCTACCCTGAGTCACCTAAAAGCCAAGCTAAGGTCACCTAAAAGTCAAGCCAAGGTTAGCATAAAAACCTTTACCTTTTTTTCTGCGTTTTCGGCCGATGTTGAACAATTTGAACAGCTGGAGCATCCTTAACCACAGCTACGGGCACATATTGGCCACTAAGCACTTGCGGCGCATCGTTTGCAGGTGTACCACTAAAAAGGAAACAGAAGGTAAACTTGTGCCTTCTTTACTTTGGCCTTAAAAGTAAAGAAGCACAGGTGCCTTCTTTACTTTGGGGGGAATTGATAGGCCTTAAAATGAATAAAAAATAAAAAGTCAATAAACAACTTACTCATATTTCACTCTTTCGACTCTCATCTAGCACTCCGGGTTGATGCGGAGGCGTGGAGGAACGGAGATTTAGCATCAGGCAGTCTTGCATGCCAGTACCTCTGCCTGCACTTGAGCCAAATGTTTGACGCTCTTCATTCCAGCAGAAGTGAATCTGAAAAGTAATATTAGTACTAGTAACCTAAGTCATCTAATTGTCAAACTAAATCACCTATAAGTCAAGCTAACAGACACATGAGTCAAGTTAACAGTCACCTATAAATCAAGTTAACAGTCACCTATAAATCAAGTTAACAGTCACCTATAAGTCAAGCCAGTTATTACCTATATGTCAAGTTAGCATATCAACCCTTACCTTTTGTTGAACATCTTTTGTTGAACATCTTGACCAACCGGCGCATCCTTAACAATAGATGCTGGCAAGTATTGGATCCATGCCCTTGCACATTGTTGTTAGGTGCCACAACGTTTTGAGTGACACTAAAAAGAAAACATAAGGTAAACTTACATTAAAAACTTACAATTTTTTTGGCGACGTTGCTTTTTAGGAGCAGTTGGGCGGCGGTTTCTATTGTAAAATAAAGGTTTAATGTGCTTGTGAGAAGCTTAGGAAAGCTGAAAAATGTCTGTAACGGTTTGTCCGCAAATAAAGAAAATAATTTTTGGTTTCAAGACGGAAATTAAAAAAACAACATAAACAAAAAAGAAACGCGAACCTCCAGAAACAACTAACTTAACAATTTTTGTATCATTAATAGGTGAATGATCATTCCATATAGACAAATTAAATCGAAAGACACCAGGAACCAAGTTAGATAGAAAAAGTTTTGAGTCGTCTAATGAACTTCCACTAAGCTTACAAAAAATATTATTTAAATTATTAGAGGAATAGTATGTTTTAAAGAAATATTTATTTTGTCCGCAAAAATATTTGCGGACAAATATTTCAAAATTAAAAAAATTTCAGAAAAAACCATTTCAGCAGGCAAATTATCTTCAGGAATCCATTTAAAATATTTAGCATTTATTGACTTTTCTGCATTTAAACACACAAAATTTGAAGGTAATGTAACATTTAGGTTTTCAACTTTGGCAATAGGCAATAAATTGTGGTCATAAATTGTTAAATTGTGTTGTTTATAGCCAGAAACTGTAGAGTTTGATATTGAAATGGCAAAATTGATAAATCCTGCTTTTAACTAGTTAAAAAATAAAATATTTATATGAAGAATCGTAACGCGTCGTGCAAAAGGCCGTAATGCAAAACCCTCAATAGCCGCCGAAATGGCATCCCCAGACATAAGGCCTCAGCGAAAAAAGTTTTTGCAGCTGCGGAGGAAGTCGGGCATGTCGAGCGGACCTGTGTGAACCTACGGCTCCTCTAACTAAAACTCGAATTGTCCAACCAAACCAAAAAATTAATTCCACTAATAATTCGAGGGGATCCTCACACTTTTATATTTTCAGGTAAAGATAACAGCTTTTTAATGTCCCTAACAGTCTTTTAATTAAAAAATTTTTCCCCAGAATTTTAATTAAAATTTTTAAACAAACTATTTTCATTTTAAGTGTCCTTGTTTTAATTCCAGAAAATTGTGCATATTCCTTCCCACTTTTAACAGTCCATTCAAATATCCAATTGCTTCTAATTCGATCCTCATATTGATGGAAATGAATATCAAAATAAACTTCTGTTTGGTTTAAATAACTTATTGAAGGGCCTTGAATTGAAAATTTGTCAAATTTTTTTGAGACTTCACACATTGCAATATTGCTAGCGAAAATAAAGCCTTCAATACACATACAGATTCGAGTATCTTTCTAAAAATAATTTAATAAAATTTATTTGGATTTTTAAAGGAAAACCCAGAAAATCCTTTAAAAATTTGGGATTTGATTTTGAGAATATAAACAGTCCACTTTCGGATTTTCATAAATGTCCGCAATTTTTATCTGCGCCATAAAAAACAAGGCTAGCGAATTTCCTCAAATTAGTGAAGTAATAGCTTTTTGGTTTAGTGGGATAATTTTGAAGTTAAAGATAGAGGAGACGAAGGTTCGATACCCAACAAGGAAAAATAATGTAAAAAATGTTAATTTTTGCGCTTAAAATAGAAAATTCAATTTCTACATGTAAAAATATTTTTAAAAATTTTAGCGGACCCCACACCTGAAAACTCCTATCAACCAAATAATCCAACCCAAAATAAAAAATAAAATCAAAACAAACCTCGCAACGCATTTCATTAGGGCAATTAAAATCAGTATTACATCCTTCATTGTGCAAATCACTATAAGTTGATAAATTAAGCAATTTGTCGTTGTGAGCATTGATGAGTTTGAAGATAAATAAAAGAGGGGAATATTCTAACAAAAATAATAAAAACATTTTTCTAAAAACTGAAATGTAAAAGTAAAAAATAAAAATGAAATTAAAAATAATTTTTGTTATGAAAAACAAGTAATTTAAACGGCTCATGACAAAAAAAAATTTAAAAAAATTTATTTTTATTAAAACAAGAAAGATAAAAAAGGGAATTATCCCTTTTGTCTAAATAACAATTTTGCGGACAAAAGTTGCGGACAAAAACTATATGAAAATTAACAGCATGGCCTAGTTAAGAAATTTTCGTAAACCATTGGCACCAGCATTTAAATTAGTTTGAAACGCAATAAACTCAAAAACCACCTCCAGAATTTTTAAATAAAAATTCTAAAGGGTCATATATTTCCGCAAAATTTTTTTATCCGCAAAACTGACAGTGGAGTAGAGATCGAGCTGGGTCTGGAACAAGGCCTGGGTTTTTCGTGTACCCAGAATCCAGCCACAGGCATTTTTTAACTTTCATAGGTTTTTCCTGGACTACAGGCCCAGGATCCGACCCAGGCCAATAAATCAAACCAGAGCCCAGGCTTTTCAAAAATCACGGCTCTACAGGGAAGGGATAAGCACCAAAAAAAATTAAAACAAATCAAAATAAACTTTCTCTTTTTATATTTTTCTCAATTCAATTCTTTCCATATAATAATCAGTTAAAGGAGCCGTTGGAATTATTTTCGATTTGAACAAAATTTCTGAAGAATTTTTTTGTGAAATTTCAGCATTCGTTAACTTTAAAAATTTTAAATAAATTTTTTTATTTAAAATTAAAAAAACCAAATTTTCCAATTCCTTGTATAATATTTGTAAAGATTCAATCATTTTAGAAGAAATGGTTCCATTAATTATTTCAGCACAACAATCCATAAAAACCAAAGTAAAGTCAAGCAACTTAAAAAAATAAATTTTAAAGGGAATATAAAGAAAAAATCGTTTAAAAATCATCAAAGGAAATCAGTCTTTATCCAGAAATTGAAGTTGGAGAAATTGAAATTTAAAATTATCTTGTACTCGTAATTCCCCGTGCAACCCCCTCTTCCAGCTACTCGACATAGGTTCAAGACGTAATTTTGGTAAAAGCTTCGAGACACTGGTTGGAACTGAAGAAAATCTAGAAACTAAATCATTCACTTCACCTGCTCGAATTTATCGAGAGGTGGGTCGGAACAGCCGAAGACGTTAAAAAACTAACACTCTGAATTCTACAAACTTAAAAAAAGCCGTAAATTGAGGCCCATCCCAACCCTCCTTTTTGGTGATTTCCCAGTCCTCTATTTTCCCATCCCTCTAACTAAAAAAAACAAAAATACCCTTTCAAAATTCGTTCCTTCTTCATTTTTTACAATGCTTTCAATTAAAGACTTTGCCAAATCCAAAATAACATCCTCCTCCATTTTTTTCAAATTATTTAACAAATATTCTTTCAAAGGAAACTGCAAAAATTGTTTGCCAGAAATTAGAGATTCCATTGAAAATTGTTCGGAACTTAAATGGTTTGGGTATGCTTTTTATTTACCCACGCTCCTTTTTCCCTTTTCCATCATCAATCAATCGCAGTCCTCTCATCCTTATTTTAACTTTTTATCTTGTTAAATTAATTCTAGGATATGGAAGATCTCAAAAAAATTTTTTACTATTTGTGAGTTATTTCGTCCAATAAATAAGCCAGGTGAAGAATTTTTGGAATGGCCCAGGGAAAGAAAATTAATTCGGATCAACCGGTTTTGTGAGTGTTAGAAATGAGTCAGGTTTAGAAGAATGATAGAAAATGCCTCCTATGGAAGTGTAATAGTGGAAAAAATCACCAGGGTAAACAACCAAGAAAGGACTGAATTTTAAAGTTGATTGATGTTGGGAAAGAAAAAAAGCGCGTGGCTAAAAAAAAGCATACCCAAACCATATAAGCTCCAATTGTTCATCAAATTGAGCCACTCGATCATTTTTATTGGAAAAAAGTTGAGGAAGTTGTTGAGAAAGTTGTTCAATTGAATAATTTTTTGACTGAGTTGGATAAATTTGAAAACCATCAAAAACTGGAATTGTGGACATTTTCTAAATTTCTGAAAAAAACGAAAAAAATTGGCTTTGGATTAGAAGTCATTTTGGAATGTAACGTCCTACAAAGGTGTTATTTGGTTTACAAGTTTTATAGACCTGTCTTCGTTCCCGTAACAGTTCTTAGTGTTAGAATCATAGGATGAGCGAAGTTGAGAAAAATGTTGGGAAATTTTTTTTTGAAAATCTTGTTAGGATAGATAGAAAGTCGGAAAGCCCAGATTTTGGGCAGCCAGACTAGTCCCTACAAGAAACCTAGGCTTCCGGGATGAGCCGGCAAACATTAAAAAACCTTAAAAAACCCATTAACACCTTCATAGGTCGCATACATTCTCAAAAGACTAAAAGTCCCATAAAAGGACAAAATAAGGAAAAATTTAAAAAATATAAAATTGAAAGAAACAAATTAAAAATAAACCAAAAATTTAGAATTTTTTTAAAATTTATTCTCCTTCAAATCCAAATTAATATTTTCAAAAAATGTCCAAGCCAAAACCCATCTAAATGTTCTTCCTTGAGTTAAGGTAAAAATTTTATAATTTGAAATTTTCTTCTCTTCCATATAAAATTTTAATTTCTTTAAAGTTGATCTTTTTCCAATCATTGTTGTGTAGATTCTTAAATTTAAAAAATAATTTTTAAAAAATATTTTTGAAAAAAAAACCTTGTCTTTAATGGATGTTGCCGACTTTCTTCTATCATTTGACAAATAAAATTGAATTCGCCTCCCTAAAAAACAAATATTTTGAATAATAAAACTTAAAAGAATCGTGATCAGGAATGTGAAAAGGATCAGAAATGTAGAGCCAGGAAATATTCTCTCATTTCCTTCCCCGGGATAAGTGCTAAGGATGTCATAAGTCACTCTCATATGGATCGAGTTGAGAAGAAAGTCGAAAGTCAGGATCGGGTCACAATTTATTCAATCGGGTTTCGGAATAATCTGGCCTATCAGAGCATAGATCCACTTATTTTTGTCAAAAACAGAGTCTAAAAAATTTAAAAAAAGGACGTCACATACGAGACAGCGATGTCACATGTCTCACTCAAATGGATCGAGATGGGCCAAGTCGAGAAAAAATCGATTATCGGGACGGGACTTCAAATTTTTTCAATCGGATTTCGGAATAAAATGACCTATCTGGGCATAAATCTACTTATTCTATTACTGTCAAAAACAAAGTCTAAAAAATCTAAAAATACTTTATAAGCAATTTCTTCAGCTATAGCAGTTGTTCCAGAGCGCGGTTGACCTCTACTTCTATTTGGTAGATTTTGTAGAGAAACATCTCCAATTGATGCAAATTTCTAAAAAATACTAAAAATCGAGTAAAATTCAAAATAAAACTTAAAAACCTTTTCAGCCTCGTTAAAATCAAAAAATGGCGGATTGCAAACAGAAAAAGCAAAAATTGTTGACTTGTATTCGGGTAGGTCAAAAATTGTCTAAAATAACTAAAAAAATTTGAAAAAATTGCCAGAAAAACCTTAAAGAAAGACCCATCTTCTACATTGATCAGACAAACAAGGGCTTCCAAAGAATTATTTTTCAAGTTTTCCTTTGCCATTTGAAGTGATTCATTACAAATATCGGTAGAAACAAATTTCCAATTGTTTAGAGAAGCACCAAGTAAAGAGAATATACAAAGAGGACCAGTTCCTAAAAATAGAAGAGGGTAAAAGTAAGATCAAGCGAAAATGAAATTTCTAGACTTCTGGCTACGGGCCTGTCTGTAGGAAGAAAAAACCCAATTAAAGTGTTGGTATTAAATCTGGATTCTCATGAAAAATGCCCAGATCCAGTACCATAAAAAATTTTAGAAGCTCAAAAATACCCCATACTTGTTTATTTACTAATTTAAATATTTAAACGAGCAAAAATAAATCCGTTATCGACAACCGGTCTCGAACCATAGACCCCTCCAACGGATTGTTCAATCAAGTAACCCACTTTACCACAAAGAAACAACAACCTTATTCGTTTTTGGATAACTACAACGGGCTCCTACGCTAGAATGTTGTGTGACAGACTCAAATCTTAACAGAAAAAAGTTTAAAAAATACCAATATCAATCCCGACAATTTCCTCCTCCCTCAATCCATTCAAATTAACCAAATCCTCAACCAGCAACAAATAATTTAATCTTTGTGGAACACGTGGGACTAGTACACCTTTAGGTATTGACACATTTAATTCAAAATATTCACTCAAAAGAATTTCTGTAAATGAACGAACAGCTTCTGTAGACGAGAAATCAATGCAGACCTTTAAAAATTTTTTACAACCAAAAAATTTAACAAAAGAAACCTTTCCATTCGCCCCCACAAAACATTTTTTTCTCAGTTGAGGATATTTTTTGGCTAATTCTTCGTGATTTGGGGGACGTATTTTGAAAATATTTCGTTGATGCATAAAAATCAAAAAATAAAAATGACGAAAAATTTACGTGCCCGCTCAACTCATCGAATCCTTAACTCATCGAATCGACCAAAAACGCTCAACTCATCGAATCGGCTAAAATTCCTTAACTCATCGAATCGGCCAAAAACACTCAACTCATCGAATCCTTAACTCATCGAATCCTCAACTCATCGAATCGGCCAAAAACGATCAACTCATCGAATTTTTCCAAAAGGGGACGTTTGAGTCCCCTGTTTTTATTTTTCTTCCGAAAGGGCTAACTGAATCTTCGTTGAAAAAATTTTTTGCTGCTATGGAGGCTAGGAAAAAGGGCTTTTGGGCATAATCGGGGTCTACTGGACTAATTTGGTCCGGTTTTACCCGGTAAAATCTCCAGCATAATTTATTAGGAATGAGATAATGTTTTCAGGAATGAGATAATGTTCTGATAATGTTTTCACTGGCCGGATAAACTTGGATGAGTGCCCGATCAACTAAATAACAAAATTAGTTGAAACCCCAGAAGAAAACAAAAAAAAATAAACAAAACAATAAAAAATCTAAAAAATAAACACGGGGACTCAAACGTCCCCTTTTGGAAAAATTCGATGAGTTGATCGTTTTTGGCCGATTCGATGAGTTGAGGATTCGATGAGTTAAGGATTCGATGAGTTGAGTGTTTTTGGCCGATTCGATGAGTTGAGGATTCGATGAGTTAAGGATTCGATGAGTTGTAGGGTAGCCAAAATTTAAGCTAACCGTCTTTCTTTTAACTATCTAGCTATTTTAATTGTCTTTTTCTATAGCCGTCTCTAATTTTTACAAACTCTTTTTATGAATATTCAGACTTTTCGCCGGCTCCCATACAAAATCTCTATTCCTTAAAATCGCTATTCCTTAAAATCTCTACTAGGGTAAAAATGCTTAAAATCTCTATTCTTTAAAATAACTATTCCTTAAAATCTCTACTGGGGTAAAAATAATTAAAATCTCTACACCGTGCAAATGGACGGTAGAGTCTCAACAAAAGTGTAAAATATGAACTATTCATTGGAAAACCCAGACTTGGTAATGGATACGGATACAATTGATTTAAAAATGGCTGCGGATATCTGCTTGTATCCGCTGTAAATATCGAAGATATAATACACGACTGCTTCGCTGCGGTCGTGTTCATTTTGCTTGCGGTGATCGTATCGAAGCGGCTGCTGTCGTTCCGCTGGACATGCCTGGGTTCATCCGCAGCGGCAAAAACAATACAAACAAAATAATATCAAAAGATAAGCCATAAATCAGAACAACGTTTCCGCACTGAACGTTGGCACTCAAAAGGCTTCCGAATGAAAAAATAGATATTTTATCCTATTTTTGGCCGTGTAGAGATTTTAAGGCATTTTACCCTTGTAGAGATTATGAGGAATAGAGATTTTAAGGAATAGTTATTTTAATCATTTTTAGCCGAGTAGAGATTTTAATGCATTTTAGCTGTGTAGAGATTATAAGGCATTTTAGCCCAGTAGAGATTTTAAGGAATAGAGATTTTGAGGGGATACGCTTTTCGCCAACTGACTTTTCGTCAATTCTTGTCGCGACTTTTTGCCAGCGGATTTTTGGTCTAACAACTTTTTGTCCAAAGACTTTTCATCTACTGACATTTCGTCAATGTACATTTAGTCAATGAATTTGACACTTTCCTCCCGTTGCTTCTTACCAACCTTCAGCAAACGTCTCATTCCTAAAATTTTCTAACTCGTAAAATTTGTCTAATTTTCATACGCTAAAATCCATAATAAATATCTACTATATTTAATTTAAAAATAAGAATTATTTTTTAAAATTATTATTGTGTATACAAAAATATTAGAATTTAAAAATTAATTGTAAATAAAGTAAAAAAGAATATACTAAACTTTTTATCCTCAAGTCATCCCAGCTTTGCTTAAATTTTTTTGTAAAACAATATCACAGGTTGCACCAAACACAAATTCTGAAAAAATGGAATAAGCCAGACCTCATTTTATGATAATCCCTTGGAGATGGAAAAATCGCCTTATAATGAGAGGGGTTGTTTTTTGTTACCCCCCCCCTCACACACAGTTGCTACCTCTGATGCCCAGTAGCCCCCACAAAAAGGCTTGCCTACCCAATAACTAATTTAAGGGGTATCTAAGGACCTAACCCAGCTATAAAATAAAAAAGAATACCAATATTTTTAGTATCCGTAGCGTTTGTAACGTGTGCATAAATATGTCTGTTACTTTCTGGTTCTTTTACCTAAAAAAGTTTGGGAATTTTTTTAATAAAATTTAAAAAAATTTTTACGTTCATAAACATTTTTTTAATAAATTCAACAGCTTCTCCATATTGATCATCTATTGTGATATTTACTAGGCATTCTTTAAAAAAATAAATAAATTTTTTGGTTAAAAATCGAAAAAATGACATTTGCGGACAAAACTTGCGGACAAAATCGAATTTTATTAAAATGGGATAAAATGTCTCCTGTTACATGTTTAATCTATAACTAAGCATTTCGACTCATTTTGAGACTTTATTGAACATAAAAGAGTAAAAAAAGCTTATGTCAGTGTCCGCAAGTGTTTGTCCGCAAATATCATTTTTTCAATTAATTGATAAAAATTTACCTTCAAATAGCGGATAAAATTTTTTTAAAGGGACATAACGCAATTTATGCTCAAATAAATCTTTTTTGTTGAGGAAAAGGATGAAAGAACACTGAAAATAAAATTTTTTTAATAAAAAATAATTTAAAATCCGCAAAAAACAAACTTTAAAAAGGAATTGATTGTAAAACATGGCTCTAAATAATTCGATAGAATCATCCATTCTAAAGGAAGAAATCTTTCAAAAAATCCAAAAAATTTAAAAAAAACCTATTTATTGATGGATCCTCTTCTAAAAATTGGTCATAACAGGAAAGGGAGATTACATACAAAATTGCAGAAACATTATCTAAAATTAAAGAAGTAAAAGAAGTAATTCTTGTAAAGAACGTTTATTTTCGGACATTAATTTGAAAATATAATAAGGTCAACTAAAATATTATTTTAAAAAAATCCGCAAATTTTGTCCGCAAAAAATTTTTCAAAAAAATTTCCTCTACTCTTCAGTAGTTTAAAAATAAAAAATAATACCAAAACAATGAATCCATTTTCTCCTTTCAGTTTTTTGGCCGCCAACATCAATGAGCCTTAAATAAAGTAAATATATTTAAATTCAAATTTTTATTAAAAACCTGATGCCAAAACGGCGAAAACTGAAGAAAATCTATGGAAAAATAAAATTATTTTCAATTAAAAAAATTTGTCAGCAAAAAAATTTTGCAGAAAATCTTTGCGGACAAAAAATAAAAATTTCCCAACTTCATGAACACCCGTTGTCGACGCCCTTGCATGTATTACATCCGCTTCTGTTGGGCTATACTCTGGAGTGAGAATTCTGCTTGACTCAGCCAATAAACTAAAAATAAAATTAATTTTGTTAAACTAATCTCTCAAACTATGGAGTATTATCTGGCACATAAAATTCTGTTAAATGTTGACATGCTGCATTAACACAAGAATAACTGAGAAATTTACTTATCTAAAAATTTAATAAAATTTTTTGTGTCCCGAAAAAAATTTTACAGACGAAAGGAGTGAGGAAGTCCGCAAATTTTGTCCGCAACGTAAAACTATTTTTGCGGATTTTTCACCTCTAAATCCGCAAAAAGCCATATTTCCGGATCTGTGTGCATAAATGAAAGGACCCGGGATTTTTAAATGATGGAAGTCCCTTTATTAAACTAACCAATTTAATCATTTCCGTGTCATCATAATCCAAAAATCTAAAAAATTTAAAATTAAAAAATTTTCCCAAAATTAATTTACTTGGTAAAAGAATGTTCAAATTTATTAACTAAATCACGCTCCTGAGAAGGCACATCAATTTGTAGTAGACTAATTCCTTTGGCGATGTAATAAAAAGAGCCAATATAATTGGTATGCAGCATATACCTTTAAAAATAATTTTTTAATTAATTAAAAAAATTTTTAGACCTATAATTAATCAATTCTGCTTCATTGAACCCGTTAGTATGCAGAATTCTGAAAAATTATAATTAAAAAATATAATTAAATATTCTGATTAAAAAATAGAGAAAATAGGGTAATTAGAAAATAAAATACAAAATTATAACAGAAATTCTGATTATTCCGGAAAATACAGAAATTCTGGTTTAAAATATTCTGGGAAAAATACAAAAATACAAATATTCTGATTAGAAAATAAAAATAAATTCTGATCTTTCCGGAAAATACATTTTGGTTTTAAATATTTATTCTGATGAAAAAAATACAAAAATTCTGAAAATTCTGATTTAAAAAATACAAATGTTCTGGTCCCGAAAAATACAAATATTCTGGTACCGGAAAACACAAATATTCTAATTTCGTTCACAATAAATTATTCTGATTAAAAATACAAAAATAAATTCTGATTTTTTCCGGAAAATACAAAACACATTTTATATTACAATTCCCCCACCTCATTTGTTTTACAATAGTAGATTTTCCAGAATCCCCGCTTCCCAACAAAAGTATTTTTACAATTTTGCGTTCCTCCAATTTTTCCCTTTGCAATTCAATTTCTATCTGGCGATTCTTTTAAAACAATTAAATTTTTTAAAATTTAATTTTAATTTATTTACTACTTTGTCCATTTGTTCATCATAAACTTTTTCTCCTTTGCACAAACTAGAACCCATTTTTTGTTGTTTTTGTTACTATCTGACTGCATCAACTTGAACCAAAATTTTGGGGAAAATTTTTTTCCTTTTTGAAAAATTACTAGCCAAGAAGAAAAAATATTGTTATTAGAGTTATATTAAATCTAAATCTGTTATAAAAAAATTTTTGAAAAAAAGGCTTAAGAATATTTGCGGGTAGATAATTGCGGACTGACTGCTAAATATGGGAGAGAAAAATTTTAATTGGTGTTTTGGCAGTTTATTTTTTTAGTTTGTTTCTGTTGATTGACATTTAGATAAAGGTAATTTTTTTTATTTTGGCAAATTTTTTTAAATATTCAGAGACTATAGGCTTCAAAAATAAATTAAAATTTTTTAGATCTAGCTTGCCCGCAAAGTCAATCCGCAAATGTTTGGATGCAAGAAAATTAATAATTAACAAAAAAGTCCCAATGTTTGGCAAGAAAACCCCAAACAATAAAACCCCCAAAACTGTTGTCATTTTTTAAAATTAATTTAATCTGGCTATTTATGTACCCTAATTTTATTAATAATATGGGAGAGAAATTTTTCAAAGAAAAATATTTTACGTAAAAAAATTAAATTTATTCCAAAAATATTTTGTTATAACGCGGGAATTTTTACAAAAATAGATTGTAGCCTATTCTAAAAAATATTTTTTTTGAAATAATCAAATTGTGCCAAAAAAACAAAAATTGTCAAAACGCCAAAAAAATTTTCTAAAAATTTTTAAAAAAATTTTGCTTCCCACGTGTAATATTTATTAAAAATATATTTTTTTAAAAAATTTAAGATAAATAATTCAAAAGTAAATTTAGTTTTGTGTGTATATTTTAAATAAAATAAGAATACAAAAAAATTTTTTTCGTTGTGCCACCAATAGCAACCGTTCCTTATTAGCTAATTATTTAAAAAAATAAGATTTGCGCTTGACTTAAATGTTGGTTACCTAACAATAAGTACAGGCGTAATGGTTGGTTTTATAGCGTGATAAAAAATTGGAGTTGAAAAATAAATAGAGGAGAAAATATTTTTTGGCATAACAACATTTGCGAACAATTTTTGCGGACAAAACTGAAATGCCATTTAAATAGAAATGAACGATCATTGGGTCTTGATCGGGTCTTGACCTTAGTCTAAGCATCTGGGACTTAATAGAATCGAGCCTCACTTTTAGATACACTCTGGGGCTGAAAAATATTACCTTATAATGAGGGTTATCTTAAATGAAAGGTGTATCGCTTAGGAAGCTCCACACTACGTGGTTAAACAATTTTGGGGATGTCTGAAAATGAGTTTCGACTGTAGTGGGATGTGTCCGCAAAAAGATTCTTTGTCCGCAAAAAAATCTTTTTGTCCGCAAATACGGCTCTACATTAAAAAGAAAAATTCTGATCGCAACCAAAAAATATGTATAATAAAAAAAATTAATTTATTTTATTAAAGCTAATACTTAAAAGAACCTATTTACACCACATTCCTTCCCCCCTTTGGCACAGTCACACCTTTTTTTATTTACGTGAAAAAAATAATTAACGGTCTTTGGAATTTTTGTATTAAATATATATATTTAATGCTCACAATTTTTTTTACCTTTTTTTCATTAAAAATACTCAAGTTGGCATAGCAACAATTATATTTAAATGTGTTTAGACGAGGGAATTAATAAAAATTGTTCAACAGGAAATTTAGGGGGTAAACATTATAATTGGAATAGAAAAGGCCTTTTCTAAAAATTATTTGGAAGATCACGCAAGTAAAAAATTTAAATGAGTGTTGCCAAGAATTTCCTAGAAACGCGAAAATCCAAAAGAAAACTGTCTGAAAAATTACATAAAATTAGGAATGAGCTTAAAGCGAGATTTGCGGACATGTCCGCAAATATTGGTTAGAGGTTATAGAATTATTACCCAAAATTTTTTAAAAATAGGTCAGAAATTAGAAATTTTATTGAAAAAATTTTCTTTTTAAACTAAAGAATGTCCAAAAGAATTTTCAAAAAAAAATTTTTGGGTCAAATTTTTTAAATTCCTCAAATATCATGCCCCGGTTGTTGAGAAGCAATTATTTTCTTTCGTGTTCTAGCCAGTTCCCAAATATGAAATAAATAGGAGGAAATAGCGCAAAGAATGGCAAATAGACAAAGTGCAAAGCCAATTACGGCACCTCTTGGATCGGAAAATATGAGAAGGAAATGAATTTTTAAGAAATTTTTGAGAACTTACTTCTAAGAAGCCAATTCTCATAGTAAAAGTGCTGGACATAACTGAATGGTAGGGGGATAAAAATAAATAAATCAGGCGCGTTTGAGAGGGGAGAGGTTGTAAAAAATAGAAAAATCCGCAGAAATCAAAAGTCGGCAAAAAATCGAAAAATCAGCAAAAAATTGCAAAAAAAAAAAAGAAAAAATCCACAAACAAGAAAAAATCGCTGTTGTGGACATCCCAGATCGAGAGGCCACAACCCATCAAAAAAATAAAAAAAAGCTCACGAATATTCACGAATCTTTTCAGCATCACTCAGTTGAGGGCAAGGACGAACAATTACAAAAGCATCAAAATCTGAGCCCTGCTCTACAATAGCCACACGAATTATGTTTGAACTAATGTTACGGATTCGTTCATTTATCTTTAAAAAATAAAATAAATGTCAAAAATAATTTTAAAAAAGAACCGTTGACGACTTTCCTCCACCCGTTGTAATTTGAGTCTGTTTATGGTCATCAAATTTCAGCTGAACATATCGAAAGAAAACGCCATTCTCTGCTAATTGATGGTCAATATCTTGTAGAAAATCTTTTTCGTCTGGAAAAAATAAAAATTTGGTTTTTGTTCTTTATACTTTCAAAAAGTCTGCAAATTCTATCCGCAAGTTAAATTTTGTCATTAGTGGTGTGATCTTTAAGGGTTTCCTATTTTTTCTGAACTTCCTAAGATCTGAGAAGCATGAATCCGTTGTTGTTCTCAAATTGTTAAGTGACTAAGGAGTTCTATATCCAGTTTGCCTATTTTTATGTTTTTTTTTCGTCGCTATTTTACCACCCAATTTGAGAAATCCGAGACTTAAAAACCACATCCCTATTTATTATTGTTAAAACACCCCTAGAAGAGAGAAATTTTATGCCTTTAAAACAATCGGTCATTACTCTTCTCCTGTATACTCTAGCCCCTTTTAATAAATTGCGGACTTTGAAAAATATTTTTAAATGAACCTCACTTCCATTTCGATTTCTCTCAAAATCAGTAATTACGAAGACAAAACGTCCTCTCTTCCTTTCTTCTATTTTTGCTGTTGTTAAATTAGAATTGTTTTTAAAACCTTCAATATTGGCCACAGCTTTATCAACACAAGTCTTCCAATAACTTTTGTTAGAATGACGTTCAGTTTGTGTAAATTTGAATTGATCCAACTGAATAAATTATTTTAATAAAAAGGACAGAGAGTTGCGGAAAAAAATATTTTGCGGACGAATATTTGCGGACAAACTTAAAAATACATAGCACGTCAAGGGCGTGACATAGTGACCGATATTTGCGGACTCAATTATGTCCGCAAATACAGTGGCGGAAATTTAAATAGGGAAAAATATTTTTAATTTGATTTTTAAAAATTATCCGGCTAATCATTAATGCAGGATCATGACTTTTATATAGTTTTGTAGCTTTATTTATAAGCTATCAAATGACTAATAATCATTAAAGGAAAAGTTTTCACTTAAGCGAGAAAAAATCATTTATCTATGTCAACTTAAAAAGTGCGCGGAAATTTAAATAGGGAAAATAATTTGTATTTAGTTTTTTATGGAAAATCACTTTAGAAAAAATCTGAAAAAATTTCTGGGACCTTCTCTAGCAATATGATGAGGAATGGAAAAAAATCTTAATTTTAACCCAACTCCCTCACCGAGATCTCGAGGCCTAAAATCAACGGAAAATGGGGGTGATTTGTCTCAAAAAATTATTTCGGCCCATCTGACACAGATAGAAATTTTCTTTCTTGATAGGTTTGAAGCCCATAAAATTTGCTATAAAATAAGTCTTATGCCATTTTTTTAAAAAATTCCTTCTCCGAGATATAGGCTGAAACCTTTTAATTTAGGGAAAAATGTGTTAAATCAGTCATAAATTTTGCAACTAGAAAATCTTCGGTATTCATCTCGAAGAAGAAATTTTTTGAAGGAATGGCATTAAGCCTATTTTGTAGCAAATTTAATGGGCCTCAATCTGAACATGAAAGAAAAATTTTATCTAGGCCAGATAGACCAAAATATTTTTTAAAATCAGATCACCCTCAAATCACCCCCATTTTCCGTTGATTTTGGGCCTCGAGATCTCGATGATGGAGTTAAGGTAAAATTTAGATTTTTTTGCCATGCTTCATCATATTGATAGAGAAGGTCCCAGAAATTTTTTCAGATTTTTTCTAAATTGATTTTCCATAGAAAAACTTAATAAAAAAATTTCCCTATTTAATTTTCCGCGCACTTTTTAAGTCAAGATAGATAAATGATTTTTTTCCGCTTATATGTAAAGTTTTCTTTTAATGATTAATAGTAATCTGATAGCTCATAGATAGAGCTACAAAACTCTATAAAAATAATGACCCGATATAAATGATTAGCCGAATAATTTTTGAAAATAAAATTAAAAACATTTTTCCCTATTTAAATTTCCGCCACTGTATGTAACTAACAAAAAACCCTCTAAATTATTTTAAAATTTACCTGTTCAAATTCAGGAAAAGAAATTGGATCTTTAATATGTACAAAAGACCCATTTTTAGTTGCCAATTCAATTCTGATTTGTTCATCAAAATACCAACGGCAGCCACACAACATTGAACGAACAATTGCTTTGAGAAGGCTAACTTGAGTAAATTTGTCGGTTAATAAAGGAAGTAATAAAATATCCCATGAAGAGCATTCGCCAACTTAAAACATTAAATTTTTATGTGGTAAATTGTAAGTTTTTGTAAAAAAATTGCGGACGTTTTTTTGCGGATAGGCATTTGTGGGATTTTTCTGATTTTCGATTCTGATTTGTTCTGATTTTTTATTTTTAATTTTTTATTTTCTGATTTCTGTTTCTGATTTTTCTTATTTTTTAGTCCTGATTTTTTTAATTCTGATTTTTTATTTTTTTTAATTCTGATTTTTTTTTTAAATTCTGATTTTTCATTTCTTAACCTACATTGACATTGAGGCACAGAATAAATATAAGAATAATGTATAAATACTAAAATAATTATTAAAATAGCCAGAAAAGAAATTCGCATTATTTTTTAATTTTAAAATAAAAATTTTAATTTTTAAAATAAACATACCTAGTTATAAGAAGATAACCGACAATTGATTAGTGATTTGCATAAATACATTTTTGTGTTGTTTTATATTTTTTATCATGAATATTAGAATAAAAATAGCGTTGTAAATTAAGAGAGTAAATGAGTAATAATCCATAACAAAATCAGAATGTTGAGAATAAATTCTGAAAAGAATAATTAAAAAATAAAATACAAGAAGTAAAGGAGAAACACAATCAGAATTTTAATAAAATAAATACAGACACCAGAATTTAAAATCAGAATTAGGAATAAAAACACATGAAATCAGAATTAATCAGAATTTGAATAGAATCAGAATTAAAAAAAACAGAATTATGAAATCAGAATTTAATAAAAACCAGAATTTAAAAACAAAAATACAAAAATCAGAATTATAAAATACAAAATCAGAATTTTAAATCAGAATTAAAAATCAGAATTTTATTAAACCAGAATTAATAAACAAAAACACAAAAATCAGAATTACGTAGAAAACACATCAAAACAAAAACACAAAAATTAAAATCAGAATTAACTCAAAAATAATCAGAACAAAAACACAACTAGTAAAAACACTCTCATTAACCTTTCCTGTAATAAAACATTCCTCATTAACGCGCATAAAAGGTTAAATATGACACCTTTTTTATTAAATTGATCACCCCGTTAAAAAAATTTTTTTTCGCTTATTAAAACTTGTTTTTATTTAAAAGGTCTAAAAATGTTTAGGAAAAGCGCTTATCGTTCCGATCCAAAAATATATGTGGCCTTTTCTCTTTTTTAATTTTTAGAGAGGAAAATGGGACAAGCATTCACCCGTCAAATTAATAAAATAATTTTTTTTGTTAATTATTTAAATGTTTTTAATTAAAATCAATTTTTAATAATTTTTTGCCCTATTTTTCCCGCGTTTTAGGGACATGACCGCTTGCCATTTTTATAGCAAAATCAGAATAACATTCAGAAATCAGAAAAATAAATTCTGAAAAAATCAGAATTTATTTTTCTAAATTAACAATTAAAGCCTAAACTGACCTTGAGTAAATTTCCATAATTATTAAAACATTGATAGATTAAATTAACTTCAAACTGGAGAAATAAAATAAAATAGTAGTAATTTTATTATGCCAAATGATCCTCTTTGTATTTTTGTTGTTGGTAACCAATATGTTTGCCAAAGAATTTGAAAGGTTTAGATTTGGAAGTAAGTTATTTGTAGTTCTAAAAATTAGAATAATTTTGAAAAATCAGAAAAATTAGAAAAATTTCAGAATAAAATCAGAAAATATCAGAACAGACCCAGAAAAATCAGAAGTCAGAAAAATTAAATTTAAAAATTAGAACAAAGATAAAAAGTCAGAATTTTTTCTTAATTAGAGGGAAACATTTTAATGGATAAGGCACAATTACAATTAGCAGAAGAAACGGATTACAGCAGGGATTTTGAGGAAGATTTACGAGGAAATGTAGAACATGGCGATATTTATGACGAACATTTGGCGCAATTGCCAGAATTTGAAGTGCACAAATTGGGAAAAAATTTGGGATGGACACAGGTAGATTGAGAGTTTAAAAATCAGAAATAGACCAGAACAAAATCAGAAAATCAGAAATAAAATCAGAATAGAATCAGAATTAATTCAGAACAAAATCAGAATAAATTCTGAAAACTAGAACAAAATCAGAACTAATCCAGAAATGAATCAGAACAAATCAGAAAACATTCAGAATAAAACCAGAATAAAATCAGAAATAAAATCAGAACAAATTCCAAAAAAAATTTTCCCGCAGCTTCCCATCGTAACACGCAGAAAAGCCTTATGGAGCACTCCATTGCCCAGAACTCGACCATTTAGTCATTCTTGGGCCTGGTTGTACACAAAACCGCCAACAGCGGCCACACAAAGACAACAACAAACAACAACAATAGCACCGGAAGTAAACAATAAAATAGAGAAAAGTGTGATAAATAACAAAAATGTGGAAAGTAAAGAAGAACGAATAAAAAAAATTAGCGAGGAAACAATAAAAACCACAACGCCAAGACAAATGCAAAATGAAGCAAATTTAAATACAAAAAGTTTAGAGACAACAAAAACAAACAAAGAAAGAGAACAACAAACAAACAAAACAAAAACAGAGAAGGAGAAAACACAGGAAACAACACAAACAACAACATTCCCTCCAAACAAGGCAACAACGATAAATAGAGAAGAACAACAACAAATAAACATAAAAACAAAACAGTTAGAGAAAGAGAAAACAGAAGAAACAACAAAAACAACAACAAAAGCAACAACAAAAACATCAACACAAACAACAACGACTACAACACTTTCTCTAAACAAAACACCAACAAAAACAACACAGTTAGAGAAAGAGAAAGAAGAAACAACAACACGAACAACAACAACTACTACATTCTCTCCAAACAAATTAATTATAGAAAAGGAAGAAAAAGAACATTTAATTGAAAGATTGCGTAAATTACTCAAAAATGCAAATTTGAAGGGGTATGTTTTTTTCTTTGTTTATTGTTTAATTGATGTTTTTTCAGCGTGTTTCCCTCAGAGAACAATAAAGTTGTTGTGGAGGTGCGCTCAAATGTCATCGCTATTGAACCTGCTGTTGATTCAAAAAATGTTGATCCGTCAAAAACAGGCAGTGGATTTGCTTGGCCCCGTTCTTGGGAGAATAATGAAGCCGATGACAGATTGGCAATTCGAAGTTGGGCTAGGTTGGTGGATTATTTCTTTGTAAATTAGAGGGTTATTGTTACAGAGAGCATTCCCGCCAACCTGACCACCAATTAGTTTTGCCTTTCCAAAATAATCCTGACGAAGGAGAAGAGCCTATTTCTACCCCAAAACAGCTTCCAAACATTCTCCAGTCTTCAATTCAATTTACAACTACTAAAATTCCAACAACAATTAAAACAACAACAAAAGTACCAACAACTGCAAGAAAGAAGGGAGTAGTTAAACCAACTTTTTTCAATTCTGGGACTCATCGACATACAGGTTTGGTATTTTTTAAAGTTTTTATGACCCCAGACTGCCTCTGAAAATTTTCCGGGAAATTTTGGGAAAATTTTTTTGTCCGCAAATATTTGCGGACAAAATTTTATGTCCGCAAATATTTGCGGACAAAATTAAAATGACAAAAATCTGGCTATATTTTAACTATAAAGGCCCAACATTCAACTGCCGCGTGTTGGATGCAGCGGTGGATGGCATACCGAGTGAAAACAATGACCAGACATGCCCCTTAGATTTTCCAGGTTGAAGAATTTTTTTGAAAAAATTCTAAATTCCCCAAAATTAAAGGAATAGCTTCTGATAAATCTTGTAAATGTACCTATGAAGTTTCCGGTAGAGATGAGGAAGGGTGTGCTACAGGATTTATTTACACGTGTCTGAGGACAGTTAAATCCTCAAATAACGACTTGAAAAGTTAAAAAAATTTTTTTTCTGAAATTTTTAAAAATTTATTTTTAATTTTTGTTTGTAAATATATTTGAATAATATATCATAAAAATTATTTTAAGTCAGTTATAGGGCCGATATTTGCCACCAGGCATCGAACCCGTGTCCCCACCAAGAGCAAGTCGAGCGCGTTAACCACTACACCATGGGTCACTAAACTTGCGGATTAACGGATATTTTTGCGGATTTTTCCACTTATTTCAATAGCTAGAAAAATATTTTTTTAACTTAATTGACTGCCAAGAGGGGAGAAAAATAGGTTGAAAAGTCTGAAAAAAGGTTCTCAAAAAATTGTGCGCAATTTATACCACTTAACCAAACACAACAATTTTTGATTTTTAAAAAATCTGCAAAATTTCTTCAAGATGGGTATCATTTTAGCTTGCAAGAAAATTATAAGATTTTTTTGAAAAATTCAAAATACTTTCCTCTACCCTTGCAAAACCTTTATTTAAGCTGCCAGTCATTCACTTAATTTTTTACTCTTTTATTTTTGCAAAAATTTTAGTGTGTTTGTCTGTTTGTCTAGTTAATTCTTCAAGCATTAATTCCTTTAATTTTGCGTAATTCTTAAAAGAACACTTTTTTAAAAAAATTATTTTTTTAAAAAAGAGGAGGAATGACATTTTTCTTTAATTTTGAAAAATAAATTTTATTAAAAAAAATTTTATTAAAAAATATTTTTTAAAGAATATTTTTGTTTCTGTTCCTAGTACAGACTTTTAAATCTCTCTTCCCCCTAAATTAATTTTCCCCCCTCTCTCTATTTTTTTTTAAATTAAAAAAAAAATAATTTTTAAGATTGACGTTATTTATATTTTTATTTTTTAAATCCGATTTTATTTAACGTCAATTTTAATAAATATTTTTAAAAGGAGGGAAAATCTGATAGTCAAAAAACATTTCTTTAAATTATTTTTAAATTTTTTGGTTAATTTTTGTTTTTTATTTTTAACATTTTTAGACCTAAATGAATATTTCTGTCTCATTTTTTGGTTCCAAAATTTTTAAAATTTACACTGCCCAACCTTCCGTTAGAGCATACTTTTGAGTGAAAAAATTTTAATTTTATCCGCAAATATTTGCGGACAAAAATTTTTCGGAAAACTCGAGTTAAGTGAAATAGGGAAAACGGCCATAAGACTAGATCTATACAATAGCCTACCTAACCTTATTAATGCTTATATGAAGCTTACAAGTCCGCAAATGCCGATCCGCAAATGTTTGTCCGCAAAATATTTTACGTCCGCAAATTTTTTCTAAAAGTTTTTTTTTAATTTTAGAAATCCGTGATTTACTACAAAATTTCAGAAAATTACTCAAAATTTTTTAAATATTTATTTTTTTGTCAAAATGTGTGAAAAAAATTAAATTTGGGATAAAATAAACTAAATTAAGCTTATTTTCCCTTATAAATTTAATTTTTTATTTTTAATTAAAAATAGCAATATTTAAATTAATTTTTTTTAAATTTTTTTTTCTCCCAAAGAATTTTTATTTTCTCTCCCAATTTTTAGAAAAAAAATTTTTTTTTAATTTAACATTTTATTTTTTTTAATTTTTGTATTTTAACATTTTCATGTGAATAAGGTAAATTTATATTTATTTTTCTAAGAAAACAAAAATTTTTATTCTTTTATTTAATTTGCCAAGTATTTTTTTAAAAGAAAAAGAAACTTTATTAGATATTTATGTGTATTTTGTGGCATTTTCTATTCCTTTTTGAATAGCCTTTTAATTAATTTTCTCTTTAATTTTATTAAACTTAGGTGTTTTATATTTAATGCTAATGTTAGGTATCGTGTATTGAATAGGCTTTTTTCGAGTTTTTTTGAGACCAACATTTAATACCCTAATTAGAGCTCAGAACTTTTATGTCTGTCGGTATTGTATGTCTCTCTTCAGGGCGCCTGTGTTATTGCCCCCATACCTAAAAATAATTTTTTTCTCAAAATATTATTTTCAAAACGTCTAAAAATTTATTATTTTCATATAATTAGACCTCAATATGTATGATACCCCCAAAATTGGTTACACCTCGCTTAAAATACTTTATTTAAAATTTGGAGCTACTGGGGGGGGGGGGGTACTTAGGGGGGAAAGCTGACTTTGAATTAAGGTGCATACTCATTGTGAGATACAGGGTTTTGAGTGGTATCATAATGGGGTCTAATGGATCCACTGACTATTATGTAGTCCAAAAAATTAAAAAAATTATTTTTTTTTTCAAGTTTTAAAAAATATTAAAAATTATGCGTCTATTTGACGTCCTACCACCACTACAACCACTACCATCAAAAACAGAAGAAATTTCAAAAAATCCAAATTTTTTAAATTTCCAACTGGCTGGATTAATAATTTTAGCTTTATTTACTTGTTTTTGTATTTGTGCAAATTTGATCACTTTTATTCTTTTAATATTATGTAGGCCTTTACAAAGGTCTTCGAGAACTACAAATTTGTACGTTATAAGTTTGTGTTTGGCTGATTTGGGTGTTGGGGGTGTTGTGATGCCTTTAATGCTGTTTTATGAATGGGGGTGAGTTTCAAATTAAAATCAGAATTAAATAAAAATAGAAAATCAGAATTAAATTAATAAAATCAGAATTACTTAGTATCAGAATAAGTCAGAATTAACTTGTAAAAATCAGAAATAATACTGATCAGAATAAAATCAGAATAAAATTCAAAAATCAGAATTATTATTAGACTAAGACCAGAATTCATTTAAAAATCAGAACAAATATCAGAATATGATCAGAATTTATTTTAGAAAATATCAGAATAAAACCAGAATTTACTTTAAAAAATCAGAATTAATATCAGAATTTATTTTAAAAAATCAGAATAAGTTCAGAACTTATTTTAAAAATCAGAATTATTATCAGAATGATTTCAGAAATATTTCTTAAAATTCAGAATTTACTTTTCAGAATAACCTTCCCTCCCTGGCTCTGTCAATTTTGGCAATTAGCCGACGTTTTATTCTGTACAGAATCTTTATATTCCATTTGCGCAATTGCTCTAGACCGTGTTTGGAATTTAGAACAACCTTTACGTGTGTTTACAAGCAGCAGACGGCGGGCAAAAAGATTAATGTTGTTTGTTTGGTTATTGCCTTTAATTGTTTGGATGCCTGTTTATTTTCTTCTAGTCTTTCCGTAATCAGAATTTTTTAATTTAAAAATCAGAAAAAATATCAGAATTTTAAATAATCAGAATTAATACATATCAGAACTAGATTTTAAAAACCAGAATTTATTTTTAAAATCAGAATTAGTTTCAGAATAAATTTTTTAAAAATCAGAATTAAAATTTTTAAACCAGAATTAGTATCAAAATTATTTTTATAAACCAGAAATAATTTTGAAAATCAGAATTAATTTCAGAATTGAGTTTTAGAAATCAGAATTAAAATTTTTTATATCAGAATTAGTATCAGAATTAATTTTATAAACCAGAATTAATTTTTAAAAACCAGAATAAATATCAGAATTGACCTTAAAATTTCAGAATTAATTAAAAAAATCAGAATTTAAGTTTTAAAAACCAGAATAAATTTCAGAATTAATTTTAAAATATCAGAATTAATTTCAGAATTAGGTTATAAAAATCAGAATTAAATTTTTTAAACCAGAATTTAAGTTTTTAAAAAATCAGAATAAATATCAGAATTAATAAATTAAATTTCAGAACTCAAAGAATATTCCAACCAGAAGAACAACAATTACCCCCAGACTTTCATTGTTTTCCTTCTCGTCAAGTTGCAACACAAGTTTTTTGGGTAGCGCTGCCTGCTTTATATTTACCAGCAATTTTTCTGGTATTTTTAATTTTAAAAAATTAATTTAATTTTTTTAAAGATTTGTTTATTTCTTCGAATTTCTTTTGTTGTTCATCGCCATTTAAAATTTTTGAGGGAACACTCGTCCCTTCCACATTTGGGGCCTCAACCTCCCACTCCTTCAATTACTGTTCAACAACCACAACCTTTATTATCTCCAACTCGAAACAATTTTCAATACGAAAATGATTTTAATAAAAATGAAAGAAATGAAATTAATAATAATAAAATTATTGGAAAAAGAGCCTCAGGTTTTTGAAAAAAATTTTTTTTTGTCCGCAAAAATATTTGCGGACAAAAAATTTTGTCCGCAAATTTTTGTCCGCAAAATTTAAAATATTTAAATTAAATTTAAAATTTTTTAGTTTGTGCGACTTCAAAAATAATTTCTGTTGATAAAACTGTTCTCAGAAAAGTTTCTCTTCCACAATGGCGTAAATCTTCAATTTCTGTTCAAAAGAAAAATGAAGGGGATAAAGTGAAGACAACACTAACAGTGATTGTAGATGAAGGAGACACTGAATTGGTAAATAAATTTTTTTTGTATGGACGGGACTATTTTGTGTTTTTGATATTTTTGGATAGAGAATTGAATGCTCTATAAAATCATGAAAAATCAGAATTTCTGAAAAATTATTAAAAAAAGTTCTGGTCAAAAACCAGAAAAAATGTCCCTTTTTATGTGTTTTTTGGCCATAACTTTTTTGTCTATTAACCTAAAATTTTAAAATTTTCCAAATTTGTAGCAAATTTAATTCTCTATCGAAAGATACCAAAACTATTTAAATCGATTCAGTCTTTCGTTAGTTATGGGGCTTAGACTGACTAGTGGTTGGTGTATTGTTACTCTTCGCATCAGAATATTTTAATAAAAATTTTTTTCAGAACAAAGAAAAACAACAGAAAGACTCCCTCTGTTCAATAGCCCCAACATTTTCAATTTCTGAAGAAGAAAATGAAGAAGAAGAGGAAGACTCTTCTTCCAATTTATTCAAACAATCCTCCCTTTTAAACAAACCTTTGCAACAAAGACGACTTTCTTCTGCCCGTTTTTCAATAATCACATTTTCTGAAAATATTGCTTTAATATTACAAAGGGAGGGGGTTACGCAACAAGTAAAAGCGGCAAAAGCAGTTGCCTTAATTTTGTGTTGTTTTCTGCTTTGCTGGTAAGTTGAAAAAACAGAATTATAAAGAAAACACAAAGAAAACACATATTCTGATAAACAAGCAGAATTAAAAATTCTGAAAAATATTAAACGAAAAACACAATTTTTCTGAAAAAATACAAATTCTGAAATATTAATTAACAAAAACACAAATTCTGAAATATTAATTTTCTGAAATACAAAAATCAGAATTTGTGTTTTCTTTAAAAGTTCTGAAAACAATATTAAATTGAAAAAATACACAATTTCAGAATAACTAAAATACAAATTCTGAAAAAATTCTGAATTTATTTAAATTTAAAACACATATTCTTTAAAGGTTTCCGTTTCTAATTGTTTGGCCTCTTCGCCTATTTCTTCCCCATTTAATTTCTGATCGAGTTTTTCGTTTGTGTTTATGGTTAAATTATTCCTGCTCAACATTTAACCCTTTATTATATGCTTTATCTACTCCAAAAATTCGTTCAATACTTAGAAACAACGGGTTATTACCCTGTAAATTTATTTCTGTTGAGGGAGGTTCTGGGAAGAACACGAGGAGGAGCAATACTTGTGCTTTAGTCTAAAAAATTTTTTTCTGATTTTTCTCTGATTTTCCATATCTATAAAAAATAATTTTTTTATTCAGTCTTTTTGTCAAAAAATGCCTAAAAAATTTTTTGTCATAAAATGTTCTCTTTGGTGTAGTCGGAAAGGGCTTGGTTTTAGCACATAATAGGTCGTGGGTTCGAATCCCACTCATGGAAAATAATTTTTATTTTAATTAAAATTTGTTTTTTTCTTATAAATTTTAATTTGAAAAATTTCTTAAAATTTTTTATTTATTAGAACATTATTTTCATTTAATTTTTCCACTTTAATTTATTATTTGAACATTTTTTGACAGACAAACACAAATTACTAATTAATTTAATTGTAAATATCTCGAATGTTGACATTAAATTTCATTTTTTTTTACGTTGACAAAATAAATTTGAACAATTTACACGGGTAATTAAGTAAACAAAAAAAGTTCTTCGAATATTTGAGTGCATTTGGGTGTGTTTTGTTCCTTCCCATTATCAGGTGGTTTTAGTTAATATATCTCTCGATTGGACTGACCTATTTTTGTGTTTTGGATATTTTTGAATAGAGAATTAAATGCTCTATAAAAATTTAAAATATCAGAATTTTTGAATAATCATGAAAAAAATTATGGTCAAAAAACTTGAAAAATGACCCCTTTTTATGTGTTTTTGGTCATAACTTTTTTGTCTATTGACCTAAAATTTTAAAATTTTCCAAATTTGTAGCAAATTTAATTCTCTATCGAATGATACCAAAACTATTCAAATCGGTTCAGTCTTTCTTTAGTTATGCGGCAAAGACTGACTTGTAGTTGGTGTGTTGCCTACATTTTTTATTTTTGCGGACAACATTTGCGGACAAATCCCCAAATTGATTTTTTTAAAACTTTTGCCTCCCCAGACTTAATATTTAATACGTCCCATATTTAGTAATTAATTATCGTTCCATTATATACTTAATTCTCCTCTTCCCTTCACATCTCCCCATTCATTTTTAATATTTGTACTGCGGTGCATGCGTTTTTTCCTTCAATTAATAACAGTAATAAATTTATTGGTAAGGAGACAGATTAAATAAAATTAAATAAAATAATTTTCTAGACAATTGCTGATGAAGGTTTCCTGACAGGGCCGGAGGTTTTTAACGATTTAAACGAAAATTGTTCTTTGTTTAATGTATCTATTGCTATTATTGGCGCTGGATTTTCTGGTAGGATGTTAAAATTTGCGGATTGATTTTGCGGACTATTCCGATTCCGGGCATATTAGCTATCCTCTCCAACCCTTACCTGTCCAAAGCTTCCACCTATCCCTCCTTAGTTCTCCTAATCTCCCTCTTATCCCATCCTTAGATACCCCAATCTCTTAATTATCCCATAGATGGAATACCTCAAAGAGTCTATGGTCTCATCTCCCCTTCGAGTTGATTACAGCTATTATTCATTTATTATAAAAGGTCTATCAGCCTTTAATCATCTATCATCTATTGGTTTACACAATGTCCAAATATTTGAAGCTTCAAATAGAGTTGGTGGAAGAGTTTATCCCTTGGAATTTGGTAAAAATATTTTTAAAATAATTTAAAAATATAAGAAAATTAGAAGGAATATTTCTTCAACAAGGCGCTGAATTTATCAATGGAGAAGATAATGCAATTTATAAAGCTGCCAGACGACTTGGGGTAGTTATTTTGGAAGCCTATTTAATTGTTTAATTAAATAAATCTGTTAGTAGTTGTTTTGGTGTAGTGGGTAAGAGCGCGGGAATTAGATCATAGGGGTCGATGGTTCGAACCCCACTGGGGAAATTAATTTTTATTTCGATTTTAATTTGTTTTTTGGATAAATTTTAGATTTAAAAGTTTAAAAAATCCCCCAAAATTTTTTCCCCACTCTTTTCTAGTTAATTACAGGAGAAGTGGACGATTCTGCTCTAATCTCTGAAGATGCACAATTTGTTTCTTCTCCAAATTGTCAAATTTCTCAAGACAAATTAAACAAATTTGCAGAGTTTAGCTCTTTTCTCGAATTGAAATATGCTGAAATGGCTATGGATAATCGAGAGATTTGGAGCAAAACAGTCGCTCAAGTTTTTGATAGAGATTATGATGAATTTTTGAGGGTAAGTTCGACATTTGCGAACATTAGGTAAAATACGACATTTGCGAACACTGGGTAAAATACGACATTTGCGAACATTGGGTAAAATCCGACATTTGCGAACATTGGGTAAAATCCGACATTTGCGAACATTGGGTAAAATTTGTCATTTGCGAACATTGGGTAAAATCCGACCTTTGCGAACATTAGGTAAAATCCGACATTTGCGAACACTAAGTATAACACGACATTTGCGAACATTACTTATAATCAGACATTTACGTCAGTATTTCTATTTTATCCGCAAACGTCAGTCCGCAAAAATCCTAGTCTGTGTTTTTCAGAAGATGAACGCCTCAAAAGAAGATAGACTTCAATATGACAGTCTCGCCAAAATTTACCGTGGATATTATGAAGGAGAATGGTCTGCCCCTATAGACAAATTGGCCCTTCACAATTATGTTAAATGGAAAGATGGAAGTAAATCTTTCCCTTTCAGTTCATTTACCTTAAATTCACGTGGTTATGCCCCTATTTTGGCTGAATTGGTCGAGAACGTGCCTGTCAATAAATTAAATTTAAATTCACGTGTTGTACAGATTGATTATAGAGGTGAGGAGGAGAGAGGAAATAATTAATTAATTTTATTTAATTAATTTGTACCCATAATATCAACTTTGAGAATATCAAGAGTTTGTGTTTGTTCTGGTTTTGGAATAAATCAGAATTAGAAATCAGAATATTTTTCAGAATTAAATTAGACTGAGAATCAGAATTAGAATAAGAATTAGGATAAAACCAGAATTCTAAAATCAGAATTAAAAATCAGAATATTTATTAAAACAAAAATCAGAAAATAAGACAGAAAAATCAGAATTAAATTATAACAAAATCAGAACACAATTAAAACAGAATTTTAAGATCAGAATTAAAAATCAGAATATTATCAGAATTAAATAAAAACATAATCAGAACCTAGAATTTTAAAATCAGAATTAAAATCGAAAAATTAAAAATCAGAATTAAATCGGAAATTAAAATCAAAACATAATTAAAACAGAATTTTAAAATCAGAATTTTCAGAAAAAAAAATCAGAATTAAATTAAAACAAGTTAATTACTACTCGTTTTTCTGATTTTATTTTGCTTCTGTTTTTAGGCAATCATGTTCGGTTGAAGTTGCGAAAAACAAATCTATTGGATGATCAGAATTTAATGGAAGAAGAATGGTTATCTACACATTTTGATTTCGTTATCGTAAATATATTCTGAAATTCTGAAAAGATTTTTCTTTTAAAGATTACAGTACCCATTGGACATTTAAAACAATTTTCTTCAACAATGTTCCTCCCTCAACTTCCAAAAAATAAATTAAAAATAATTGAAGCTATAGGCTTTGGAAGCATGGAAAAAGTTTTTCTGGTCTATGATAAACCCTTTTGGCCTGAAAATATGACTTCATTAATAGCTTTGAATTGTAATTATGAAGAGGAGGAGGAGGGAAGGATTAAAGACAGCCTTAATACATTACAACCACATCCTTGGGCAAAGAATAGGGTGAGGATTGAAAAATTAGTAATACTCAGAAAATCATCTATAGTTCGAAGGGAACACATGTAGTTCGAAGGGGACATATATAGTCCGAAGGGAACATTTAAGTTTGAAAGGAACTTATGTCAGAGGGGAACATATGTAGTGCGAAGGGAACATTGATACTCCGAAGGGAACATTGATACTCCGAAGGGAACATTGATACTCCGAAGGGAACATTTATAGTTCGAGGGGAACATTATGATTTATTCCGATTCTGTTCTGATTTTAAATACCCTGGTATATTCTGATTGTTCTGGTATTATCAGAACTATTTCTGATTTTTCTGGGTTTATTCTGATTTGTTCTGATTATTTAGTGTTGTTTTTTAGTTGATGATCATTTTTATTTAAGATTCTCGTTCTCTGGCTTTCTGGTAATGGTCCTCGTCTAGTAAATGCTTTAACCGATTCAATGTTATCCGATTTAATAACAAAGCATCTGAGAGAAGTGTTGCAAGATAAAAATATTCAGCCTCCAGTTAAAATAATTCGGTAATTTTTGAAAGACAAGGAGGATGCTGTTTTTGGCCCATAACTATTTTATTTGCCGATAGTTTTGATCAAAGTTTTATACCATTAGAAAGCTCTTGAATTGCTGATTCTTATTCTTAATGGAACTTTTCTTATCAGACATCATTAAAAAGAGTTACAGCCTGATAATGATAGAAAATCACGATTGTTGGCACTTATTTGGCTATAACTTTTTAACTAATTTTCTGACAGGAATGCTCCTAATAGGAAAAAGAATCCGCATATCCAGAGCTTTCGAATGGTATAAGAATTATTCTGATCGGACGATAAGTAAAAAAGTTATGGTCCAAAAACTACCCTCGGAAGAAGTGATTATTTTAAAATAAATTTAAGCACTAAATGGCTAAATGATCAAAACTTTCTTGGTTCATACACATATATAACACCTCAATCAAGTTTAATTTCTGATGACCCCTTCTCCATTTTGGCAGAACCAATTTATTCAAAAAAGGATCAAAAATTAAAATTAATGTTTGCTGGAGAAGGGACACATAGTCAAATATTCCAAACAACTATTGGAGCTTTTGAAAGTGGACAAAGAGAAGCTGAACGAATAAAAGAATATTTGATTGGAATTAATAAATGTTAATTAATCTTGAGTAAAAAATAAACTTTATGTCCGCAAATTTTTTAGTCCGCAAATTTTTTGCGGACAAAAAAATTTTTGCGGACAACATTTGCGGACATTTTTATTTTTTCTATAAGTGTCTATTATGTCCGCAAAAATATTAAAATTTTGATTAATTGTTATACTTCATAAAAGGATATTTAAAAATACTTTTTTTTATTTTTTTTGTCGATCTTGATCTCCGATAAGAAAATTGAAAAAAATGCCGCACACCAATAATGCTTTTAAAAGAACATTTTCACTTTTATTTTCTTTTAAAGTAAATATACCGCTTTTATTTATAATCCGGATATAATTAATTATATAGAGGAATTTATTTAAATTTATTTTTTTATTTAAAATTGTTCTGATTTTCTGACGTTAAATTCTGATTTTTCTGATTAAGTAAGAGAAGCTAATACGGGATTTAATTTTGTTAAATTTAGTTCGCCTGTGGTGTAGTGGTAAGGTTGCTGACTGCAAGTCCCATTTTACTTGGGTTTGAATCCTCTGGGTTGAGAAACATTTTTATTTTGTTTTTAATATTTCTAAGTTTAATTCTGATTCTGTTCTGATTTTTTCTGATTTTTATTCTGACTTTTATTTTTGTTTTTTTTCTGATTTTTAATTCTGATTCTAGTTTAATTTAAATATGTAGGTGTTTGTCTGTTTTGTCCGCAACTATTTATCCGCAAATATTTTTTTCTATTAAAAAATTTTATTTTTTTTTCAGAAAAAAATGTTAAAATTAATTTCTTCATTCCAAAAGCTTATAGTAATACAAAAAAGTATTAAAAAGCCTTCCCTAAATAATTCCCCCACCAAAGAGGATTTAAATATTCAACGTCTCTATATCCTTTCTTTAGCCCTTACAGCTATTGCTTTTTGTATTTTGTCTTTAATTATACCTATTTTAATATCTGAATTGGATGAATTAAATGAAATTGCTAATAATGAAAGAAAAGTTTTTAATGTAAGAGAGAAAATATTTTTTAAAATTTTATTTGGTATAGGGGAGGGTCTAAGCCCCATAATTCACGAAAGACTGAACCGTTTGGAATACTTTTGGTATCATTCGATAGAGAATTAAATTAGCTACAAATTTAGAATATTTCATAATTTTAGGTTAATAGACAAAAAAGTTATGACCAAAAAACCGGATAAAAAGACTCATTTTTAGAATTTTTTGGCCATAACTTTTCTACTAGCTTTTCAAAAATTATAGCAAATGGCAAAAGAAATATGGCAACAATTAATTTATATCCGCGGATCTTTTAATGGAAAGAATACTTACTCAAGACTGTTGCAACTTAAAAGGAGAACTGAACGAGAATCGCCTCTTAATGGGAGTGAAAGCAAACGATTTCTCGACTTTTTGGAAAGAAGTTTAATAATATTCTTTAATGCTCTTCGGATTATAATGTTCCCCACAGACTAGTCTTTTAGATATGGGTTCCCTTCGGACTATAGATGCCCTCTCAAACGTTCAATGTTCCCCCTTCAGACAGGATGTTCCCTTCGGAATATAGATGTTCCTTTTAGAATACATATGTCCCCTCCTTCAAGGTTCCGTTCGAACTATGGATTGCCCCTTCACACTATATAGTTCTCTTTAGATCATTGATGTTCCCTTCAAACTAAGAATGTTCCCTTCGGACTATAAATTCTATAAAATTTTTTTCAGAATCTTTCAAAGGACGTCAACGACTCAGACAACATTCAAATTTACGAGAGCAATTGGAGGGCAATCAAATCAGTTCGAATTTTATTGCTCCAAGGGCCAGGACATTCTCTTATGGAACTATTCAAGGAATACAAGAGAAGAAGCCGAAGGAGAAAGTATTTTCTGTGGCACTAAAGTGTGAAAAAGGAGCTCCTGGAGAAAAGGGATTGGCGGGGATTGATGGGGGTAAGCTAATTTGACCCTTTTTATGATTGACCATTTTTAAACATTCTTTCATTTTGCAGTACCAGGACAGAATGGAGAGCCAGGAAAACCGGGACAGTCAACAGAAGAACAGGAGACTAACTTGAAAGATTCTGGCTGTATTAAATGCCCAGCTGGTCCCCCTGGTCTTCCAGGGGAAATAGGCGTCCCTGGAATTAAAGGAGAAGCTGGAATACCTGGATTGGTTCTTTAAGAAATAAAAATAAATTTGAATATAAATTTTAAAGCCTGGAAAAGCTAAAAAGGCTTTGCCTGGAAAGCCTGGACTTGTTGGAGATAAAGGATTGGATGGAGTTAATGGAATGGATGGAGAGCCTGGTAATTAAGGGGGGGGAGGAAGAGTACAATCGGAACTCACTATAAAATGGGCTGTGTTCCTTTCGGACTGTAGATGTTCCCCTCTGACAATAGTTGTTTGCTTCCAACCAAAGATGTTCCCTTCGGACTATGGATGTTACCTTCGTAATATAATAGGCTGTATCTTATAGTGAGGATCGACAGCATTTAAAATTAAAATCTCTCTTTAAAGGATTTCCTGGAGTGCCAGGAATTAAATATTCAAAAGGACCTCAAGGCCAGAAAGGTCCAATAGGGCAAGCAGGTCCACCCGGATTGCCTGGAGATGAAGGAGCAAAAGGAGAAAATGGTCCTCCTGGTGAGGCTGGATGGTTTGTAAATAACGAAAATTATGAAAATTTCTTAAATTTAAAGGCAAGGATTGCCCGGAGAGAATGGACCGGATGGTCAGACAGGACCTGTCGGGCCTGTTGGAGATGAGGGATTCCCAGGTTGTTTTAGATTTTAAAAAGAGACATTCTTTTACTTTAAAGGCATTGAAAAACACTACTGTAATTGCCCAGTCAGAACTTCACATTTAAGAAAGGTTTGAAAAAATGGTTAAACGGCATTTGGGGACAATGAGACAAAAAAATTGTAGGATATCATTCGTGATTTAAAATGTGGATCTAATCGGTGTCAATTGTCGTTTATGGGAAGTGTAAGAAATGTCGCTTATACTAATGTCCCCAAATGTCGTTTTAAATAGTTGACCTCAGATTCCACGTAAATATCTCCCTTTTAAAGCTAAAAGAACAATCTGGAGGTATTGAAGCTTACTTGGGAAGATGGAAAGGACGACTTCCTAACCAATTAATTGATGATTACGAAAGATATGTTAAAGAAAAAGATTCCGTGATAAACAAAATAAAAACACAAATTGTGGAAAATTAATTTGAATTATAAAAAATTTTTGGATTTAAAAATTAAATAAAAAGTTTATGATCTTTTGAAAGAGCATCATGAGCTCTTCTGAACCCCCTGTAAGCATCCCGAGAGATACAATATCGGGAATAAGGAATATTTTTTGGTATTTGAAAACTTTAGAGAGGTCTTTCTCGCTGAGTTTACATCCGATTCGAATTCCGAAAGAGCATTATAAACCGTAATTAAAATTGTAGCACAGAACTGGATGGCACAATTTATCCAAAAGTTTCAATGCCTGAACTTAACCACACGTATTTTTAAACGTTGGCTCATTTAAAGCGCCATTTCTCGCTGAATTCTGATGCAACCTTGGAAAACTATATGTCATTCAAAAGAGCATTAAAAACTGCATTTAAAAAGTACTGGCCGAGATTTTTCTTTAACATCCCCGAAAGATTCAGTGACTTTTATCAATTGACTTAAGTATAATTAACGTCTGGTTACCCCATTAAAATATTTATTTTTAAATTTTTAAAAATTCAATTAAATCAACGTGGATGGACAAAATCAAGTAAATTAACACTGATTTGTGCCAACTTTTCTATACTTTCCTTCTTTTCCGGATTCCATTCAAAATTAATTTCTTTTAAATTATCCTTATTAAACCACTCAACTTCTTTTTTCAACAATATCCAAAAAATTCTGTCTCCATTTTCTTTTGAATATTCTTCTATTTTATTTGATAATGTCTTTGGAGGATTAATTAATAATACGGAATTTAATTCTTCTTTGATTCTCGGAACTCTAAAAATAATTAGAAAATAATTTGCTTTAGTGAGTGTTCGCAAATGTCGCCTTATGCTTGATGTTCGCAAATGTCGGATAAACTTAATTTCTTATCTCTTTCCTTAGTGGATCACGCTTACTCCAACCACCATATCTCCCGAATGGATTGACCGATTTTTTTTAATTTTATACCATTCGATAGAGAATTAAATGATCTACAAGATAAACCAAAAATAAATATTTTGGATTATTCTGAGAAGTCGTAAAATTGGTAAAAGTTGTGGGGAATGACCATATTTTCTTCAACCCCCATATCTTCCAATTGGATTGAGCAATCTTTAAAAATTTATTATCATACTATAGATAATTAAATTTGCTACAAAATAGACCTTAAATGAATAATTTAGATTTCTAGTTAAGAAAGTTAGAGCCTTAAAACTAGCATTTTTTTCTTCAGCTTATACCAAAAGCCTCCCAATCAACCTACTTTTCAATCAAATCCAAAATTAATTGAGTTCCTTTCTTTCCAACCCCCAAAAGTAAAATTTCATGAAGCTCCTCCCACTTGACTACTTTTTCAATTTCTTCAAAATTTCCACCTTCTATAGCCAAAGTAGAGTGTCCACTAGCTGCCAGCATTTGTATAAGTGAGGGGTAACCAGCATTAAAGGGAGAGTGATTTTCTTTTAAATAATCGAGTGATTAGAGATTATTTTGATAAATCACTAACCATTATCCAGTATAATGACGGAACCTCTATTTTTAATGAGAAAGGGAGGATGAGATATTTCTGTTAAATTAAAAGGGGATTTTAAAGAATACATAAAAAATCGGTAAAATTGAAATTCGTTCCCCATAACAAATATTTGGAATGGGGTATATAAAAATGATTATCTATAATAAACATACGGTCCATTCTATTGGAATGGGCCAAATACACATCCAGCGTTGGTGTGTAAAAAAAAACATTTTAAAAAACAGAACGGGTACTTAATACATAGAGTTATGTTTGTACCATATTTTAAATCTTTCCATTTTATTATTGGAGTAACGAATTTCAATTTACCAAAAATCTTATTAACTATAATCAACTTCAGATCCATTCAAATTCAAACTCTTATTCAAAACCGCTGCATGTTTCCCATTAGCTATTATATAAAAATTTAGAGGCCTTTTAGTCAAGTCAAGACTGGCAAAATTTGATGTTTTATTTTCAATTTTAATATTTTTCCCTAATTTTGCACCGTTTATTGGAGAGGGGTTAATTAATAAATTTATAGTAAAGAGAAAAATAAATTTTAAAATCATTTTTTGAATTTTTCTCGTATCTTGATTTTTAAATGATGAAAGAACACGAAAGAAAATGAAGAAGAAAACAGACGAACACAAATCAAGAGAAAAGGATCTAAAAACGGAGAGAGATTAAACAAGCCGATAAACAAGTTAAAAACATCCCCAATCTTTTACTTGTTTGTAGTTACTTAATTTTTGTTTAATCCGGAAAGTTAATTGATTTTATTTTTTAATATTATTAGCTGGAGAGTACTAACTGAAACACAGAAACATTCCGGAAAAAACATTTGTTTATTTCTCTAACACAACAGAAACACATTCATTATTTATTCTTTCTCTAACACAACAGAAACACGATCCGGAAAAACATATCTAACCAGTTTAGCCCATTCCGGAAAAACATATGTCTAAACACAACACAGAAACATTTTCCGGAAAAACATTTTTCTCTAACAAAACAAACAATCCGGAAAAACATAAAACATCAAACATGAATCTTTTCCGGAAAAAAATTTCTCATGCTAAGCAAAAACATTTTCCGGAAAACATTTTTTATTCCTTTTCTAACACAACACAAAAACATAATCCGGAAAAACATTTGTTTTTCTCACTCAAACATAGTTCTATACGGAAAACTCACTTTTTTCTATACGAACAAAACAAATTCTGGCTCCCATACAAAATCTCTATTCCTTAAAATCGCTATTCCTTAAAATCTCTACTAATCTAAAAATGCTTAAAATCTCTATTCCTTAAAATAACTATTCCTTAAAATCTCTACTGGGGTAAAAATAATTAAAATCTCTACACCCTGCAAATGGATGGTAGAGTCTCAACAAAAGTGTAAAATATGAACTTTTCATTGGAAAACCCAGACTTGGTAATGGATACGGATATGGATACAATTGATTTAAAAATGGCTGCGGATATCTGCTTGTATCCGCCGTAAATATCGAAGATATAATACACGACTGCTTCGCTGCGGTCGTGTTCATTTTGCTTGCGGTGATCGTATCGAAGCGGCTGCTGTCGTTCCGCTGGACATGCCTGGGTTCATCCGCAGCGGCAAAAACAATACAAGCAAAATAATATCAAAAGATAAGCCAGAAATCAGAACAACGTTTCCGCACTGAACGTTGGCACTCAAAAGGCTTCCGAATGAAAAAATAAATTTTATCCTATTTTTGGCCGTGTAGAGATTTTAAGGCGTTTTACCCGTGTAGAGATTATGAGGAATAGAGATTTTAAGGAATAGTTATTTTAATAATTTTTAGCCGAGTAGAGATTTTAATGCATTATAGCTGTGTAGAGATTATAAGGCATTTTAGCCCAGTAGAGATTTTAAGGAATAGAGATTTTGAGGGGATACGCAAATTCTATATGTTTTTCTCTAATTAATAATTCAAGCATTCCGGAAAAACATTTTTCTCTCTACAGAAAACAATCTCTTCTTTATCTATTATCTTTTTATATTTACTAGTCTAATGATGCGCCAGCTTCGATTTCGTTTTATACATTTAGCTATTTTACTTATTTCGATATTTTTCTACACAAAAATGCGAAGGGTTTCGAAAATACAAAACTTTCTTACCGAACAGAGTAAAAGTTTATTTAATAACCAAAACGAATTGAATGATTATAGAGAACAATTTAGGAAGGTAAGGGAGATTTTTTAAAATCTCTTCAGTAAAATCTCTCATTTTTAGACCTTAAACAATATGAATGATAGTAAAACACCTGCAATTCTCTTACTAAATAAGGTAAAAATTAAAGGCTTATTTGTTAGTGGCAAAGGATATCAACTAAGACAAGGAGACCTTTGTGGGCATTTTGTCCATAGACCTTTTGTCCATAGACATTGTGTCCTTAAACCTTTTGTCAATAGATCTTTTGTCAATTAGACCATTTGACACTTGTCTATTGTCCAATTTTGTTGTTTAAATAATTTTAAAATTATCTAATTTACAGTATGCTTTAAACATTTCTCTCAACTTTCTCTGCAATCTTCGTAAATTTCCCGGTGCTATTGAGAATATTGTTGCTGTTGTTTTTGACTCTTATTCTCATCAAATTTTGAAGGAATCATTTACAGATATTGGGGGAATTGTGTATTGGAATATTCCTGCTTTGGTAAATAAATTTTTAAATAAAAATTCGACAAAATGGTACATAGGGCAAAATTCGACAAAAAGGTACATGGGTTAAAATCCGACAAAATAGTACATAGTGTAAAATCCGACAAAATGGAACTTAGGGCAAGATTCGACAAAAAGTTACTCTTTTCTTTTAAAGGAAGAAAAATTCTCGTCGGGTGATGGTCGTTACCAAGTTTTTCAATATTTTCGAGCTAAATTGGTTTCTCTTTTGACTGAAGTTACTGATCAATTTTGGATGGTTCAAGCAGACACAATTTGGAAAGAAAATCTTTTTGAAATTGTTGATACGGAAAGTCAGGAATTTATTAATGCTGGAATTATTTTTGATAGTGAAGGCTCTGAAGGGCTACTACGGTATATGGTACGGAATTTAAATTTAAAATTGGACATTTGCGGACACCGACATTTGAGAACATAGTCAGTTGGGAAAATCGATATTAGGGTACTACGACATTTGCGAACATAGTCAGTTGCGGACACCGACATTTGAGAACACAGACATTTGCGCACATCGACATTTGTGAATGTCCGCAAATTTTGTCCGCAAATATTTCTCATGCATAAAATTTTTTTCCATTTTAAAGATAGCTGGAGGATACTTTTTTGTTCGTTCATCAAATTCTACAAAAAGATTCTTTGAATCCGCGGCAGAATTTTTATTAAATAATTTTGCTACTGTAAGTCTTCAATTGAAAGTTAAAAATATTTAAATTAAAGGACAATAATGTAATGAATCGTTTATGTATTCAAAAAGCATTTGGCGTTGAATGTGGTCAGATAAATTATAGGTAAATTATTTAAAGGATATGAATTTAATAAAATGTTTGACAAAATGGTACATGTGGGAAAATCCGACGAAACGGTTCTAAGTGTTAAACACGACAAGATGGTACTTAGGGTAAAATTCGACAAAATGGTACGTAGGCTAAAACTCGACAAAATGGTACTTAGGCTAAAATACGACAAAATGGTACAAAGGGTAAAATTTGACAAAATGGAACTTAGGGTAAAATTCGACAAATTGGTACATAGGGGAAAACTCGACAAAAGGGTACATAGGGTAAAACTCGACAAAATGGTACTTAGGGTAAAACTCGACAAAATGGAACTAAAGCTTAAGTAAATTTATTTCTAAAGTATAATCTCAAATTGGCGGATGACTTCAACACTAAAAGAACACTTGGAAGACTCTTCTTCCCCTCCATTATTTCAATTTGACGGGGATGACGGTTCAACCGACAAATTTAGCAAAATAAAAAATGAAGGGTATTTATTTGTTGATTTAACAACTAGAAAATGTTTGCCGGATAATTTAAATATTAAAAATCAGCGACATTCTAGTAAAAATAAATTATTTTTATTATCATTTATTCACAATATTTTTGAATTTTTTTATTCTCAATTTCCTTCAATTAAATATTTTTTGTTAACTGACCTTTTTCCTTATTATGCTGCCTATTTTTTTATTTAAATTTTTAAATTTTTGTTTTTATTTTTGTTGGATAAAAAAATAATTTTTGTAAATTTTTTGAACCTAGATTATTGAAAAGATGCGGACAAAAAAACTTTTGCGGACAACATTTGCGGACAAAAATTTTTTGCGGACGAAACAGAACCCCATTGAAATTGGAAAGAATGTTAACTGAAAGCTAGCAGTACTAGATTGTCCCCAACCATATTTGCAAATATTTCTTCCCCATCTAAACAAACACAAAATTTTAATTTAAAAAATTTATATATCAAATCTTTCATCCAAAAAAATTTAAAAAATATATGGAATGAGATGTGGGCAATTTTAAAAAATTTAGCTAAAAAATATATAGCAGTTAACTAATAAAGTAGAGACCGAAAAACAAAAATCAACATCGATAGGGACGGAAATAACAATTCTCGTATTAGCCTTCTTCTCAAGTCCGGTCTCTACTATATTTATAGAAGGGATTGACTAAATAAACAAAATAGAAAATTTAAAATCTCTCTCTAACTTATCACAACTTGAGGAAAGATTTTAAAAAATTAAAAGAAAGCTGCTTAAGACAAGAAAGAATTTGGGGAAAATAACAAGTTCCCCGAGGGATATTTAAAAGAAATTTTTGAATTAACCGAGGAGGGATAAGGTATAGAGAGAGATTAATATAATTTTCACATTTTTATAGGCAGATATAAAAATATTTTTAAGGAAAAAAAATTCTTTTTTTTTAAGTCAAGGCTTTACATAAAAAAAGCAAGGCGCGAATAAGGCATAGAAAAAAATGCACATGATATTTAAGAGATTAAATTTAAAAAATTTTTTTAAGAATTAAAAATAATGGCCTGTTTTAATATATATATTTTTTCTAATTAAAAATATAGAATCTTTTTTTTATAAAAAAAACCCTCAGAATACTGAAGCATGCTAAACCCGCCGCTGCGAGACCCCACACATTTTGTTTCTGCGAGACCCCACCCAAACTCAGAATCATTCGTTTAAAAGATTTTTTAACGAATGCGAAACGCCCTAGATATCAAAGATGGGTCCGTACCCAACCCCAAACTTTTTTTCGACCCGAAACCGATTCTAAGAAAATTTTGGAAACACCTAAACCCGACTTTTTTTCACAACCCGCCCCATTCCTGCTGGCTATAGTTTTTGATACAACTTGAAATATAGGCAGGGGGTCCATCCACACAAAACTCATATTTACTCCTCACAACGATTATTGTTACAACGTTCCTCCAATTCTTCTTCAAAATTTAAAGGAATTTGTTGTTGTTGATTATTTGAAGAATGTTGACGTTGATGATGTTGAGGAAATGATAAAAGTTGTTGTTGCTGCCGTTGTTGTAGGTGCTGAACTCGATGACCTTCTAAAGCTTCTCCTTCAAGGTAATTTTGTTCTGGTTTAACATAAGAAAAGGGGAAGTAGGCTGACTTAAAAAAAGGGAAAAATTAAAAATAGTGAAATCTAGGGTAGTTCCATGTCTTCACATTTTTTGGAAAAGCCCACGATCCGAACCCCGACGCAAACCTCGATCGGGGGTGGGGTAAAAGATACACCACCCCTAGGGCTACACAAAAAAATTGGCGTACATCCCTGGTGTCCTTAAAGAGATTTCTACCCATTAAAAATAAAATTCCAAACTTACAGGGCCTCCATTAATCGACCCTTTCCACCATCCCTTATCCTCCCCAATAGTATCCAAAACTTCAACTAGATCGCCAGGAATTAAAGTTAAATATTTTGAAGTATCTGGACGACTAAAAGAACGTTGAGCAATAAATAAAGCACTTTTTAATGGGGTAGATTTTAATATTACATCAATTTCGAAGCCTTCTTTAATACTGTTGCTTCGATAAAAATTGACTAAATCCTTTAAAAAATAGAGGGGAATTAGTGGAAAAAATTCTGAAAGTATTTAAAAATTCTGATTGGGAAAAAATAAACTTTTGTAGAAATTCTGATCAGAATAAATAAAATCAAAAACATTTTTTAATCAGAATAAATCGGAAAATCAGAAAAAACACAGTTCTGAAATAAACCAGAAACTGGAAAATCAGAACAAGAGAAATCGGAGTTTCAATCAGAATTCTGAAAAATCAATCAGAAGTCAGAAAAATAAATTCTGATTTTAAAATTAAACAGAACTAGAGAAATCAGAATATTTTAATATTAATCAGAATTAAAAAGTATGGATAATCCAAAATCAGAATATCCTTATATTAGGTTTAAAAAATAAAATATTTACCACAACAGAATCAAATAATCTCTCTTCGTGTAAGAAATACCTAGAAAAAAAAAATTAAAAATTTTTCAAACTATCTTTTAAATTTTTTGAAATTTTCTCCAAAAAATTAAAAAAAAAATTTTTTGCGGACAGTCCGCAATTTTTGTCCGCAAAAAAAAAATTTACAAAATTTCAAAAAATCATCAAAAAAATTTTTAAAAAATTTTTCCCACAAACTTACTTATTATTCTCTTCATCAAATACAATTTTTATATGTTTCAATAAATTTCCAATTTGTAAAGACAATACATATTGTTGATAATTTGTGTTCCAACGAATTAAAAAAGTCCCTTTTTCTGTCCCCTCCAATAAATTATTGGCTATTTTACGTCCAATTTCACCAAAATACCAAGGATATTCTTCTGGAATGTTTTGTCTTTCTAAAGGAATGTCTACTGCCTCCATTATTCTACTGAAAAAATAAAAAAATATTTTTCGATTAAAAAAATACGTTGTCCGCAAAATCTTTGCGGACAAAAAAATTTTGTGGCAAAAAATTTTTTCAGTGGTTAAGTTGGGTAATAAAAAATTCCCATAACAAAGGGGTTAAAGGTTCGAACCCCGTCGGGGGAAATAAATATTTTTAGTGTTATTTTAAGTTTTCTGTTAAAATTTTTGCGGACAAAAAAATTTTGCGGACAAAAATTTTTTTCAATGGTTAAGTTGGGTAATAAAAATTACCAATGGAAGGAGGTTAAAGGTTCGAACCCCGTCAGGGAAAATAAATATTTTTAGTGTTATTTTTACTTTTCTGTTAAAAAATTCTTTTTTTTCAATCAAAAATTCAAGTAAAAAATTTTTCTTATCCAAAAACCCCTAAAATAAGTTAATCCGAAATTTTACCAATTTTGTCCGCAAGTTTTGTCCGCAAATATTTTATTTAAAAAATTTTTAGAAATCTAAACCTGCTAACAATCATTGGCACTTTTTTGGAATAAATTGAATTAGAAGCCATTGGAGAAGGTAATAAATGTGTTGGTGTATCGTTATCGTCTACAGTTATAACTTCAGATAAAGAACAATTAGAGGAACGGCTATAACGTTTTTTCTAAAAGAAAAAAAAATTTTTAAAAAATTTTTAAAAGAATTTTAAGATGGCATTTTAGGCAGGGAATGCTAGAGATTTTTATTGACTTGGGGAAGAATAAAAAAAGTCCGCAAGTTTTTTTCCAAAAGAATTTAAAAAAACTCACAAAATCCAAACTAGGTAAAGTCCTTCCTCCACCTCCATACCCTCCATGTCCATTTGTAAAATTTAAAGACAAAATTGTGTTATTTATATTTTGTAATTGTTGATTAATATTTAAATTTGAATTATTTAAATTAAATGTTTGGGGAAATATTGAAGATAGACGCGAAATTGTTGGGGATACTTCCTGTTGTCGTCTAATTATTATTTTTGCTAAACATTCACATTTTTTTGTACATTCCAAATGAAAATCTTTATTACAACCTGGAAATTTTGAAGAGAAAAATTAATTTTAAAAAGTGAAAAAATTTATTTAATTTTTGGTAAGGACTCAAAAGGGTCAATTTTTTTAAATTGAGTCAACAAACATAAATATCGATTTATTAATTTGGGTCAAACCTCATATGGTCAATACGAATAAATTTTATTAAAATTTGACCGAAATTCGGGAAATTGACCCTTACGCTTGACCAAAAATTAAAGAATTTTTTTAATTTTAAGATTATTTTCAAGCCTCAGTCTCTAAGAGAGCTTCAAATAATTTTAAAAAATTTGTTAATGAAAGAAAAAAATTCAAAAAACCTGAGCAATGATATCCCTGAAAAAATTTTCCTCTCAAAAGTTTAGAGCATACAGAACAAACAGTTACAGAAGAATAAGTTTTGTAAAGTAAAGAATGGCCTAATGTTGAAGCTTCTTTTGGATTGCTAATTTCTCTGAAAAAAAATTTTTTTTGATAAAAAAATTTGCGGACAAAAAAATCCGCAATTTTTCTGTCCGCAAAGATAATCATTATTTAGAGAAGTGAGTTGAATCGGAAAAATTTTAAAAAGATCATAAGTTAAGTAAAACCATGATCCAAAGAGGAACTTTATAGTTAAAAAATGTATTGTGGAGAAAACTTACGGACGAATAAAAAAATTTGCGGACAATTAGAAAATCCGCAATTTTTGTCCGCAAAAATTAATCATTTAAGAATAGTAAAGCTAAACAAAAATTATTGTATTAACTCATAATTTACAGACAAAAAATCCATTTATGTATAGAAAAAATTTTTCGAATAAAAAAATCTTTGCGGACAAAACTTGCGGACAAAAAAATTTTTTTTGCGGACACCCCCAAAAATTATTTTTAATTCAATTAAAAAATTACATACATTGCTTTCTTAATCATTTGTTTCCAATTATTCATATCATTCAAATTTTTAAAAATAAATTGAATTAATAAATTAGTCGAATTTATTTCATTAATTCCTCCAAAAAAATTTGAATTTCTTCTTTTATTATTATTTAATTTTCTTTTTTCAATTATAAAAGAATTGCTATAATTATTTAAATCAAATAAATTGCTTGTTAATTTTCGAGATATTGAATTATATTTATTTAAAGTTGTTGAGGAGGACAAGTCGTTAGATTCAATTAAATCAAAATCAGCAAAAAAATAAAAATTTTTGGATTTGTATGTTCCTGCCTAAAAAAGAGAAAAAAATTTTTTAAAAAATTTTGCGGACAATATTTGCGGACAGAAAAATTTTTGCAAATAAATCTTGCGGATAAATTAAAAATATTTTTTTCTTAACATCGGTAAACCTCCTTATAATATACGCTTTGAAACATAAAATCTCGTCCCTGGTATCGTAATTGGTGAATATCTCTTTTAGGAAGCTTATCCAACACACAGGTTCTCTCTTTTGAAGGTTTCTCTTAAAGGGGGCACCGCTCCCTCAGCGGCCAAAAAAAATAAAAATTTTATTTAAATTTGCAGACTGTCCGCAAAATTTTCCGCATAAAGTTAACTATAAAACGAGAAGGGAATAAAATTCATACCCTAAAGGAATTCGAACTTATAAAAAATTAATTTTAAAAAACCTCTCTTTTAGCAAAAAGTATCATACTCTCGAATAGAAAAACACTTCTTTGTTTTGCTTTTGAGGATGCTCCATTTTCTGTAATTGCTATTTTTAATGTTCCATCAAACATAAAACGTCCATAATGCAACAAATTCTAAAAAAATTGAAAAAAAAATTTTTTTGCAAATAATCCGCAAAATTTTGTCCGTAAAATTTTTTTTAGACTTTTTGTGAAGAAAAAAGGCCAAACGTAGGTCGATTAAAAATTATTTAAAAATTCGATGGTTAAGAAGGTACGGATTAGACAATAAAATAATCAACTAAAGAGAATTGAGGGTTCGAACCAAACCAGCGAAAAATTAATTTTCCTATTGTTATATTTAATTATTAATTTGATAAAGTTAAAACAAAGTTGATATTTTACGGACAAAAATTGCGGACCAGAGCCTCCACACGAAAAGTTAAAAAAATTTTTTAAATTGCGGATTGTCCGCAAATATTATCCGCAAATTTTTATTTAATAAAATTTGCAAAATCCGCAAAAAACTTTTTGCAGACAAGTCCGCAAAAATTTTTTAAAATAAATGCGGACAATCCGCAAATGATTGTCCGCAAAATATTTTTAATTAATAAATAAACAATAACAAACCACATCCAAATCACAAATACTTCTTTCAATAGTATTAATACACCCAATAATTTCCTGATCTCTTTTCATTTCATTTACGTAAACAGCAACATCTTTCATTGCTTCATAAGCCTCGTTTAAAAAAGATTTTTCAGTTAAATCAGAAGTGTTTTTGAATAAATTCTTTAAAAAAAATTAATTTCGAATTAATTTTCAAAAAAACCTCCAAAATTAAATGATATTTTGTAATTCTTTGAAATGGTAAAATTAAAAAATCACGCAATTTAAATTGAAGATTTTTTCCCAATTCCTTTAAAAAAAAAAGAAAAGAATTTTTGCTGACAAATTTGCGGACAAAACTTTAATATACCAAATTCCTTTTTTTCTCAATAACCTCACAAACCTTTCTAATCCCCACAAATTTTTAAAAATTTTTTTGTAGAAAATTTTAATATTTCATCATTTTCAAATAAATAACTGTTAGAATCCAAAAACATTAGTCTCTGCTAGAGGGATTCAAAAGAAAATTTTGTCCAGAGTTGGAAGCGTGAAGTAACCCCGCAGTCTTCGATAAATCCAAATTTTCTGATCGAGCAGAGTAAATGTAGGGGGTTGAAAAAAATTTTCTTTAAAAATTTCTAACACCTCTCCCAAAAGCAAATAAAAATCTTTAAAAACCTCAACAATTCTTTTATAATTAAAATCAACTCTTTCCAATTCTTCAATTCTACGAGAAGAAGACCCCAATTGTGAACAAAATAAGCCATAAATTGTAAAATTCATCTTATATCTTTAAAAAAAAATTTTTATTTAAAATTTTTTTTTGAAAAATCCGCAAAAATCTTGCGGACAAAAAAAAGTCCGCAAATCTTCCGGCCCTCTTTTTATTAAAATTTGTTCAAAAAAATATTAAACAAACTTGAAAAACACTTGAGCAACCCAATTCTTATCCAAAACTTCTTCCTCCCCATCTTTTACCAATCCAAGACTATGTAATATTGCTTCAGTCAATTCAGGCAAAAATTTTCTGTGTAACCCCAAAATTTCAAAAATATTTATAAAAATTGTCAAAAAATCGCTGCTTTGAAGGTGGAAACGTAGAGGATTGTAAAATCTATCTATTATTGTTTGTATTCCATCCAAATAGCTAATTTCTGTATCTAGCAATTCTTTTAGGCAGTGATCCCTGTTGTTGGTTGGGGTAAATTCTAAGTAGTTCTAAATAATACAAAAAAATTTGCGGACAATTTTTGCGGATTTTTTTTAAAAAAGATGGACAGTTGGTTCAATAACACATATATAAATTTAGAAAGTTTTGGGAGTCTTAAAGGTCTGAGGGTTTTAAAGGTTTGGGAGTAAATGCCCTAAAGGTAGACATTTATGCAAAAAAATTTTTTGAAAAAGTGGACATTTGGTCCAACCAAGATCGACTGACATGAGTCAGAGCCAAAAACTCGGTTCTTCTTTACACACTTTCAAACAAATTTAACACACCTTAGCGATCTTCTATTTGAGCAAATACCCACTAGTATATGTCCAAGGCTGGTGAATTCAAAAATTAGTTCAGGCCTCTGACTTAAAAAGAATCCCCACCCCTCAAAAAATTCAAATAAAAAAATCCTCAAAAATTAAAAAAAAACCCCCATACAAGAGGCAAACATCTATTCCTCGGTATTTTTTGAGAACATATAGATTCGTATATTTCTTGTCCTGTCCTTTCCTCTTCTTCTTCCCTTTGTTTATTAATTACTGAATAATTATCAAATTCTGTATATTGTTGCTGTTGTTCATATTGTTCCCTCAAATTTAAATAAATATCATCATCGGATTCTTCTCGATTTGGTAATTTTGAAGGAAGAATTGTTTCTTCCGGGAAAGCCCTAAAATTATTTTTAAAAAACTTTGACTCAAAATTCTGCTTCAGAAACAAATATTTCAAAAGCATGCTTTTGAATCATCCAAAAAAATTTCCAATACTGAAGCATGCTTCAGGTTTCATAAGAAAAAATTCTGAGAAATGTCTCTGAAGCATGCTTCTGCATTTTAAGAAGCAAGTGAAGCATACTTAAAAAATGCTCGGTAGCATGCTTCAGAAAAAAATTTCTGGTGAAGCATACTTACGGAGCATACTTCTGAATTTTCAGAAGCAATGAAACATGCTTCAAGAAATACAATGGAAAATGGTTCAGAAAAAATTTTTTGAAGGAAAAAAATCTAAAGCATGCTTCACGTTTCGAAAACAACTTATTTGAAACACACTTCTCACAACTTTTTAAAAACAAAAATAAAAAACAAACTTTAATCCCAACTGCCTCGATTTTTGACTTCTAGAAAGTTGCGACAAAAGTCTAAGAACCGCCGGGAAGTTTTGCAATTCCAACAAATCATCTTCACTAAAAACCTCATTTATTGAAAAATGATCACGGCAGGCTTTAAGAAATAGAGCAATGTTTTTTGAGCAAACAAACTGAAAAAATAAAGGTTTATAAAAAGAGAATTGAAGTTAAAGAAAAAGTTATTCTCACTAAAAATGGACATTTGATCCCTCAACTTAAAAATAAGAAAAACTAGCTAGATGTTAGATTGGGTCTAGTCTAATAAGGTTGTTTTAACCACAGCTTAGAGCCAGGCAATTTAATTTTTGAGGGTCTCTCTGAGTTAAGGTCAGGTTTGGGGTCCAGCTCTGGAACGAATCAGAGTTTAAGGCACAGGATTCTTTTGAAAGAGTATGTGCTTTAGTCCAAGTTTGATATCTGTTTACCTGAACAACAGAGATCTTTCCTCAAGTCCAAGAAACCACCAGAAATTAGATTACCTGGCGCTCTGTGTTTGTGGTTCCACTCACTAAAACAGACTTAAACCAGCTTCAGTTCCCTATAGAGTAAAATACACAAATTTAACAAGCCTCCTTATCCCTCCTTAAACCCAAGCCTATTAAATCCCAAAACCCCCCAAAACTTAAATTAAAAAATACATGTAATTGTTGATATTGAGACAATATTTCGTGTGAATAAATACAGTTTGGACACAATTTAATAGCCAAATTACACAAAAGAATTCCATCTCTCAAAATGAAGGCAAAATCGGATAATTTGTCAAATTCAGCTTCAGGGGAAAGCACTCCTGTTGATTTTATCCATTTTATACATTGCTGCCAAAGCTCATTTTCTCTATTATTACTACAAGGCATTTCTAAAAAGAAAAGAAAAAAAAATTTAGCAAAAATTCTGAAAATTTAAGAAAAAACTCAGAAAAAGTAAAAAACGACCTTTTCGTATATTTACTTTTTGAAATTTTACATTTCAACATGCTAGCACTAAAAATGTCAATTAAAAAACATTTCAAAACACCTAAAAGCTGAAATAAACAAAATGTGATACAACAGAATGCCATGCATGCAAAATAGACAAAATGTCACACTGTGTAAAAACGACAGATTGTCACACAATACAAAATACGACAACACGCCGAACTGTGTAAAATTCGACAAAATGTCCGCGTAAGATAGACAAAATGCATCCCTGTTAAAACCACGACAAAATGGCACAACAATTTTGTCATGTACAAATTGAAAAATTATTTTTAAAAATCAGCAAAAATTTTTGCAGAATGCAAAAGTATGCAAATTATTAAAAAATCGAAAAAATCAGAATTTTATTATATAAAATCAGAAAAAAATCAGAAAAATCAAAATTATTGAGAGAATAATTAAGTAGAAGATACTCCGCTTTCTTTTCTCACAGGTTGTTGTTGCTGACAACTTGCTCCATTTAAACTATCACTATCAAATAATTTATACCACCCAACAATATTTCCTCCTCCTAGCTGTAATTCTTCCAAAGCAATTTGAATTACTCCCATAAATATTTTACGTTCTAAACGTCCAAAATCCCCAATTACAGTTATTTGAAGCATTTTATTTCTCAAATTCTCATTGAAAATTAATTTTTGGCGAAAGCTGGGAGAGGCAGAACGTGTTCTTGAAGGCTGTGTTTTTGCTTTTGCTACACAATTTTTTCCTTCCATTAAATAGGCTTTGACGTAGGAAGCTGTTGAAAAAGAAATTTTTAGTCTAAAATAGACTCTATATTGAAGGATGGCTCCCTTCCTAAAAATCAGTCATTAACAAAAGATTTTATTTACGGCCAGTCGATAAACGGCAAAACTTAGGTGGCTGTTTATAAGAAATTAAAATTAAAGAGGAAATCAGTTTTTGTCGAAAAAAAAATTCAAAAAAAAAGCACTCACCAGGAGCTCCTCTTGGTCCAATCTTCAATTCTCTAGCCTCCCTAATATCCAAAACCAATCCAGTTCCCTGTTCAACTGATAAACCAATCAACAGTTCACCCATAGGTATAGCACCAAGTGCTTGGCGTCCGACAACTTGCCCAGGGCCAAGATTTTCCATAAATGAACCGAGTGGTCGGTCAGGCAAAATAGGCAGCCAACTGAATTTTATAAACGGAGTTAGTGTAGAAGCTTTCAGTCCTTAGAAGCAACCTAGGCCGTCAGTTTACCACGAGTCTCTTATGTAGAAGCCTAAAGAGAGGTCTCTTATAAAGAGAGGTTTCTTAAATAGTGGTTTCTTATGTAGAGGTCTCTCATAGAGAGAGTCTCCTCTATAGTTTCATATATAGAGAGGTCCCTTATATAGAGGTACATATTCAAGATTAATTTATTTACTTGTCAGAACTGTCAGTAGATTCTTTACTATTTTGTTTGATAAGTTCAGGCGGGGCTAATGCTGTATTTGATGTTGTTGTCGAGACTGTTGTTGTTGCCCCTCCCCCTCCTTCTCCAGGAATACCAACCTCTTCAGAACGTGCAAAGCCTAGCCTTTTGTTTGCGTCTAAAAGGAATTTTTTGAGATGTCACGAAATGCGAAACACGAAATAATTTCGTGTTTCGCATTTCGCGAAATACAGACACGAAATTATATTTCGTATTTTTTTACCATTAGGTCCATTCCTTCCAGGTATTAATCTTGTCATTAAAGACTTTTTTCTATCCTTCATTTCCTTGGCCGTCATTGAAGCTAAATTTCCTAATTGTTGTTGCTGTTGTTGTTCAATAAATCTCTCATCTTCTTCATAATCTATAATATCCCCTCCATTTCCATAATTTTTTGTATCTTCGTTTGAACTCTGACTTTGTTGTTTTAATTGTTGTTGTTGAATTCTTTGGATTTGTTGTTGTTGTCGAAGTAAAGCCCTAAGAAAATTTATTGAACTTGAAGCAAAGTTTTAATAAAGTTTAGAAGCAAAAACAGAAAGGGAAAGAAAAATTCCGGAAAAAGAATATAAAGGGAACCGAAAAACACAATCCGGAAAAATTAAAGGAAAGAAACACACTTCGAAAAATATATAACCGGAAAACATTACCAGGAAAAGACACGCTCCGGAAAAAAATTAAAAGAAACCGGAAAAACATAATCCGGAAAAAAATAAAAGAAACACGCTTCGAAAAATAAAAACCGGAAACATTATCAGGGAAAAATATTTGAATGACGGAAAAACACACTCCGGAAAAATTAAAGGAAACCGGAAAAATACAATCCGGAAAATTAATAATAAAAATATAGAAGAATCCGGAAAAATATATTAATTTGCTTCAACTTTTAAACTAATCCGGAAAATTACCTATTTTGCATACTCTGAGCAGAATTAACACTTAAAGTTTCTGCAGAACAATCAGAGCCATATTCACCACCCCCACCTCCTCCAATCAGACTTCCGCTACATTCTTGCTCTTTTAATTCTTGTTGCCGTGTTGTTTTACGACTATTATTATTTTGCTTCAAATCTTGATATCCTTCCCTTTCTTCAATGAAAACAGAATCTTGACTATTATTAACCCCTGAAGAATGACGCTGCTCCCATTCAACTACTGAAAATATAAAATGCTAAAATATAAAAGTGAAGCAGGAATTAAAAAACTGAAGCAAAAAAAACAACTGAAGCACCAACAAAAAGTGAAACAAAAACAAGCTTCCACCTTATTTTTGCTTCAGCTTCCCAATCTTCTCAACTTACTATTCCTAAGCGCTGTAGCTGATTGAGGCCTTCTATCCCGAACATTGTTGTGTTGTTGTTGCCTATCTCCATGACGATGTTGATGATGTCTATGTTCTCTATCTCTACGCCTATGTTCTCTACTATGTTCCCTTTCTTTACGCCTTCTTCCAATTTCCCATTCTTGCTCTTGATCTGATAAACAAATATTTTTTCGATGTTTTGAATTTCTCCCAAAATTTCTTCCTTCATCCCAAAAATCTTCATCGTCTCCATAATAATTATGCCGCCCTCTCCTAAAGGCTTCCGAATGTATAGGAAAATCAGAATTATAAGAACGATGACGAGAACGTGAAGAATGAAGCTAAAAATAGAAGTTTAAAAAGTCAGGTTTGCCAAATATTTTGTCCCTCAACTGTTTGCTGCCTAGTCTTTCTGTCTTTGCCTAGTATGATAAGGAGCCCCGGAGTTTTCCGGAAAACACGCTCTGAAAGTTTCCGGAAAATACGTTTCGGGATTTTTCAATAAAAAACAAGGCTTCGGAAATTTTTCCTGATTCCTGATCAGACACGAAGTAAGGACCAGAAAACACAAAAACTTACCGGCAGATCATGAACAGAAAGTGAATTATTTGCTTTATTATTGCTTTCCCATTCTCTATTAGAAACATTTCCTCTATCCGAAGGGCCAAATGAAGCAGAAGCATTTTGTGGAAGCGTTCGATAAGGAAAATTCATTTGTGAACGACTACGCTGTTGACCGGCTGGAGGGGTTAGTGAGGAAGAATACCTTCTTTGCTGGTATCGAAGTCTCTATAAAAAAATTTTTTATTGGCCAATCCCATAATTAAATTACGTACCACTCTAATAGGATTATCATCATCCATATCTAGCAAAGTATAAACATGTGGTTGATTATTTAATGGAGCTTGGCTTAAATCAATTAGTGCCTCTCCCAAGAACGAGTGTGATTCGAAAGCGTCATAATCCCAAAGAGTGACCTGAAAATTTTTTAAATCCGGTAACAAACAAATTTCTCTATCTTTCACCTCCAAAACACGATTAGCCAATTCATTCTCATCTAAATCTTCATAAAAAAAGTGTTCCTCCCACACCGGACTTTGCGTCCCTGTAATCACTTTACTTTGCCTTCGACTTCTTTCACTTTAAATTTAGAAAATAATTAAATTTAATTAACTCATCTACCTCCTATCCGGCAACAAAAATAATTTAATATAAGGATTTCTATCATTTTCATTTGGACGTGGTAATAAATCATAGGCACGACTTAGAGAAATAATTAATTCGCGTTTTTGTGGTAAATATAAAAGAGCCATCTAAACATTGTTTTTATTAAAATCAGAATTTAAACAAAACATACCTCTAATCGACCACATATTCCAGAAACATTATCAGAATTAAATTGGGAAGGAGAAAAACAAAAAGGAGTAGAATCAACTAAAACATGTTTTAATTAAACAAATTTAAAGTAAAACACAGAAAAATTAAACAAAACAAATAATAAATTAAAAACACAATGTTTTTAGATTTAAATGTTTTTAATGTTTTGTTTGTGTTTTTGTTTTGTTTTTGTATTTATTTTAATTCTGGTTTTGTTTATGTGTTTTCACGTGTTTTTAAAATGTTATTTGTTCTGTTCTAGGTTTAATTTTAATTGTTTCGTGTATTTTCGCTTGTTTATTCTATTCTGGTTTTGTTTTTAAAGTGTTTTACTCATTTCTATGTTCTTTGTGTTTTTAATTTATTCTGGTTATTTTCTTTGTGTTTTTAATTTAGTATTTTGGTTTTGATGTTAAATACACTTACAAAAGCCCGTTAAAGCATCATTATAGGGTTGTTGTTGTTGTAGCACAAAAGGAAAGGGGACCCGCGAATAAAAACAATGTTTTTGTTGTTGTTGCATAGAAGCACCACCACTAATAAAAGGCGTAGCAGAAATTAAAGATTGTGAGTGTGGGATATTTTTATTAACTAAAAATTGTTGTTGTTGTTGTTCTAATAATCTTCTTCTACCCAAATTTAAAAAATCATCTCCATCACCGGTTAGTGGACGAGAAACAATTAATTCTAATTGTGTGTCTGCTTTGCTGGTTTGAACTATTGTATAGACAGTCTAAAAAATTAAAGGGGGATTTTAGAATAATTTTTGGAGGGTAAAAAAACCTCTGGGCTTGCATTCTGAAGTTGATGGCCATTCCATTCTAGCACTTCATCACCTGAATTTTTAAATTTCCTATTGACAGAAATATTTAAAAAAGGTCCCTACCAGCTCTTAGCTGCCCCACAGTATCAGCAATAGAACCAGGCCTAACACGAGTAACAAAAGCTCCAAGCCTTCCACTCATCGGATCCCTACAACCAACAACTTTAAGCCCAAAATCAAGAATATTGCTGCAAGTTGAGGTTGCAGGAACAAGCCTATTTAACAATAAATGCCCAATTAATTTGCGTTGATCTGTTGACGGTTTCCACGAAACTGATGGATTCTTTGAAAGAGAGGTTAAAATTTTCTTTTGATTTTTAAAAAACACAAACAGAAAGATAGCTTCTAATTCGATTAGCCAAAAGAACATTATCTGGAACGACTGTTTTTGAATGTATAGCAGACATGGAGCCGGTACTCATAGTTGCATGTCTTTGGCCAAATAGAGGTAAAGTAGAAGTATTACCTGAAAATAATTTTTTTGAAATTTTGGACATTTTGAGATTTTTGACATTTCAAAAAATTGGTACTTTAAAAATTATCTTGGACATTTCGAAATTTCGACATTTCGCGAAAATACGAAATTTCGACTTGTTAAAAATAAAAGTATTTAAATATTCATAAAATTCAGTCAATGAATGAACATAAAAATATGTGGCCATTTTTTCATTAATTTTTTTGTTTTCAATTGAATAGAAATGCCGTTACTTAATGTAAAGCGCCTCTATTTTTTACTTGCATTTTTCTTTAGTCGACGACCCACACACATTTATCCCTTAAAAGCTTATATTATAGAACTACTTCTTATCTTATTTTCTCTTTTTTACTTAAAGCTTTGTGGATTATTCGCGCTTAATTGAACTTGTGTGGGGGAAGAAAGAGATGAAAGCCTAAAAAAGGTCTCGGGTCAAATCTGGAATTTTCTTGGGTTGAAACAAAATTGTTTTTGTTTGGAAAACAAAAATGTTTAGAAAAGAAACAAATGTTTTGGAGAGTAATTAAAAATTTTTATGTTTTTGTGTTTGTGAAAAATACAAGAAAACGCAGAAACATCCAACCCACCTTTTTGAGTAGATACTGTGTTTCTCCTGGCATTTGGATGAGCGTTTTCATAGATATACCGCAACATTTCTTAATGTTTTGAAAAATACAAAAATATAAAATACAAAAATGTGTTTTTAGCATTGGTTTAAGTTTGTGTTTCAAGTTTTAATGTGTTTTATTTGTATTTTTTACAAAAGAATGTTTTGATTAAAACAAACAGTAAAATAGAAAAACACAAAAACAAATGTTTATTTAATATTTTAAATGTTTTGTTTGTTTTGTGTGTTTTATTTGTATTTTTACAGGTGTTTTACAAACATTTCTTAAACATTTTAATCAAAAAAAAAATGTTTTTAATCATAAAAACATGTTTTTAATTATAAAAATAAATGTTTTTAAACAAACATATTTTGAATGTTTTGTTGGTTTTGTCGTGTTTTTATTGTATTTTTAAAAACACATGTTTAATTTAAAATACAAAAACGTGTTTTACCTTTTTCTGAAAAGTCAGGCTCTTCTTTTTTAATGTTTGTCTGTTCAAGTTGAAGTGAAGTACTTTGTGGTAAACAATGTTGTTGTTGTAATGTTTGTTGGTGTTTTATTTGTTGTTTTATTTGTCTATCAATTTGTTTTTGTTTTGGAGAACTAATAATTTGTTCATCAGAAGAAGAAGGGCAAGAAGAATGTATTTGTTGTTGTTGTCTATTTGTTATTGTCATTTTGTTTCGACGTGTTTTTAACAAAGGCAAGGAATTATTGTTGGGGCTGTCATTATTATTTGGGATTAAATTGGTGGATATTTTGGAAGAAGGTGAAGAAGGTTGTTGTTGTCGAATAGAAGAAGCGCCGCTATTTTGGTTAGGTAATGCTGAAGCTATAATATTATTGTCGTTAGCTGTTGTTATTTGGCCTAAAAATAAAGAAAGAAGAAAATGTGTCAAGACTAATAAAAGAAAAAAGGCTAATTGAAAATGGCAAGAAAAAAAGCTAAAAAATGCAAATTTAAAAGAAAATATCCAAATGAGAGAATATCCTAATTTCCGGTTTTTGATAATTTTAGGCTATATAAATGTTCAAAAAAAATTTTTAACCTCCTTCAGTCCGCATAATTCGTGGAGACTGTTTTAAAGATTGGGGAGGATCCGAGGAAGCAAAGTCCAATGAATTTTGTTGTTGATTTTTTAAGGCTGATTCATTTAAGCGTGCTTGGCCGGAAGTTGAAGGGCGTTGTTGTAGTTGTATAGGTGATGTTGTTGGTTGTTGGGAAAGGCTGGAATTATGATTTTATAGAATTATAGAAAAATACAAAAACATTAAAATAGAAAAAAACACAGAAAAATAAACACAAACTAATTCAAACGAACATTGGGTTGTAAAAGATAAAAACAGAAAATACAAGACTTAGAAACACAAAATACAAAAACTTGAAAGACAAACAAAACAAAAATACAACAAATATACCTACAAAAACACAAAAACAATACAATCACAACAAACAAACAACAAAACAAACAAAAACAATGGAAGCCTTTTTAAAAATACAAAACAAATAAAAACACAAAAATAAAACAGAAGAACAAAACAAAAATTAAAACAAACATAAAAACAATACCTTTGTTGTTGTTGTAAGTTATGCTGTTGTTGTGTTTGTTGCCTCGGTAAAGCGTTACCAACTTTGTTTGAAACTTGTTTTTGTAATGTTTTTCGAACATTTTCTTTTTCTCTGTTGTTGTTATTGTTTTCCTCATCCAAAGAATTCTGGACATTAAAACTTTGTTGTTTAAAACTCTCGTTGTTGTTGTGTTCTCTTTGTTGTTTAATACTTCTGCGTGTCTGACCGTTCAATCTAAATGTTTCATTAGATGTTTTTGGTAATTCTTCTGTTGTTCCATTTATTATAGGTTGTTGTTTCATGTTTTTGTCGTCTGACTGCATTGTTTGTTGTCTTTTTAATGTGTTTTGGCGGGTAAGAGAAGTTCGTTTTTGTTGTTGTGACGATAAACTTTGTTTTCTTTGTAATTTTTCATTTTGTTGTGTTGTCTTTGTATGTTCGGAAATTGAAAAATCTGAAGACTTTTGTGGTAATTGATGTTGTTGTGTTGTTTGTTCTTGAAAAACATTGTCATTTAAATGTGTTTGTTGTTGTTGGAACCACTTCCCCGTTCTAGCCAGAATTTGTTGTCTTTTCTGACAAAGAGAACAAGCCCAAATATTCTTATTTTTGCTAGTTGTTTTACCCCCACAACGAGCACAAGATCGCAATTGACAATAAAAACACTGGAAAAAATAAAAATTATTTCGTTAAAGGCTTCAATAATTTTTTCATTTTTTTCACCTTATGCCCAATCCCATCAGCAAATTTAGTTTTTTGACAAATTTGGCAAATAGCGTCATCTTGTGTCCCAATTAATTTTTGAGCATTTTCTTTACGTTCTTGAATTTGTCGTTCAATATCCCAAAGTTCTTGATTTCCTTTTTGAGCAATTTCTTCTTCTTTTCTTTCCTCATCTTTTTGTCTTTGCAATACTTGTAAAATTATTTGGCGTTCTTCTTCGCTTAAGTGTGACAAATCTGGGGCTCCAATATCGAGAGAATCTCCCCCTTGTTGTGGAGATGGGGAAAATGGGGATGGTAAAGATGATACAGGCACCATTGTTACGAAAAAAGTCTTGCAAACACAATTTACATAAAAATAATTTGGGTATGTCGATGTCGTTTCATTTTTAGGTGAATATTAAATAGAGGTTTATTAGAGCATAATTATTGCTTTAATTAAAAGATTAATTAATTATGCAAAATTCCGGAAAATACAACATTTTCCGGAACGAATAGAATAAAAAGGAATACAACCGGAAAAGACAACATTTTCCGGAACAAATAAAATAAGAAGGAATACAACAAATACAACACATTCCGGAAAAGCCTACGTTTTCCTGAACAAATAATAATATTAACCGGAAAACTTTCCGGAATTGAGGTGTTAAATATACAATCTGGAATAAAATAATCGAAAATACAATTTTCCGGAAAATAAATACAATTTTCCGGAATGTTTAAATATCAAATAAAAATAATAAAAAGGCTTTGAAATAGGCAACTATGTTTCTAAGGTAAATAAAAACCCAATAAAAATAAGAAGGATATAATGGATTTTAAAAAAGAGCAAACAAAAGGATGATTTAATGCCCTTAAGGTGAGTTAAAGAGGAAATATTAAAATATTATTTTTTTATTAAAAAGCAAATACCCATAAATATTAAATATTAAAAAAAATAGACAAACGAATGGAATAAACGGAAAAATTGAAAAAAAATTATAAAAAGAATGTGTTCATCTGCCAATTTTATTTAAAAACACCCCAGTCATTTTTGCCTTTTTCTCTATAACCTTTTTATAGAATTTACAAAGTTTGTTTTTTTGTTGTTGCCCTTTGGGTTAGCTGTTGTCGTTTTTCCGTTTCTTACACGTTCACAGAAAAAGGCATTCTTGATTAAATTTCCTATGGACCATAAAAATTTATTTTACCCCAACTTTTAGGGAGACGAGAGAGACGTTATTAATTTTGGGATGAATATTGGAAGAATTAAAAAAGTATAGTTAAGTCAACTAGAAAAATTAAAAACACAAAGGAAAACACATAAAAACACACAAAGAAAACACAAAATATAAAAATAAAATAAACAAATAATTTTATAAACATTTTCAGGAAACACATAAAATCAAAACAAAGTTAGCATTCCGAACAAATTAAAGTAGAAACACATTTTCCGTAAACAAATTTTAGCAAAAACATTCCCCGGAAATGTTTTAATGTTTGTTGGAAAACAATTCCGGAATGTTTAAAAAAATAATCGACAAACATTTTACGGAGAACTATAAAAATAAAACAAAAACATCATTTTCCGGAAGAACATTAAAACATTTCCGGAAAATGTTTTTATTAAAATTTGTTCGGAAAACAATTCCCTAATGGTGTTTGTGAGAAAATACTTGGAAAAACATGAGAAATACAAAATTCTAAACATAACAAAAACAAAACACAAGAAACAAAAACATGAGAAAATATTCATATTATTTGTTTCAAACATTCACACAAACATTTTTAAGGGAAAATACAAACATCAGAAATATTTTCAAGGAAAACATTTTTGGGGAAAACATTTTTAAAGCGAAAAAGATAGGCAAAGAAGCATTAAAGACTAAAAATGGATAATTACCAATTTTAATGCTAAATTTTGCTGCAGGCAAAATTTGGAGCTAATATTAGAGAAAGAAAAAAAAGCTTAAAAATTAAAAAAAGGATTGGGGGGCGAAAATGACGGAGAAATGAAAGAAAGGGGTGAACATTTTCTTCTCCTCTCCTCTCAACCACCAACCAGCCTCCCCCCTTTTTTTTACCCACCAAACAAACACAACCTCTCCTCTATAAAACTACTAGCTACTATAGTATTCCATCACAAAACACTTCCGCCTCTCGTTTTGCTTTGCCCTCTCGTTTCGTCCCCCCTTCAAACATTGCTTCTTCCTTTTTGGCACTATAATCCCCCCCCCTCTCTCCCTTTGTGGCACACACCAACTAGAGCCAGCCAGTATTTGAAATCGATTTTTTCTAGAGCAATTCCCGCATGGCTAACAACAAAAACGACAAAAAACAGACAGATAGACCTATACTTATATGGCACTCCACACACTTTTATATATGGCCATTTTCTATAGAAGCAAAAAATGAGGGCATAAAAAGTGTAAAAAATATAGGAGAGAGAATTTTAAAAAGGTTAAAAAATTTTGCGCGAAACCCGAATAACTCAGAGATGAAAAATAAAGGGTTCTTTGATAGTTTTCATAAATCCCAAAAGCTTGTCAACTGTCAAAATAAATTTTTTTTCCACGGAATTGCGCACATCCTTTTTTAACAATAATGGGGCTATATTTCCCCTTCTAAATTTCCCCCTTCTCTCTTTCTCCTCAGTTTACCTCCCTTTTTTATATTACTCCATTTATCCTGGCCACTTTTCTCCCTTTTTTTTGTGTCTCCCACAAACTAACCGGCAACTACCGGAAAGGTTTTTTGCTATCAAAAAAGAGAGGTATATTTTCTTTTAAAAGTTTCTGCTTCATTCCGGATGAATGAATAATATACCAAAAAGGATATGCATGGAAGAATAAAAAAAGGAGAAAGAAAAAAGAGAACGTTCCAGGGATAAGATTTGTGGTATAGGTTTAGAGGAGGTATGGGGGGAAAGGAACATTAGCCTCTCTCCCTCAGAAAAAAATTTCTACCAAAACTTTTCAAATAAAAAAATTTAAAAATTTTTTTAAAAATCGAATCAAAAGGAATAAAAAAATATAAAAAAATATTTGAAAAAAATAGATATAGAAAATTTATTTTACGATGCTTGGTCTATCTGATTCATTTCATAATAAAGACCTTTATTAGCCATTAATTCTTGATGGGTGCCTAAATTTATTTTTTTTTGTTATCCCCTTTTAAAAAATTAAATATTTGCCTTGTTCATGAATACGACCCTCAACTAAAACAATAATTCGGTCAGCCGATCGGATGGATGAAAGGCGATGTGAGACTTAAGCAAAAATATATTTTTGTAAAAGATATTAAGTAAAAAAGGATGGGTATCTTTTCACGAAAATTTTAAAGATTTTCGGAATAAATAATAAATAAAAATTTTCCGGAAACTAATAATTAAAATAAAATCAGGAAAAACTGGAGAACAAATATGATAAATAAATTCTTTTTACCGGAAAAGGTAAATATGTATTTCCGGAATATTAAATAAATAGTTTTCCGGAAAAAATAAATAAAATAAAAATCCAATAAAAATACCAATAAAAATACATTTTTCCGGAATATACATACAAATAAAACTTTTTCCGGAAAATTATTACATTATTAAAACATGTTCCGGAAAACTCAAAACAAATATTATTTTTTCCGGAAAAAACACATTCAAAAACAAACAAAACACAAAAACATATACCCACCTTGAATACACGTACAATGTTGACTAGCTCTATCCAACGCGCTTTGTACAGCCTACAGAAAAATTTTTCATAATTGAATAAAATATTTATTCTAAAGGTATTACCCTTTCACTAGCAGAATCTAAAGCAGCCGTAGCTTCATCCAAAAGTAAAATTACAGGTTTTCTAATTATAGCACGTGCAATCGCTATTCTCTGTTTTTGTCCCCCACTTAATTGACCTCCAAATTCACCAACTTCAGTTTCATACCCTTTAGGTAATGATTCAATAAAATCATCTAAATTAATGTTGGAAGAATTATTTTATTCAAAAAATATTTTTTTGTTTACGAATATTTGCAAGTTTAGCAGCTTCTTGAACTCTATCTAAACCTGCTTCATCATCTGGGAGACCAAAAGCAATCTTAAAAAAATTATTTAGGTATTTATTTCAAAATACAAACAAATCACTTTTTTATGTAACCTCGTTTGGGGCTGAAAAAGTCTTTTATCCTATAATGAAGTATATCTTAAATTTATGGTGTCACATAGGTAGTTCCCAAACAAATATGCCAATTAAAGTAAATGTCACATAAATAGAAGTTCCCATCCAATTTTAGGTATCTTATACCGAGGACACCTATTAATAGAGCTGAAAATCTCGTGCCTTATAATGGGATTATCCTAAATAAAAGAGTATCACTTTGGCAACTCCCCAAAAAGTAATCAATAAACGTGTCTTAAATCTAGGGTAAATCCCAATTTTAGAGGTATCTTATAGCGAGCTTCAAATATATAATTCAAAAACAACACTCCTCTTACATTTTCTCTTATTGTAAAAGAAAATAAAGTAGGTTCTTGCCCAACAGAAACAATAACTCTATGAAGATATTGAGCATTTATTTGACGTAAATTATATCCATCAAGCAATACTTGCCCTCTTGTTGGAGAATACATTCTTTGCATTAAAGCCATTAAAGTACTTTTTCCACAACCTGAAGGCCCAACAATTGCCAAAGTTTCCCCTGATTTTACTTCAAAACTAATATTTTTGAGAATTGGAACGATTGGTCGAGAAGGGTAGCGAAATTCAACACGATGTAAACGAAGACGGCCTTCGAATTTCTGTAAAATATTTTTATGAAGTTATAGGTGGAAATGAACGTTATAAGTATTTTCCGGATGTTTTCCGGAAACTTATAAATTATATTCCGGAAATTTAGAAATGTTTTCCGGATGGTATAAACAAATTCCGGAGACATACAAACATTTTCTGGAAACTTAAAAAATATCTCGGAAATTGACAAACATTTTCCGCAAATAAATTCCGAAAAGATTAATTATTTTCCTGAAACATACAAATAATGTTACAGAAAAGTATAAACAATATCTCCGAAACTTGTAAACATTTCCTGGAAAAATTAAATTATTTTTTAAAAATTAACCGGACGGAATCCTTCATCGCTCAAGTTGTCCATATCCGCTGCAGGTTCAATCAAAACATTAAGAATTCCCTCAGCAGCAGTTCTAGCCTTTTTTAAATCGGAAACTGAAGCAACCAATAAAGAAAGATAATTTGCACCAAACTAGAGAAAATTTTAAAGAATTGGAAACATAATTAATAAAAAACCTGGGTTAATAAAACAACTCTGAGGTAATCAAAAGGACTGAAAAAAAAATATTAAGAAACAAAAAACATGAAAAAATACAAGCAAACATTGAAAACAAATAAAACACATCCAACAATGAAGTAAAAAAGAAAGAAATTCGCAAACATAAATATCCACCAACATCTAACATTTTCCCCAAAAACATGTAAACGTTTTTCAATCAATAATAAAACAAAACATGATAAACACAAAAACAACCGAAACACAGGAAAACAAATAAAACAAAACAAACAAGATGTAAAAACACAACAAAAACAACCAAAACTCACATAAAACAAAATACAAACAAATAAAACAATAAAAACACAACAGAAATACATAAAACAAAACAAACAGAGCATAAACAAAACATTAAACAAAAACACCAAAACACATTCAAAACAAAACAAATAAATAAACACTAAAAACACAACAGAAATACATAAAACAAAACAAACAGAACATAAACAAAACAAACATAAACAAAACATGAAGAAAACAAAAACAACGAAAACACAATCAAAACAAAATACAAACAAATAAAACACTAACAACACAACAGAAATAGATAAAACAAAACAAACATAAACAAAACATGAATAAAACAAAAACACCAAAACACATTCAAAACAAAATACAAACAAAACAAATAAAAAACTAACCCAATTTCATTTGCCAACATCATCATTTCCCCAATATGTAAAGTAATGGCACTATAAAAAACAATAAAAATATTTTTAAAAATTTTTAAAAAAATCAAACCAAAGAATATAAGTAAAAGAAAATTGACAAGCAAAAACAAAAGCAGAAACAATTGATTGACGTCTCATAGATTTTTTAAGAGGTCTGAGGGCATCACAAAAAATACGATGAAAGTGTGATTGAAGAGAATAAGCTTTGATTGTTGGCATGTTGGTGAGGAATATACTTGTGTACTTTTTTAAAGGAAAAAAATTAATTTTTTTTTTGAATTTTTTTATTGGAGCTGGACATTTTCTGAGAGATATTAAATGGACTAAACATTCTGAGTCAACCTATACGCTTAAATTTTTGACTGACCTCCCAAGTCTTCCTACCTCACTCCAACCCACCCCCACCTCAAGTCTTCCTCCCTCCAATTCACCCCCCCCCCCTTTCCCCCAAGTCTTCCTCCCACACCCAGTCTACTACTACTTGGTTATATCAGTCCACATCTTGATTACCCCATTAACTTCTTCATTGATATCCTAATCTTCTCAAATCTCCTCGTATCCAAAACTCCTTCCTCCAACCTCATTGTTATCTCACTCTCCCTCATACCCAAAAATTTTTTTAACAAAAAAACACAAACTGTAGCAGCCTTTTTCTCCTCTTCTGCCATTTGACGTTGTCTTTTACTAGTTTCACGCACTTCCACAATACGTACAAAAAAGAAGGCTGGGAATTGAAAACCACAGAGTAAGGCTAACTAGAAAAATAAAAAAAATAAACTTAAATTATTTAAAAAAAAACCTTCCAATTTAAAAATAACGCAATAGTTATAGAAACAAAAGCACAAACAAGTGAAGGTAATAACATATCCAGCTTTGAACCAAGAATCTAAAAATAAATAGAGAAAAAATTTCAAAGAAGCTGTGATAAGAGGGAAAGATTAGGATAATAAAAAGTTGGTTACAGAGCAGGAATTAAAGAATATTTTCGAGCAGGGATGTTATGAAGTAAAAAAAAGTCGGAGGTTTTGGGGTAAATCTAGGCATCGATAATGTCAAAGTCAAGTGTTATACAGGTTGAGCTCTAAATGGGCTTTAATGGGGCGATCTGGTTTCCCTTATAGATCAAGTAAATCGACCAAACCCCTTATAAGTACCAGAAAATAAAAAAAAGATTGGATGGAACCTGACCCCGAGAATGCTATCTAATTTCTAAATCCTCTCTTCTAACAATACAACATTTTGGATTTACACAGCCAAATCCACCCCTATCTCATATTTAATTATAAATATACCCTGTTTAAACTTGCAGTGTCTGAAATTAATCTGTGAACAAGTCGACCAGGTGTATTCTCTTTAAAATTAAAATGAAGAAAAATTAAAAATAAATTTGACTAACTATCCTCGTCAAAATAAGCAACTCCATGGCGCAATAGTTGTCTGAACATTTGAAGACGCATATGAGTACAAAAACCATGACCATATAAAGCAACTGAGAGTCTCTGGAAAATATTTTTTTAATAAAATTTTTGAAAAGAAAAAATATTTTAAACAAACCCCAACAGCTTCAAACATTGTTTTGACAATAATAATCTTTAAAAAAAGAAGTTTAAAATTTTTTGATAAAATCCAAACCGCAACGTAAATACAGGCAACAATAAAAACTTTTTCTGAAAGTTGTTCTGCAGGTACTATAGAAATCTAAAAAATAGGTAATTTAATTTTAAATAGAAAAAAAGAAACCTCAAGAAGTGAGGCAACCTCAAAACAAACTAATAAAAACAGGGCTCCTCTCAAAACCGTAATAGGAATAGCCAACGCCAAGTGAACATGCCCTCCTTTAAAATCACGAATCAGGCGCCAAACAGCTCTTAAATTTGTGTGTTTTCCAGGCAACTTTAAAAATTAATTAAAAATTTTTTTTGAATTTTCTATAGGGTTGATCCCTGTCCCGTCAGCAAAAATTTTTTTAGGGGTCGGAGGAAGGTCTGTTAGAGGATCGGGGACAGGAAATCACGGCCCGAAAATAAGTCAGGTAGGGGTTCGGGCCGGGCTTTCAGAAAAATTTCTTAGGAATGGGTTTTCGGGTCGGGTATCGGATCAAAGAAAGAAAAACCCGTGTGTTTGGATAACCCCCTCCCATTCCTGGTCGGGGCTAAAAATTTATTTAGGGATCAAAGACCAACCTTCCAAGTTTATCAATTAAAAAACCCATACAGAAAAATCCTCTTCCGTATAACTTTTAACTTCTTCCTCAACTTCCGGAGCAACTTCCATAACGTTTGGTTTAGACCTCAGCATAGACCTTTTCTTTGACAAAACAGGCAAAGCTTTTAATTTCTCTCGATCCATGCTTAAAACTGAATAGGATTTTCCAATACTCATCTTTTTGTTTGCTCCAACTGAAGATCGAGTCCAGGCCTGGCGTTTAGCCAACAAGGAGTCCTTTAAAAAATTTTTTTAGGATTGTTCACGACCAGTAAATTTTTCCCAGTGGCGGCTCAAATAGAGAAGAATAATGAAAAATTAATTTTTCAACCATAGGAAAAATGCACCAGTTGTGAACAACCTTACAAGGTTGGTACTTAAAATTGACGCTTACGGGCCCCGTTTTTCCCCCCAAGTTTCTTATATCAATGTACAGAATGGTCAGACTTTCCTTCCGTTCCAATCCCCTCTTTCTGTATTTCTCCAATAAATTAATTCTTATTCTGTTTTAGGAGGAAAAAAGGAAAGTCTTGATCATTCTGTTCGGAGAAGGGGTCAGTAAACAATAACATTACCCAATGTTTTTCTTTTTTTCTATTAAAATTTAAAAAATAAACCATAAATCCAGGCTGGTCAGCAGGTCCAATACTAAACTTTCCTCCTAAAGTTGAATCCCTTCTTGTTCCAGTAATAGATTTTAATTCAGTCAAGCGATCCTGAGCGGGAGGAGGAGGTCTTTTAGGTTCCACCAAAGTAGCCAATTTTTGATCCAGAAACATTCGGGTAAATTGACCATTAGGGCTAAATTAAATTTAAAAAGAATTTTGAAATAAAAAAATACTTTGAGAGCAATTCTTGAGGACTGCCTTGTTCAACTATTCTTCCTTCGTCCAGCACTATAATGCGATCCTACAAATTTAATTTTATTTAAAATTCTTCAAAATAGGAGCTTGTGTAGTTTACACCCCATATGCACCGCCCCTATGCTCTATTTTCTTTCACTTTATAAGAAAATGTCTATGAAAATAGACCAAAATGGTCATTTACAGGAGGAAAAGCGAAAAAAAAAGTATGAAAGAATGGGCGGGGCTTATGGGGTGTAAACTACACAAGTACCCAAAATAGGATTGTTCGACTGTTATTCTTTACCTATGGCGAAACAAATAGAAGAATAAGAGCATCTGAGCCCCCCTAGACAAAAATTAACCTATCGTGAACAACCCTGCTTCAAATTATGAAGAAATTCAACTTACAGCCTTCCTTATTGTACTCAGTCTGTGTGCGATAGTAATTGTACTAACACCTCTAATTGCTGCATCAATCGCCTTTTGAACTTCCCCTTCATGTTTTGTATCCAATGCAGAGGTAGCTTCATCAAAAATCATTAAAGAACTGCAAAAATAAAAAGTTTGGGACCAAATGTCCACTTTGGGACCAAATGTCCAATCTTACGGATTTCGAATAACAGCTCGACAAATAGCCACCCTTTGCTTCTGTCCACCACTTAGTTGAACTCCACGATCACCTACTCGAGTTCTCATTCCATCTGGGAGGGCACTGATAAATGACCAACTTTCTGCCCGTCTAGCTGCGTCGTTCACATCGCCTTGGGAAGCCCCCAAAAGTCCGTATCTAATGTTGTCTGCAATGGTTCCATCAAAGAGAACGGGTTCCTGACTATTGATTGACTGTTTAGAATGAGAAAGAGTTGAAAAAGATGGTCAGACCTGACTAGACCAATTTGAGCTCGAACGATATCTAAAAATGAAATCGTGACAACACATTTCGCCAATAACATATTTTGCCAATAAGGCTAAAAACTCTCATTTTGTCAACAAGCCTGGTGGCAAAACAAGGGTTTTTAGCCTTATTGGCAAAATATGGAATTGGTGAAATATGTGAAGAAATGTGAAGAAGTGTCAAGTTACCTGGATCCATATCTCTTAAATTAACACCATCCATACTGACACTTCCACTACAGGGATCATAAAAACGCAAAATTAATGCTGTTATTGTCGACTTTCCAGAACCGCTAGCTCCCACTATTGCTAAATGCTAAATAAATTTTTTTTGAAAATTTGAGAATTGCGGAAAGGCCGGTTCAGTGCCCTAAATCTGCCCAGTCCGTTTCATCCCCAGCAAAAAGGGAATGTTTCAGTGTGAGTTTTATTTTTACTAGTGCCCGGCGCCGGACCGGATCCGGCCGGATTTTTCCGGAGTCCGGGTCCCAAATCCGGGTTTTTTTGAAATTTCCGGATTAAAACCGGACCGGATTTATCCGGAAAAATCCGGCCGGATCCGGTCCGGCTCAAGTTGCAAATCCGGAATCCGGATCCGGGTCCGGCAAATTTTGAGCACCGGATTTGGGATTTTATACAGTTCTGGAATTTTCCCATTTTTTCTTGTATTTTTTATAAAAAATGAGGATTTTTGACTTTTGTCTATATGAAATTCAAAAAATTTTCGCCTGCGGCGCTGAAAAAGGATAATTCTTCTTTGTTGGCCTTACAAAATTGGAGACCCATTGTATATACCACAACTGGGTTTCAGTACTAGGCCGAAAATAGGGTTGGTATGGAGACTCTAAGCTTCATAACCATCTAAACTTCAAAAAAATTTTGCCTGCGGCCCTAACAATAGAATTTTTTCTCCTGAGGCCTTTTAAAATTCTCGAAATTTTCGCCTCCGTCTGTGAAAACTGGAAGAAATCTGGCTTCATACCTTCAAAAATATTCAAAATCTTCGCCTGCGGCGCAAAAAATGGAAGAAATCTGAATTAAAACCTTTAAATTCTCAACATTTTCGCATGCGGCGCATGTAAGGAATTTGGGATTAAGAGGATCCTTGGAGGAAATATCGGAGGAAATCTTTGGAGGAAATATTGCTCCTTGGACTCCAAAATGCTCAAAAATTGGCAGGTACGAGTACGAGGTAAAGAAAGGCCTGTACGAAAGTAGGAGCAAATTTCAAAATCACGAATTATTTACTTTATTTTTCAAACTTTTAACATAGAAAAATCCACAAAATATCCTTCATAGCCTCCAAACTCCTTAGATATCCCCCTAGCAACATTTTAACACTTAAACGACACACGTATTACTACATTTAGCACAAAAATTAAAAAAAAATTTTTATTGAAAAATCCGGAAAAAACCGGAGTCCGGTCCGGAATCCGGATAATTTCTGCCGGACTCCGGAAATTATTTTTGCCGGATTAAAACCGGACCGGATTTATCCGGAAAAATCCGGCCGGATCCGGTCCGGCTCAAGTTGCAAATCCGGAATCCGGATCCGGGTCCGGCAAAATCGATTTTGCCGGGCACTAATTTTTACCTCGCCAGCAGCCACTTCAAAGCTGAAAAGATGTTTTGAATTTATTTTTACAAATTGTGAATTATTTACAAACCTAAGCCCTTTGATGACCTCAACGTCCGGTCGAGAAGGATAGCTAAAGTTGGAAATTATTATAAGAAGGATTATAAATTGTAAAAAATAAAAAAACTTAAATTTGCAAAAATAAACTTGGATTGTAAAGTAAACTTGAATTAAAATAAGTTTTACAACTCGATTTGCAATTAAGTTTCTTACAATTTGTAATTCAAGTTTATTTTTTATTCAAGTTTATTTTATGATAAAAATAAACTTGATTTGTAAAAATAAACCTGAGATAAGTTTTACAATTTCTTTTACAATTAAGTTTATAATTCAGTTGTAATTAAAGTTTATTTTACAGCATAATAAACTTGAATTAAGATGAGTTTTACAGCTTGTTTTAATTACAATTTGTAATTCAAGTTTATTTTTTTATTCAAGTTTATTTTAAAGCAAAAAATAAACTTGAATTGTAAAAAGTTACCTACCTAAAATGCACATCTTTAAAACTAATCGCTCCCCTCCCAATAGTTTGATTTGTATTTTCTTTGGGTTGTAGTTTTTCAATTGGGGCCATTTTTGCAGGGACGATCCTTCTCGTTAACCTTTTCTGATTTTAATAGACATTAAAATAAATTAATTTTAGATTTATTCTCCAACCAAAAGTGTGCTCCTCTTTGTTGGTATATCTCTCTCAATCATTGGGGCTTCCTTAAGTATGGTCTGCATTTCTTTCGCACTTCGTCTTGCTGTAGAAACGCCGTTTAAATGGAATCCAATACTGACAGATTGAGCACACAAAAATAACATATTTATTGCCAACTTTAAAGAGAGAGTGTTGATTATAGGAGAAAATTTAAATTAAAATTAACTCACAGCCCCTAAACGCCCAGGATTCTCATTTCCAGACCTCCAAACTCCAAAACACAGGGCGGCAGTGAATATTAATTCTGTGAAGAGTACTTGGGCGAGTGAATTGTAAACTGAAGAGGCCCGGAGACGCTCTTCAGTAATCTTTTTGTGCTCCAAACTTAGACGTTCATATCTATTTTTAAAATTGTAAAATAAAAGTTTTACAAGTTGTAATTAACTTTCCAATGCTTTGTCGTTGGGCTCCAAAAGCAATAACAGTGCGAATACAACTTTAAATAAAACTTGACAAAGTTTGTAATTTTTTAAAAGTTTATTTTTAAATTCAAGTTTATTTTTTTATTCAAGTTTATTTTATAGGAGTAAATAAACTTGAATTAAAATAAGTTTTACAACTCGTTTTACAAATTGTAAAACTTATTTTTGTAATTTAAGCTTGTTTTATAGCAATAAAATAAACATGAATTTAAAGTTTATTTTATTAACAAAGTTTAACTGTACATAAATACAATTCAAGTTTATTTTATTTATTTTTACAATTGTAATTTTTTTACAATTCAAGTTCCAAGTTTATTTTCTACAATAAATTCAAGTTTATTTTTCTTATGATTTCCCCAAGTTTATTTTTATGTTTATGAAAGTTAATAAAATTTTTATGATTTTTTACCTAAAAGTTTCGTGTACCAAATTTGTTATTTTTGTTTGCAACTGTGTTTCGGTCTCCATTGTTTTACAAAACCACTAAAAAAAGTAATAAAAAAAGGTGGTATTCAGCGAATAACTTACTCGACTAAATACAAGTCTTGTACAGATTAACAATGGAATTGCAAGTAAAATGAATGCGGTCACTTGCCAATGTATATACAAACAAACAGAAACTTAAAATATAATTAGGCTTGAGATTGAACTTGAAAAACTTACTTGTAACAGCCATATAACAAATACTATAAAATTACAATTTGAAATTAAAGTTTATATTTGTTTAGAGATTATTTTTACAATTCAAGTTTATTTATTTTTACAAATTGTAATTTCCTAATATTTATTTTTTTACAATTCAAGTTTATTTGTAATTATTTTTACAATTTGTAATTAAGTTTATTTTACATTTGTAATTCAAGTTTATTTATTTAGACTAGTTTCAAGTTTATTTTTCTGTTTTACAATTTGTAGTTTCCTAATATTTTATTTTTACAAATTCAAGTTTTATTATTTTTACAAATTGTAATTATTAAAAAATTCAAGTTTATTATTTTTACAATTCCATATTCAAGTTCTCATTTTATAATTGTAAACTTACATAAAAAAGCACATAGGTAAATGGTCAGCCATCCCTTGATAAATACAATCAGCCTGGCTAAAATAAAGTTTATTTTTAGAAGGTTTATTTATTTATTTACTCATTGAGAACAGAGGCAACTTGTCCAGAATGTCTAGATTCAAGCCAGGCAATATCCATATGCAAAAGTTTGCGAATATATGCTTTTTTGGCTCTAAAGACTTGGCGGATTGCAGAGATTTCCCACACTAGTCTCTAAATATTTCTTGTAGATTTTCAAGTCTTCCCTCAAATTTCCTCTTAAGTTTCCTTCATTTACCTGTATAAACGCAGCACAAAATGTAGCAACAGACAATGTAAGCATTGCATAAAAAACAGGTGTGGCGGAATCCTGGAAGCGCTTATCAATTTCTTTTTGACGCTTCCCCCACAATGCAATGTTTGATTCGTTCGGGGAGAGCCCCAAGTCTGAAAGCCTTAAAAGCTCTGAGGAACGATTTAAACGAAATTCTTCTCTTCGGATAGCTAAATAAATTAGAGGATTAAAATAATTAATTAATTAAACTTGCCATAAGTCATAAAATTTCCCATGAAAAACCATAGGAATGGAGGGAGAATAGCTTGGACAAGCGCCATCAACAACCCCAAGGCTATAAGCTAAAATAAACTTGTTTTATAACAATTTTGTAATTAATAGAAGAAATGTTTGAATTCAAGTTTAATTTAATTATAATTCAAGTTTATAAACTTTCTTTCAAGTTTAATTTTATATTTCAAGTTTATTTAACGTTAATTCAAGTTTAATTTAATAATTAAAGTTTATTTTATATAATTCAAGTTTATAAACTCTTTTTAAGTTTATTTTTATTTTCCAAGTTTATTTTCATTATAATTCAAGTTTTAAAGTTTACAAAATTGTAATTAAAGTTTTATTTAATAATTCAAGTTTGCAAATTTTCTTCAAGTTTATTTTAATTAAGTTACCAACCTGATAGTCGACAGGATCTGCAAGACGGTAAATATCAAGTAAGGAAGCAGATTCTGCTTCAGTTTCATTTTCTTTCTGTTTTTTAATTTCTTTGAATTTTTCTGACTTTCCCATAACAAGACTTTTAAATATTTTTTGTAGTTTAGTTTAAATAAGTGTCAAAATTTCACAGTTTATTTTCAATAATTTCTTCCTTTTATTAAAAAATTTTAAAAAAATTTAAAATTTAGAAAATCTAAAATTTATTTAATAAATTCTTTTATGAATCAATTAGTAAGTGAAAAATATAAGTAAATTTAGTAGATGATTGAAAATGACCAAAAAGAGGGGAGAGAGTTGCGCCCCACACAGAGGGGAAAAATAAAAGAAAATAATAGGTAGTAGAGATTTACAAACTTGAAAAAAAATTAAATTAAATTATATAATTAAATCACATGAAAATCGTGTTTGAATAAAAAAAATTGCGGCGCGGTTTAATGTAAAAATATGTGAATTGTTTTGTGAACAATAAAAAATGTTTGGAAGAAAAAAAGTTTTTGACTAAATAAATAAATGAATGATGGCCTTGATAGGTAAAAATGATCTGTGCGCGAAACTGATATTATTAGAGTTTATTGGGAGCGTTTATGATTAGACAAAAGACAATCAATGAGTGAAGAGATGGGTAGATTGTTTGACTGTTAGTTAATGTTATTAATTAATTGCAAGTTTATTTTTGTAATAATTGTAATTCAGGTTTATTTAACTTTTTCAAGTTTGTAATTTAGTGTTTTTAATTTAAATTACAATTTGTAAAAATAAACTTGAATTTATTTTTTTAAATAAACTTAAATTACAAATTGTAAAATTCAGGTTTATTTATTTTCAGGTTTGTATTTTCGTCAAGTTTGTATTTTTTTCAAGTTTATTTATTTTGTATTTTCTTTTTGTGTTTTTTGTGTTTTTAATTACAATTTGTAAAAATAAACTTGAAATGTATTTTATAAAATAAACTTAAATTACAAATTGTAAAATTCAAGTTTATTTATTTTTTAAGTTTGTGTTTTGCATTTGTGTTTTCTGTTTAATTTGTAATATTTTTCCTTTTGTTTTACAATTTGTAATTCAAGTTTATTTTTATAATGCATTAAATTACAAATTGTAATTTAAGTTGATTATATTTGTTTAAAATTGTGAGCTTAATAAAGTTTATTTTTACAAATTGTAAAACAAGTTTATTTTAATTGTAATTCATCTTGTAATTTAAAAATAAGTTGTAAAAAGTGAATCAAACTGTGGCAGGTTGAGAGTTAATGACTGAATGGTGGACAGTCGATAAATCAAAAATTTTATTGTTTAAATTAAAGACGCGTCTGGTTAGGGGAAAATGCGTCGTGTTGGGAGAAGGAAAGGAACGCGCGGAATGTTGTTTTCTCCCACCCACACCCAAAAATGGCCATATGTTAAACAGGTTTAAAATAATGATTGGTTTATGATGATTGGGAGGTCATGAAAATGAAATTTTCTGATTTGTAAAATAAATTCTGATTTTTTAAAAATTAATTTTGGTAAATATAATTATGGCTTTTAAAGTTGTCTGATTTTTACAATTTAATTATTAAATAAAATAATTTTTACAAATTGTAATTTAAGTTTATTTTTCCAAGTCTACTTTTACAAATTGTAATTACATAAATTACATATCTCCAAGTAAATCAAGTTTATTTTATATTTTGTAATTCAATTTGTAAATTGTAACAGGCGTTAGCAGGCTAATTTTTCACAAATTGATAACTTTTTAACTCCATTACAAATTGTAATTCAAGTTTATTTTTTTTACAAATTGTAATTTTTACTAATTCTGATTTACAAATTGTAAATTAATAATATCCAAGTTTTTAAATTTTTTTCTCACCATTTTCACTTTTGTTTACTCTTCTTCTAATCCTCCCCCTATTTTCTTCATAACTGAGGGCAAGTGTTTTGTTTTATATTTTACAACAGAAGAAGCTTCTCTCGGTTTTTACCCTCAGTTATTTCCCTCTCCCTTCCCTCATCTGCTCTGACAATGAAAAGCAATTTTTCATTTTTGGCGCGGGGTGAATTGTCAATCTGGGGCCTATTTCAATTGTCCACAGATTCTGCATTCTGTGCACAGAACACAGATTCTGTGGAAATTCTGTTTCAATTAAATTCTGTGTGCACAGAATCTGTGGTGCCCGCAGATTCTGCGGAAACATCCAATGATTCTGTGGAAACATTCCGCAGATTCTGTGGATGAAAATTTCTGTGGAAAATATAAAAATCTGTGGATTTTTTCCACTGATCCACAGAATTTGTATTTCAATTATTTTTCTGTGGTTCTGTGTATTTTTTCTTCTAAATTCAAATTTTTTATTTCCGCGTTTTTGAAAATAACAGTTTTATTGAAACGAAAAATGGTTTGGACAGTTCGGTACTACCGCAGTATTAATGGTACCTGATTTTTTGAAGTAAAACTTTAAAAATTCTTAAATTAAACTGAAAAATATTGTAAAGATTTAAAAATTTTCCCTCCAAATCACATAACATCCCTTTAAATCTCTTTGATATCACTTTAAAACCGCTGATATACCGCTTAATTTTCTTGTTCATCCAATATCCTTAAATCTCCAATTAAATTAATGTCCTAAAGCAGGGTTCGGATCGGAAAAATCAGGAGATGTCGATCCGACATGTGGCTTTTTCAAACTACGATAGAAGTTGTTGCAAGGGAGGGAAATGTTACAAAACTGGGGATTGTTTAGTCAGAAATTGAGGTTCCTGGAAATCGAAAATGCCTGGAATCCAAAATTATAGTCAAATCGGAACTTTAAAATCGTAGAGGAGTGATTAAGTGGGATATCCATTGATTTTGAGGTTTAATATATTGGAGTGATTAAGGAGGAAATCTATCATTAAATAGGAGGAGAGATTATGACGGATATCAATGAGAGATCATGGGAGATATCCCAGTATACGCTATACAGATATCTTCTATAGATCCTGGTAAACATCCCCTCATTAGAGATATCCATGATGATTAGAACATCATAGCTCTAAATTTCAGAATCTCTCACGTTTTTTATTTTTTTATTGCTTGAATATAACAAAAACTGCGTAAAAAAGATGTACCTTTTTCAAAATTAATTTTAAGCAATAATTTTAGGTAATAAAATTATAATTTTTATATCAAAAAATAGAGAATGATTCAAACTTTAATAATCTTTAAAAATTTTGAAATTTGGTTAAGCCTAGGCCTAGAAAAAAATTGTTAAAGTTTTTCCACAGAAAGTTCGCAGAAAAAATTTTAGGGTGGATTTTTTAAAGAATTCTGTGTATTTTCCGCAGACCACAGAAATAATTGAAACAGAAATGCACAGAATCGACTAAAAAAGCCACAGATCTGTGGATTTTTTTCTGTGCACAGAAAAATAATTGAAATAGAATTCTGTGGTTTTTGCATGTTTTTGGATGTTTTGCAGAATCTGTGGATGTTTCCACAGATTCTGTGCATGTTTCCACAGAATCTGCGGACTTCTTTTTCCGCAGAATCTGTGGAATAATTGAAACAGAATTTCTGTGGTTCTGTGGTCTGTGCACAGAACGCAGACCGCAGAATCTGTGGACAATTGAAATAGGGCCCTGAAAGGAGAAGGATTGAATTTATTGGAGAATTACCCTAAAATTAGAAACAAAATAAATTCAAAAATGGCTGACGTAAATGGTCAAATTTTAAGGGTATTTAAATTTTTTAAATTCAAGAGGTTAAGTTCAGCTTGAATAAATTTCAGAATAAAATTCTGATTCTAAATTTTATTTTATGGTTCTGTTCTGATTTTAATTCTGATTTTAAAATTCTGATTTTTTTCTGATTTATTTTGCTTCGACTTTAGTTCTGATTTTATTCTGATTTTAAATTTAATTTTATGATTCTGTTCTGATTTTAAAATTCTGAATTTGTTCTAATTTTTCTATTTCGAACTTTGTTCTGATTTTATTCTGATTTTTAATTTAAAATTTACCCAGCGATGTTTCGGGTAAAAACCCCTATAAGACTCTTTCATTTAAAAAAAAGTAAAAGGCGTGTGAAGACTTTTTAAGGATTAAAAACATCGAAAGGCGCCAAACGGGGAGGAAGACAACAAGAAGTGAAAGAAGACAAATGGCCGAATTTTTGGAGGAATTTTTGGGGGGATTTTTGGTTGTTTTGAGGCGACAGCCGGTAGCTGGGTATTTACTTTATTTCTCACTCCCCCAGCCAGCATCTTTTTTTAAATAATTCTTCACTTTAAAAACAAAAAAAGGCTAAATGAAAGTTCAAAAATGACCAACAATATAGTACAAAAATTATTCTAATTTTAAATATTTTATTCTGATTTTAAGTTGTTGTTCTGATTTTAAAATTCTGATTTTATTCTGATTTTAAGCTCCATTTTGTGTTTCTTTTCTGGTTTTAAATTCTGATTTGTGCTGATCTAAAAATTCTGATTCTGTTCTGATTTTTAATTCTTTTTATTTTGATTTCGAAATTCTGGTTTTATTCTGATTTTAAGTTCCATTTTATAATTCTGTTCTGATTTGAATTTTCTTATTTTATTCTGATTTTTCTGATTAAAATTTTATTCTGATTTTAAAATTCTGATTTTATTCAGATTCTGTTCTGATTTTCTGTTTACTAATTTTATTCTGATTTAAAAATTCCATTTTAAGTTCCACTTTCCTCCTAGCAACTTTTTACTAAATATACTCCCCGCCTTCTCATAATTCTCAATTCATTAATTTAAAAAATTCTCAGAAAATAAGTGCGCGAGTTAAGAAGATTAATAAATCATTAAATGTCGTCCCATATTTAAAAGAATTTTTGACCTTTGACCAAATGCCATTCATATATTAATTTACATATTTTATTAATTTGCATTCAGTTTTTCTTTTTACTAATTCAGTTCTGATTTTTAAATTTTGGTTTTGTTCTAGTTTTTAATTTGGTGTTTTAGTTCTAGTTCTGGTTCTAAATTTCTGATTCTAGTTCTGGTTCTAAATTTCTGATTTTTAATTCTGATTTTCAATTTTCTGATTTTTAATTCTGATTTTATTCTGATTCTTAGTTCTGGTTTTGTTCTGATTTTTATTTTTTGATTTGTTCTGTTTCTAAATTTCTGATTTTATTCTGATTCTTAGTTCTGGTTTTAAATTCTGGTTTTGCTCTGTTCTGGTTTTTAATTTCTGATTTTGTTCCGTTCTGGTCTTTAATTTCTAATTTTGTTCTGATTTTAAAATTCTGATTTTATATTCTGATTTAAAAATTCTGTTTTATTTTCTGATTTTATTCTGGTTTTTTAATTGATTATTAATTAATTAATTTACGCTTATTATTAGTCTATTTAATGCCCTACTTAAATTTTTATAAAGACAAATGACCAATTTTATGGTTGTTTTCTCACGGCGATTTAAAAGCGATAATCAAACAAACACAAAAAATTGCTGCGGCTGCCATTTTTAATTTTTTTTTTTAATTTTCAATTTTATTACCACCCCAAAAGTGATTAAATAAATAAATTGTCGGGAGAGCACAAAAAAAGTAAATTAATTGAAGGCGAAGCAATTTACTCCCCCTTTAAACACATCGATTAACTCTTTATTAACTAAAACAACTTGCAAGCAGTTTAAGCAAGTAATCGCCTCCTTCTCTCACTTCTTTATGGTCAACCCTAAATTCTCTTTAAAATAGATCAACGCTGATTGGGTGGAAATCAGAAACTTTTTTAAAAATCAGAACAAAAATTGGAGGTGATTCGCAGCGTGTGTTACTGGTGTTGTTCTGATTTTTGTTTCTGGTTTTATTTTCTGATTCTGATTTTTAATTCTGATTTTTGTTTCTGGTTTTATTTTCTGATTTTCAGTTCTGATTTTTAATTCTGATTTTTGTTTCTGAATTTTGTTCTGATCTTTAATTCTGATTTTGTTCTGAATTTCGTTCTGATTTTGTTTGATTTTTAATTCTGAAGTTCTGATTTTTAGTTGTGATTTTTAATTCTGATTTTTTGTTTTGCTTTTTAATTTTGATTCTGTTCTGATTTTTAATTCTGATTTTTATTTCTGATTTTGTTCTGATTCTTAATTATGATTTTTTCTAATTTTTAATTCTGATTTTATTCTGATTTTTAGCTCTGATTTTATTTCTACTCTACTCTGGTTTTGTTCCGATCATGTGCTGATACTATTCTGATTTTTATGTCTGATTTAATTCTGATTTTTCGATATTCTGGGCAAATTTCTTCTCACCCCTTTTCTTCATTTACCCGTTACGTACATATCAGCACATCCATCTGTCCTCCTCATAATATTTAATGGTTTTTAGCCCCCCTTTTTCTTCTTGTTTTTCGTCTTGTTAAATAATAAAATGATCTTCTAACAAATCATATCCAAAAATTATTTTTTAAAAATTAATTGGCTATTAATTATGTATGTTTGTTTGCTCAATGATCAAATATCAGTTCATGTTAGAAGACTAATGTCTTTTCTCTCTTTATTTATTTTTCTGTTTACGAATTCTGTTCTGCTGTTCTGATTGTATTCTGATTTTAGAATTTGATTTTGCTCTGATTTTAAATTTCTGATTTTATTCTGGTTCTGATTTTATTCTGATTTTTCTTTGATGTTTAATTTCTGATTCTGTTCTGATTTTAAAATTCTGGGATATAGTGTAGTGTACCGGTGGTAAAAGTTCGGGACGTGACATATGTATATCATTCGATTTGTCTCGTCATTCGATTTGTCACGTCTCGAACTTTTACCACCGGTACACTACACTACAGCCAAATTCTGATTTTGCTCTGATTTTATTATCCTATTTTTGTTCTGATTTTTAATTTTTAATTTCTGATCTTGTTCTGACTTTTAATTTCTGATTTTTACCCTTACTTTTTCCCCTTTAAAATTCAATTTTTTAGCCTTATGCCTTTCTTCCTCTATTTGTTCTCTTATAACTAAAATTTAATGGAAAATCATCACTATTATTATAACAATAACCACCAACAATTATGGCAACATCCTCAAGCAGTACACCACCAACAATTATATGACCCCTCATTTGAGGAAGGACATTTTGCCTCTTTGACTACTTCTTTCCCTTCCTCTCACAATTATTATTATTCTTCCCTTCCTGGCTGCAGCACCCCAATTGCTCCTATGGCCTCCCCTGAAAGAATGGACGCTGTAATTCATCACCCTCCTCCGCCTATTCTTCCTCCTCCTCATCCCCACCAACATTTGACTCAATCTAAAAATAATGCTTTTACTCTTCCATTAATGGACGAGGAACGACAAAAAGAAAGCAGTTTTTTATCGAATTTTCAGTAAGAAATTTTTTTATTGATTTTAAAAAATTTTCAGAATTTTCTGATTTTTCAGAATTTTTTTCAAAAATCAGAATTTTTTTTGATTTCTGATTAAAAAAATTTTTCAGAATTTTTCTGATTTCCTCTGAATTTTTTTTCAAAAATCAGAATTTTCTGATTTCTGATTAAAAAAATTTCAGAATTTTTTATAAATCAGAATCTTTCTGGTTTCTGATTTTTTTGGATTTTTTCAAAAATCAGAATTTTTCTGATTTCTGATTTTTAAAAATTTTCCCCCCTAGACCTCCTTCACACTCACACAACATTCCATCAATGACTGATACAACAATGGAAAACATTCCATGGTCACCTAATTATTATTCTCCCGATCCTCATACTTTTCATCCTCATCCAATGCCTCCAGAATCTATCCCACCACCTCGCCATTCCTCGTTTTCTGCTTTAAATGACTTTCAAAAAAGAGGAGAAACACCTAAAAACAACAACAACAACAACATTATTCCTTCAACTTCTCAACAACAACAACCCCAAACACCCCTTCAATACTCACAACAAACAGACCAACAACAAAGACTTAGAGAACAACGTAGAGCAATGTATTCTCAAAATAAAGTTCAATATTGGCAACAATTTAGCCAAATGTCGATTCAAGACAGTGGGGTCCATTCTATGAGTCATTCTACGGTTAGGTTGATTAATCAGTCAAAAATAATTGTTTCTATTAGGCACCCTCAGTCATGTCTTCTATTCATCCAGCCTCGTGTATGTCTAATGTCTCTTCTCTGCCGGATGATTTTTCCGGGTTGAAAGAACATCCATACTTTCAGGCAAGTTTTGTTTTTCTCTGGTACAATTATTTTTCCGGAAACATTATTTATTTTCCGGAAAAGAAAGAACTATAATACATTTTTCCGGAATCTACATATTTTCCGGAAATATGTACAACAATATACCTTTTCCGGATAATCGTCTATTTCTGAAATTTCCGGAAACTATTTTCTGTAATACACTTATTTTTTTCCGGAAAGTTAAAAATACATTTATTTTTCCGGAAAAGAAATATATTTTCCGGAAATCTTTTTATACCCTATTTTCCGGAAATATTTGTCTTCCGGAATATTGCTTCTCTAAATATGATAGTATAGTATATTTACTTTTCCGGAAGATCGTCTATTTTCCGGAAACTTATATTCTTTAATTATTTTTCTCTGTTTCAGCATATCCCTAACACTTTTAATCACGAAGAGCCAGAAAAAATGCGCCAGGTTTTACCTGAATTAATACCACTCATCAATGACGAGTCTGTGGACATTGTTAAACGTGCACTCGTAAATATTTAATTATTGACAAAATAAATAATTTAAAAAAATAAAATTTTGTAGACAATACTTATAAGTGTTGCTAAAAAGGACAAAGAATTTTGTACATTACGTTCTCAATTAGATACTAGACCTTTAATTGTCGAGAAGAGGGTAGTGGAGGAATTGTTGAGAACTTTGCGTACCCACAAAAAGGATAAGGCAATTAAATTTATTTTATAAAATAAATAAATTTTAATTTAAGCAAGTTACCCTTTATGTCCTCAAAGCTTTATATTTTATTTCTGATAATGATCCTAGTGGGCGTGACTTATTTGTTAAAACATTAAATGCCCATGGAACTGATTGCCTTGAGGAATTGGTTCATTGCATTGGGTAGGTTTATTTTAAATTCAAGTTTATTTAATTAATTCAAGTTTAAATTTTTGTGTTTTTTCAAGTTTTATTTTAAGTTTATTTTTGTATTTTTTTGTGTTTTAGTTTTATATTTATTTTCAAGTTTGTATTTTTGACTGTTTCCCTCAAGTTTATTTTTTGTGTTTTTAAGTTTAGTTTTAAGTTTACCTGTGTTTTTAAGTTTTGTATTTTTGTTGTCTAAAATGTATTTTTGTATTCTACAAGTTTAAGTTTTTCTGTGTTTTTAAGTTTGTGTTTTTCAAACTTATTATTGTATTTTTTAAGTTTATCTAAGTTTGTATTTATTTTAAATTTGTATTTTTATGTATTTGTCTAAGTTTATTTTTTGTATTTTTTCAAGTTTATTTTTGTATTTTTAATTTTACCTACTTAATTCAAGTTTATTTATTTTTAGCATCCAAGACCCTTCTTGCTATAAATTTGCCTTTCTTCTCCTACACAATTTAATGACTGATATTCGGATTGGCCGGAAAGTTATTGCTTACATGTGTGAAATGAGAATATTAACAAAAGTTTTGAGTTGGTTATCTGACAAAAATGAGAAATTTTTAAGTATTGTGACTGACATAATTTACATGCTTTTAAATAAAAATACTGAACAAATGGTGAGGAATTTTGTATTTTTTTGGAATTACAAAATTGACCTAAAACTAAATTAAAATTAAAAATTCAAACTTAAATAAAATATAAACTTAAAATACAAACAAACTTAGGCGTGAAAAAATACAAAAAATAAACACAAAAAATTCAAAAACACAAACATAAAAATAAATACAAACTTGAAAAAATACAAATAAATAAACTTGAAATACATTAATCAAAAACACACTTAAAAACACAAATAAACTTGAACTTGGAAAAAATACAAAAATCAACTTGGAAAAATACAAATAAATAAACTTGAACAATTAAACCAAAAACACAAACTTAAAAACACAAAAATAAACTAAAAACTTGAAAAAATACAATAAAATAAACTTGAAATAATTATTTAATTTTTTCAGGCTTTCTTTATTGGTTTAAACGGACATGAGAAACTTGTTAATATTCTTGCTAATTCCCATCAAGAAAATTTACTTTATAGAGCAGTCAAATTACTTAATAGAGTTGTACAAATAGTAATTCCTTCCTTAATTTTCTTTAAAATTTTCAAAAAAATTTTTAAAGGATCCAAACAAAATAGTTTCCGCAGGCTTATTGGAAGCAGCACAAAAACACTTGGATCATGCCAGTCAAAGAATGTTAAGACAACTTTTGGATTGCATCAAGTTTGTCAGTCATGTTCCTTCTGGAGACCGTGATATCCATTTATTATTACAAAAATTGCTTCAATTGCTTGGTAGGAGAAATTTCCTAGATTCTAATACCCCCCAAAAATCCCCATTTTCAGGCACAAATGACATGAAAGTTAAAGAATGCTGTACAGACATTTTAGCAAATTTATCAGCTAACAATACTAACAATAAAGAATTTGTGGTTGATAAAGGGGCAGTTTTTGGCCTATTCCAACTTTTACAAGAAATGGAAGCGTTAAACGAAGCTTTGGGGCAAAATACCCAAAGACAAAATATTCAAGAAACGGCTCTCTCACTTTTACGTTCTCTCTCTTCCGGAAATGTCTGTTCCGGAAAAGCAAAACAACAAATAATTAAAAAAGAAATACATAAGAAAATACTGTTGGAAAGGATGAGGAATAAGCAGAGAAATTGGCCTTTACTTAAAAAGACATTTGCGGTGAGTTAGCAGAAAAATACAAGCTTTTCCGGAATAATATATAAATTATTTTCCGGAAATATTTATATTCGAGGAATACAAATAATTTCCGGAATGCAGGTGTTTTTAGAAAATATTTACATAAATAAACTTTTTCCGGATTATTGTATTTGCCGATTTTATAAAAAGTAAAACACAAACTTTTCCGGAAAATACATATCAAAAATACAATTATTCTTTCGGAAATATTTCTGGAAAAATACAACCTTTTTATGGATTATTGTATTTTCTGGATTCATGTTTATTTTATAACACGAAAAACACAAACATTTCCGGAAAATAAATAGAAAAACACAAACCTTTCCGGAAAATAAATAGAAAAACACAAACATTTCCGGAAAATAAATAGAAAAACACAAACCTTTCCGGAAAATAAATAGAAAAACACAAACCTTTCCGGAAAATAAATACAAAACACAAACCTTTCCGGAAAATAAATAGAAAAACACAAACCTTTCCGGAAAATAAATACAAAACACAAACCTTTCCGGAAAATATATTATCACAAATACGAAATAATTTTTTTTGGAAAACACAACCCATTAGTATATTAAATCTTATTTAACAGTTACTCCAATATATTGCTCAAGAAGAAAGTCTATTAAAAGAATTCCGTTTTGCAATGTCTTTTCCTCCAAATTTTCCTCAATTACCTGATGCTCCACTTTTATTAAAACCTGAATATTGTTCTTTTGTTAGTCAAATAGTGGTTATATTAACTGAGGGGTTAAATTCGCTTCCACAAAGTTGGGAATTGTGTCAAAAATGTTTGGATTTGCTTGGATTATTGGCTGGCGATGAAGGATTGTTAGGGGAGATTTTCTCAGAATTATCTGCCCGTTGGATTCGTCTTTCAGAATTTCAACCTAAACTACTTGCTCCTCAAGTTATTCTTCGATTCTTTGAACAACTCGCTCCGCCAGCTTTGGCTTTACTTGCCCAAATTGCACGTATTCCGGAAGCTGCTATATTTATTGGGAAGGATAGACCAACATTAGATACTTTGAGGAAATGGTCAATTAATAACAACGATGTAAACTCGGCTCGTTTTGCTGACTGTGTGTTACAGTTGGTTGATTCTGCTAATGGAAAACAACAACAAAATGCTTCCGGAAAGAGAGTACAATCTAGTGGAGAGGAGAGTTGGAAGCAACAACAGGGCCAACAGCAGCAATCTCATCCAGTTAACGACAAAAAATCTTTTCCAGATACAGAAATGGATTTTTCTATGGGTTAATTTATACTAATTTTGTATCTAATTGTTTAAACTATTTTTAGCACCTACTTCATCAACCACACTTTTACCTTGCTCCCCCAGCAATTTTCTTCTCCAACCAGACCATTCTAATGATATACTAAAGGTGTTCTATAAAAATTTTTAAAAAATAATTTTAATTATATAACCGGAAAAGATCTTTCCGGAAACGTTTTATAAAATTATTTTCCGGAATGTTTATATTCTCATGCAACTTTCTTCGGTACATATCCGGAAAACACAAAACTTTTCCGGTAAATTATTTATAAAACACAATTCTTTTCCGGAAACACTTTAAATTATTTTTCTTGAGTGTTTATATTTTTTCCGGAATATTAAATAATTTCCGGAAATAAAATTTATTTTAATTTCAGCAACAACAACAGCCTCCAACCGACTGTTTAGCCTCAACTTTATCTTCATTCGATTCTGACGATGTCAATAATCTTTCTGATTTTGGTACTTTAGTAGGTACTTTTTGCCCTAGTTCTTCACCAGTCTGGGGGGATATTGATTTTGGATAAATAATTTTTTTTTAATTTTTAAATTAATTATTGTAAAAAAATAATTTTTTATTGCTCATTTTTGTTTTAAATAATTTTTAAAAAATAATTCTGATAAAATTTTTAATTAATTTTTTAAATTCTTTTCATCGTTATGTCGTTGATATATTTTATTTACATTTTTTGTTTCTCATTTGTTTAATATCCAGATTCTGTTTTTGGTATCGAACAATGATCTGTATTTTAAGTGTGATTTATGTATAATTCTGATTTTTTCTGACTAATCAGAATTCTGACAAAATAATCAATTCTGATTAGTTGGTTTTTGAAAATCAGAATTCTAATTTTTTTTCTGATTTAGTAATCAGAATTCTGATTTTTGATTCTGATTTTTTCTGATTTAAACTAGAATTCTGTTTCTTCATTTCCAGAATTCTGAAAAAAAATTAATCATAATTCTGGTTAAATCAGAATTCTGATTTTTTCTGATTTTCTGACTCGTAACAGAATTCTGATTTTCTCTCATTTTTCTAACTTTTTCTGATTTAAATCAGAATTCTGATTTTTTATTTTATTCCAAAATTCTGATTTAGTCTTTAAAATCAGAATTTCATCAAAACATTTAAGTATTACCACAACTAGCATCCAATCCAGGCACTCCATCGGACCCATCCTCTCCTATCTGTCCTGGTTGACCTTTGGGTCCTTTCTGTCCAATCTCTCCAATTTCACCTTTTATTGGGGGATATTTTAATTTATTTTTAAATTCAATTTACCAGGTACTCCTCTAACTCCAGGATTTCCAAAACTTCCAGGCGGGCCAGGACGTCCTTTAAGTCCTGGAGGGCCGGGAAGACCTGGCTCCCCTGGAGGACCATTTATTACTTGAATCTAAAAAAGAAATGATTTGTTGGATTTTTGACGTGATCGAGTGTCGGTAAAAAATTTTTTTTCGTTTAATTTTACACGCAAAAATACAAAAATAAAATACCTGCCTTTTTATGTCATTTCTTAATAAATTTTTTTTTATTTTTAGCCTTATTTTTGTATTTATTTTCCCACACCTTTTCTCATTTTCCGCTATATTTATTTAATTATCTACGTTATTAAGGGAGAATAAACCGGCACCAAGTCATATGAAAAAAATTTTAAAAATTAGTTTACATAAGATAATATAATTTTAAGTAAGTATAGGTAAGGTATTTGTTTTATTCATTGCGTGCATTTCTTTTTTATTTTTTTAATATTGAAATTTTAATTTTTTATCTGTCTGAACTAAAAATTTTATTTTTATATTTCTCTATTTGTATTTATTTCCGGAGAGTTCTACATATTTAATTTTATAAAGTTTCCGGAAAAAGTTTATTTATTCCGGAAATAGTTTATTTAATTATTTCCCTTCTCTTATTTTGTATTTTCCGGAAATTATTTCCGGAAAGTTATATTTATTTTTAGAGTTTCCGGAATGTAGTATTTTCTTTCCGGAAAATAGAGTCTCTCCTACATATATTGTTTATCTCTCTCTTCCTTACTCTGTCACATCCTGTTTTTATTAGAGTGTAAAAACAACTTACACTTCCCGGAGTTCCTCTAAGACCTGCCTGTCCTGGTATTCCAGGGAGGCCTAAAAACTCACAAAAAAAATTTTTTCACATAAAATTTAGTTTAATTACCTGGATTTCCTCTCTCTCCTATTTTTCCAGGCAAACCACGTATTCCTGCTTTTCCGTTCTTGCCGGGTATTCCTCTCCTTCCTGGAACACCTTTAGGGCCGGGATCTCCACTTGGACCGGGAGAAGATGGTGTGCATATAAAACACCTATTTTTATTTTTTTTAAAGTCATAAATAAATTAACCACAAACCAGTCTATTTGGAAAGGAACTGGAGGCGGGGATGGCATTCCTGGAGAGCCTGCTTGTCCTTGCTTTCCATCAATACCTTTAAAAGTATTTAAAAATAGGATTAAAAATACACCACAACATTAAAAAATTCTTTAATTCTCTTTAATTCCTTCCCTTAAAAACATTTGCCAACTCTTTTTTCTACCATAAAATCAATTTTGTATTTTTATGTATTTTATTGTATTTTCCGGAAATATTTAATATGTATTTTACTCTTTCAAAATGTGTTTTTCCGGACAGGTTTTAGTGTATTCAATTATCTTCCGGAAAAGTAATTTTATTATTTACTTTCCGGAATGCTCAGAGTATTTCCGGAAAGAATATATTATTTTCCGGAAAGGTTTTGTGTTTTTCCGGAATTTTTGTATTTTCTTTTTTATTAATTTGTGTTTTCTTTAATTCCTCAAAAATTCTCTGACCGTCTTCTCCCGGTTCCCCAGGTAATCCAATACTTCCAACTTGCCCCCTTCCACAACTGCAACATTGACCAGCTTCTTGGTTCCTTTTAACCCTGTTAGAACTATATTGCAATCGTTCTTCATATTTTAGTTCTTGTGATAACAAATTTATTCTATTTTGACAAAAATTGCTGTGTTCCTGTTTCCGGAAAATTATTTTAGTTTATTAGTGTTTTTGTATTTTCCGGAAGAGGTTTAACTTTAATTTTTTGTATTTTCCGGAAATGTTATTGTCTATTTTTATACTTTTTCCGTCTGTATTTATTTCCGGAAAATTTTACCTATTTTTAATTTTATAGTTTCCGGAAAAGTATATTGTTTCTTTCCGGAAAAAGTTTATTTCTTAATTTCCCTTCCTTTATTTTGTATTTTCCGGAACTGTATATATTTTTTATTTCCGGAAAGTTATGTTTATTTTTAGAGTTTCCGGAATGTTATATTTTCTTTCCGGAAATTATAGTAATTAAGTAAAATACACAACTTTTGCTTCCGATTGCGTTGATTGCACTTTTAAAAATAAAAAGGGTATAGCGAGAACAACACTTGCTAGCGACACTGTACTTAAAGCAATAGTGCTTATGGCCAACTATAAAAATTTAAAAATATTTTCAAAAATATTTTTAAAAACCTACAAAACGTATTTTCGATGCCTCTTTAATAAGTTGCTCGCGATATAATTTTTGTTGGTGAATTTCTGCCATAATTTTTAGCTTTTATCTCCCCCACAAAAGCAGCAATCGACTGATAAATGAAATCTTTTATTGTTAAAGACCAAAGCAATTGTGCATTAACTGGCCATTAAAAATCTGGTTTTGCGGTAGACATGATTTAATTGTTAGGTGATTTACCGGGCGTTTATAGAAAAAAATTAAGAGGTCGTTTTTTAATTCTGTAAAGGTGTTAGGGTGTCTGTTGTGGTAAGAGAATGTTGCATACTTTCCGGAAATAATATAATTTTTCTTCTCTAACTTATAAATTGATCCGGAAAATTTTTTCTCTACATTAGTACATTCCGGAAACAATATAATATAATTTTCTCTAACATAAAACTTTTCCGGAAACAATAGTACATTTTTTTAACTCTAAATAAATTTTTGGAGATAATATAATTTCCGGAAACAATATAAAAATAATTTTTAATTAATAAAACTTTTCCGGACACAATGAAGTTTATTCAAGCATTAATCCTCCGCGCATCTCTTTTTGTTAATTAAAAATAACGAATTAAAAGTCTTTTGCCAAATTATACACTTGAGAATTGCCAAATCGATTTTACAAACTCTCCCCCTGTTAATTCCCTTTCCCATAAAAATTATTTTTTTCTGCATCGACAAGTACGCATTGACACGACGAACACGAAAGAAAGGCACTCTCTCCCCCAATAATTCAGTCATCCATATTTTTAATATTTTTGTCACACCATCATGATCTCGACCATAACCACCACAAAAAACTTTTTTCTCATTTCTTAATTTCATTTTGCTCTTTACAGGTATTTAATCAATTTTTTGTTTTTTTTCTTGGTCACGCGTTTTAAATAAACAACAACAACAATTAATTTAATTAGAGAAAAAAGTAAAATAGAAACTATAAAAAGATTTCCGGAAACTTTACCGGAACGATTAATAAATTTATAATTGATAGTTACAAACTTTCCGGAAATTATATAAACATTAAAAACATTTCCGGAAATGATAGAGGGAAAAATAATATACAAACTATATCAGATTTCCGGAAGCGATATACTAAAACACTTTTAATCTATTATAAATACAAACTTTCCGGAAATGATATATAAAAATAAAACACAAACTATTAATTTTCCGGAAAAATACAAACTTTCCGGAAACGATATATTTATATTATAATTAACACACATACTCTAATGTATTTATTTGTGTTTTTTTGTGTTTTTAATTTCCGGAAACACTAAACTGCCCTTGAAGAACAAAATACATGTATTTCACTTTAATTATTTTCCAAAATACTTTTTTGTATTTTTTTGTATTTTTTTAGCAATTTAATAAATAACAAATTACAATTGAATTTCGGTACATTTAACCCCACGCGTTTCCCACTCACCCATTCATTATTTTATTTTTTTACATGCATTCTTTCCCCTCAAAAAAAATTTTTTTTCTTATCACCCAAAAATTATTTTTAAATTGGCAGTTTATTTATTTTTTAATTTTAATTCTCGCGTGACTATTCACAAAACAATGTATTTTCTGAAAAAGGATTTAAAAATTTGTTTATTACAGACATTATATACTTGCTATATATTCAATTTTAAAATGTAAAAAAAAAATAAGTTGAGAGTGTTAAATATTCTTAAAAACTTCAAAGAGGAGACGCCGATAAATGTTAAAGAGTATTAAAACGGACGCCCTATTATTTTGGGTTAGTCCCAAATATCAACATTATAAAAATAAACACGGGAAAATACAAAGTTGTATTTTCCGGAAAGTTTAGAGTTATTTTTAAGGTGAATATAAGTGAATATATACTTTTCCGGAAAAATAATAATTAATTCTTTTCCGGAAAATACTTTAAATAAACTTTCCGGAAGGAATGTATTTTTCTTCGTGTATTTTTCATTTTGTATTTTTTTACATTTGTATTTTCCGGAAAATACATATTTTAAATAAACTTTCCGGAAAGAATAGAATACATGTGTTTTTCTTCATTTTGTATTTTTACATTTGTATTTTCCGGAAAAAGCAGAATTAATTAATTATTTTCCGGAAAATATTTAAAATACAATTTCCGAAAGGAATGTATTTTTCTTCCGGAAAGAATGCATTTTTTTCGTGTTTTTCTTCTTTTTGTATTTTTACATTTGTATTTTCCGGAAAATTAGAATTAATTTTAAGGTGAATATACTTTTCCGGAAAAATAATAATTAATTAGGTATTTTCCGGAAAATATTTAAAATAAAATTTCCGGAACGAGTTGTATTTTTCTTCCGGAAAGTGTATTTTTCTTCATTTTGTATTTTTCTACATTTGTATTTTCCGGAAAATTTAAATTAATATATTCAAGTATTTCTCGGAGTAATACTAATTTTCCGGAAACCCCCATACTCTATTTGTATTTTTCTTCCGGAAAACACAAATACTTTATTTGTATTTTCTTTTTTTTCTCTAGCCGTCTTTTTATCGATCTTCTGGGTAAATGTTTCCCATTAAAGCCTCTAGTAAAGTACACACTATTTTTACATAAGGCAACAAGTCAAATATGTCAGTGGAATCAAGTATATATTTCCTATTTCTTCCCTTTAATATTAAGTTTAGTTAAAAATAGTCAATGGTCGAAATTAATTTTTATTTTTTTAATTTTTTAAGCTTTAGCCTATATTTAATTTCAACAGTCTTATTAAATTTTATATGGAATAATTTCATCTTTATTTTTTTCAAAATAATTAAAACAACAAATTAAACAAAAGATGGATGATGATGAGAAGAAATCTGGAACAAGGTTTATTTTCACTTTTTATTTAAATTTTTTTTAATTTCAGGGTCTTCAAGAAAACCTCTCCAAATGGAAAAGTATTCTTTTTTTATTGATTTTAATTTTAATTAAATTCTTTTAAAGATAACTACATACCTTGGGAAACGCGATTTTTTGGATAGAGGAGATAGCGTTGATTTGATTGGTATTTTTATTTTTTAGTAAGGTTTTTGGGGGTTTAAAAAATTGTAAAATATTTTTTATACCTCAATTTAACCTGTTTTTGCTCAAAAAGTTTATTAAATTTAATACCAAATTGATACCCTTCATTGGGGTTCGAACCCACATCCCTTTCTTGTGGAACCCAAAATTATCCCACTACACCAAAATGTCAATATTTTTCAGTGGAATGCCCCTCATGATGAGGACTCATTTGTAAATCTAGTAAATCTAATATTAAATTTATTTTCCTCGGGCGGGTTCGAACCCACACCCCCCTTTCCTGTTGAAACCCCGAAATTATCCCACTACACCAAAACTCAATATTTTCCAGACGGAATGGTCCTAATCGATGACGAATACATCAAAGCATCAAAAAAAGTTTCAGTTCAATTATTAGCAGCTTTTCGTTATGGCCGTGAAGATTTGGATGTTTTAGGCCTTACATTTCGCAAAGATTTGATCTCACAAAATTTCCAAGTTTTTTTTTGAATTTTTTAAAATTTAATTAATTTTTTAAAAAGATTTTTCCACCAAATCCGCTTCCAAATAATCGCCCTATGACAAGGCTGCAGGAACGCTTAAAGAAAAAATTGGGAAACAACGCTTTCCCCTTTTGGTTTGAAATTCCGCCAAATTCTGCTTCTTCTGTTACTTTACAGGTTTGTTTTTATTTTATTCTGATTTTGATGTTTCGTTTCTGATTTTGTATTTTATTAATGTTTCAATTTAATTCTGATTTATTTTCTGTTTGTTTTAAATTCTGGTTGTTCTGGTTTGTTTGTGTTTTTCTGATTTTGTATTTTTATTAAATTCTGTTTTTGTGTTTGTTTTAAGTTCTGATTTGTTTGATGTTATTTAATTCTGGTATGTTTTTGTATGTTCATTCTAAATTCTGATTGTTTGTTTTAATTAAATTCTGGTTTGTTTTTCTGGTTGTTTATGTTTTTATTATATTCTGGTATGTTTATTCTGAGTTCTGATTGTGTTTTTATTTAGTTCTGATTCTTTATGTTTTTATTAAATTCTGATTTTGTGTATTTTATTAAAAACACAAAATATCTCCTTTCTGTTGTAAACTCAAAACTATCCCACTACACCAGAAAAATTTTTTTTCTGATTTTTGTATTTGTTTGTGTTTTTTTCTTTTCTTTCAAGTTTAAATTTTATCTTCTCAAAAATTTCCTTATTTTCTAGCCAGCTCAAGGCGACACGGGTAAACCTTGTGGAGTTGATTATGAAGTCAAAACAATTGTTGGTGGTGGCGATTCTCAAGAGAAACCGAAAAAACAGTTGATTTTATTCAAAAATTTTTTAAATTTTTATTTAAAAGTAATTCTGTTCGTCTTGCCATTCGAAAGCTCACTTATTCTCCACAAATTGAAAGGCCTCAACCAATGATTGATGTGACTAAGGAATTTATTATAAGTCCTGGGGGACTTCATTTGGAAGCTTCTCTGGATAAGGAGGTTTGAACTTTTAAAATATGGGCAGAAGTTATGTCAGAACTGGCCAGAATAAGTCAGAAAAGTACCTGAGGGGTTTCAGAATCGGTTTTTAAATTATCAGAATTAATAAGAATAACACCAGAATCTGTCAGAAAATCCCAGAAATGGACTAGAATTAACTAGAAAATTTATCAGAATTAATTAGAGTGGGCCAGAAAAATACTGGGAAGACATCAGAATTAGTCTTTAAATTATCAGAGCTAATCAGAATAAGTCAGAATTGTCCCGGAAGGTGTCAGAATAGGTCAGAAAGTCACCAGGGTTGACCCTAACATTGCTAGAATTAATCAGAAATTTACCAGACTTGGTCCCTAAATACCAAAATAATTTTAGAAATATATCAGATCATTTATAAAATAATTCCAAACATTTTTCAGATGTATTATCACGGAGAATCAATCAACGTAAACGTCCACGTTCAAAACAATAGCAACAAAACAGTTAAGAAAATAAAAGTTTCAGTCAATCAAATTGCCGATATTTGTATATTTACTACTGCTCAATATACTTGTGATGTTGACAAAATTGAATCTTGGTTGGGTTTTTTTAATCAGAATTTTCTGAAAAAATTTTTCAAATTTTAGTGAAGGATTTCCTGTCGGCCCGGGATCAACACTTTCCAAAATTTACACACTTTGTCCTTTATTAGCCAAAAATAAAGATAAAAGAGGACTTGCTTTAGATGGACAATTGAAACACGAAGATACAAATCTTGCCTCTTCTACTACCTTTGCAACTCTTTCAGTTTGTTTTTTTTGATTTTTTTTGAATTATTGGGAGTTTATTAAGTTTTGTCTCTTTTTCCAAAAAAATTCTATTTTTGGGTTAAACTCTTCCAATTTTTTCTGCTCATTATAGTCTGAGGGGCTTGGGTAAAGTCTGTACTTGAACTAATTTTTCATCCACTTTAAATTTTGTTTTGAAATAGTTTTAGACTTGGATTTGGTCTATGTCTAGGCAGACTTGGACACGGATACGGATTTTGGTATCCGTATATTTACGGCGGATACGGGCGGATATCCGCGGGCATTTTGGTTTTATCTGTATCCATATCCGTATCCATGACCATGTCTGTGTTTAGGAAATGTCTCTCTAGTCTCTCGTTTTGGTTTTGTTATAATTAGAAATATCTTTTGAGTCTCTCCTTTGCTGCAGAGACTCGGGCCGGGGGTTCGTGTCGAAACAGTCCTAACAAGTAAATAAGACACTTTGTCCCACATAAAGTTTTTTAATCCATTTTGTAGTCTATTTTTGTTTATTTTCAGCATTCAGTTCGAGAAAATCTTGGAATAATAGTTCAATATAAAGTAAAAATCCGTTTATTAATTGCTGGAGCATTAGGAGGAGAATTGGCTGCAGAATTACCTTTTACCTTAACACATCCAAAACCTTCAATTGAAAATGAAAATAATTTATTGAGAACAATAACAAGTCCAAGACAATTAAATGACAATAATGGAAGTAGTGGGGGAGGAGAACAGTTAAAAGGTGGAGAAGGACAGAATATTATTGATAATACCGACCAAACAACAACGGCTGATGTTGATCTCATTCAGTTTGACAGGTTTTTTAAGTTGTATTATAAGAGAATTGGGGGGGGGGTTATCCTATAATTAGTGTGCTGTCCGTTTTAAGAAGAAACTAGTCAGTATTTGGAAATTTTCTCGAGTTGGTTCCGACTCGAGAAAAAGTCCGGATACCTGAAAATCTGATGCATCCTCCACTCTGTTGAATAACTAATAGAGCATCGTGGCCAAAGATTGGGAATTATTTTGATTCGGTTCTTTGGTTTATTCCGAAGATTTTCTAGGAACCAACAAACTTTCTTACAATTCTAGTTGAATGGTTGGGGGTTGGGTGCACATTCCTCTAAAAATTAAAAGATTCATTGAGTTATGGATATAGCGAGTATTTTCTCTTATGTTTTTTTTCTGATTTTGAAAAAAATTTGTTTGTGGGCCCATCTCTAAAAAAAATTGGAACTTTTCCCAGAATTTCTTTAAAAAATTTTTCTTTTTCAGTTTTGATGATGACGATGATTTGGTTTTTGAGGATTTTGCTCGTAATAGAGCTCGTGGGACAGAATTGTTGGCTCAAAATGAAAATGATTGATTTTTGAAAGGCTTTTATTTTTTTTCTGATAAAAAATACATGGAAAAAATTGCAGCAACTACAACAACAACAGGAAAACACGCAAGCTAAAAATATTTTTGTATTAAAAATAATTTTTTTTTGAATTTTTTTGAATTTAAAAGGGGAAGAAGTGTGTGATTAAAATTTATGGTTGCCGTTTTCGGTTCGAGCCGACATTCGGTGTATTTTTTTCGAGCTTGGTTTTTTCGATTCGGTTCGTTTTCGAACTGAAAAGCCTAGACTCGCTCGATCTTTCAAGTTTCGGTTCAAGCGAGCTGGCACCCTAATTAAAATCCTATTTTTTGCTGTTTTGAGTTACCCAAAAATTTTTCATTTTTTTCGATTAATAGAATAACTTGACTTTAAATAAGCATTTGCTTAACCTCCCTCCATCTTTTTGAATTTTTATTTAGAAAAAATTTTTTTCTCTATGGAAATTTTAATTTTCCTGTGACAGCCTTGGTTAAAGTTTATATTTAATAAATCACACACCTCTTCCCTTTAATATATAAAAATAAATCATTTATTTTCTTCAATTTGTCTTTTTTTCTTCTTCAATTTTATTTTTCTTCCTTTTTGCCTATCTTTTATTTTATTTAACACACACAAAAATTTTTCTTTTTTTTTTCTGTGTCTCCCCATATCTCTTTTTTTTAAAAAAAACAAGTTTTTTTTTAAATCTATCACCAATATTTTTTTAAATAATAATTAAATATACATACATATATTTTTTAGAAAAAATGCTAATCGATCTTTAATCGATTTTGATATTTTTTGATTTATTTTATTGTTTTTAATATTTAATTAGTTGTTTTCCGGAAAATTAAAAAATACAAAAATTTATATTTTGATTTTTGTGTTTTCCGGAAAGAATTTATTTACATTTATTGTTCCGGAAAATACAAAATACAAGTTTTCCGGAAACAATTTATTTATTTTACGTTTCCGGTAGGAATATATAATTATTGTATTTTCCGGAAAAAAGAACTATAATTATTTTATTTTTCCGGAAAGTTTATATTTTCCGGTTTTTCCGTATAATAATTTTCCGGAAATGTTTTTAATATTATATTTTTCCGGAAAATAAATATATTATATTTTCGGGAAACAATTATATTATTCCTTTGTATTTTCCGGAAAACATACAGCTTTTTAGGTATTTATTTAATATTTTTTAAAACAAAAAAAGAATGTCTTTATCATTATCAACATTTATTCAAGTGCCTCCAAATTCTGATTTTACAATTTACAATTTGCCTTATGGAGTTTTCTCTACTTTGGATAATGTAAAAGGAAATTAAAATTTAAAAAAAAAATAAAATTATTTTTAAAGCAAAAGAAAAGAATTGGTGTGGCTATTGGAGATGAAATTTTGGATTTGTCTGCGATTTTGAATTTATTTGATGGTCCTTTGCTGTCTAAAAATTTGAATGTTTTTAAAGAGGTGATTTTTAAGTATTATTTTCCGGAATTATTTGTATATTCCGGAAATAATTTTTATATTTTCCGGAAATATAGTTTCCGGAAGGTTTTGTATATTCTGAATGATTATTTAATTTTCCGGAATATTTTTAATGATTTGTATTTTCCGGAACGATACGATAATTGTATGTAGTTTCCGGAAGGTTTTGTATTTTTGTTTCTGGAATATTTTGTATTTTCCTGGAGGTTATATTTTCCGGAGATTAATTATTATATTTTCCGGAATTTTTTAAATAATTTTTTATTTTCCGGAAAACACATTAAAAATTAAATTTTAATTTTTGGGAGTCTTTAAATGCTTTTATGTCACTTGGACGTCAAGCATGGCTAGAAGCAAGGGAAACATTACAATCAATTCTGTCTGATACTAATTCTGTTCTGAGGGACGATGATAATTTGAGGTGTTTTTAAATTTTTTTGAATTTTCTTTTTGTATATTCCGGAAAAAGTGATTTTTGGCTTGGGTTTCCATGACTTTCTGATCCATAACTTTTTTGTTTCTTTTCTGATTTGAAAGGTTCTATTACCAATCTATAGCTCTGGATATGGGCGTTTTTTTCCTAATTGGATCAATCTTATCAGAAAATTCTTTAAAAAGTTATGGCCTGATAAGCACACCCAATCGTGATTTTCTATTTTTATACAGGTGTAACTTTTTTTCTGGCTATTTTATCGGATTGGTTCTAACAGAAAAAAGAATCCGAATATTCAGAGCTTTTAATTAACACAAAAACTATTCTAAACGGATCATAATCAAGAAAGATACAGCTGAAAAAAGATCAAAAATCACGATTGCGCGCACTTATCCGGCTATAACTTCCTAATGGACATTCCGATCAAATTTTGTCTTATAGAAAAAAGAATGGGGACATTCAGAGCTTTCGATTAGTATAAAAATTGTTCAGAACGGATTATTGTAAAAAGTCATAATTTTTCTTATTTTTTATAGGAAACTTGCTTTCGTTAACAGAAGCAAGGCTACAATGCATTTACCTGCAAATATAGGTGACTACACAGATTTTTATTCTTCTATTCATCATGCAACAAATGTTGGTATAATGTTTAGAGGAAAGGATAATGCTCTGCTTGAAAATTGGTAGGTATAAAAGTTTTGCTTCAATATTCTGCTTCACTTTTCGGAACAAGCTTCCTTTATTTTATATTTTCCGGAAGAAATATTACTAGTACTTATTTTTCCGGAAAGAGTTTACTTTTACGGAATGAATATAACTCACAATCAGAATTTGAATTTATTTTCCGGAATGAATATAACTCACACTCATAACTTCCTTTTCCGGATTTGAATTTGAATTTATTTTCCGGAATGAATATAACTCACACTCATAACTTCCTTTTCCGGATTTGAATTTGAATTTATTTTCCGGAATGAATATAACTCACACTCATAACTTCCTTTTCCGGATTTGAATTTGAATTTATTTTCCGGAATGAATATAACTCACACTCATAACTTCCTTTTCCGGATTTGAATTTGAATTTATTTTCCGGAATGAATATAACTCACACTCATAACTTCCTTTTCCGGATTTGAATTTGAATTTATTTTCCGGAATGAATATAACTCACACTCATAACTTCCTTTTCCGGATTTGAATTTGAATTTATTTTCCGGAATCAATATAACTCACACTCATAACTTCCTTTTCCGGATTTGAATTTGAATTTATTTTCCGGAATGAATATAACTCACACTCATAACTTCCTTTTCCGGATTTGAATTTGAATTTATTTTCCGGAATGAATATAACTCACACTCATAACTTCCTTTTCCGGATTTGAATTTGAATTTATTTTCCGGAATGAATATAACTCACACTCATAACTTCCTTTTCCGGATTTGAATTTGAATTTATTTTCCGGAATCAATATAACTCACACTCATAACTTCCTTTTCCGGATTTGAATTTGAATTTATTTTCCGGAATGAATATAACTCACACTCATAACTTCCTTTTCCGGATTTGAATTTGAATTTATTTTCCGGAATGAATATAACTCACACTCATAACTTCCTTTTCCGGATTTGAATTTGAATTTATTTTCCGGAATGAATATAACTCACACTCATAACTTCCTTTTCCGGATTTGAATTTGAATTTACAGGGTGGGGCAAAAGTTCGGCGACAAATGTTTTTAATGAAATTTATTTAAAAAAAAGAATTTATTTAACAAACAAATAATAAAATACAATCAATAGAATATAATAATCATCTTATTTAAGTAATTGCTCAAAATGACCACCCCTGACTGAAATACACGCATTCAAACGCTTATGAAAGTTATTCACAATGGTCGCGCATTGTTCGTCGGTTATTTCGTTCCAAGCCCGCTCCAAAACAACTTTCAGTTGCTCTGTTGTGGCGTATCGTTTTCGGCACACTTTTTGCTCCAGAATTGACCAAATAGAATAATCCATCGGATTTAAATCCGGTGAGTTAGAAGGCCAAATGTCTTTCCCCCAAAAGCCAGGAAACAGCTCCTCACAGAGCTGGATTGTTGTTTTGGCTCCATGCGCGGGTGCCCAATCCTGCTGAAGCGAGAATTGGTTTTCACCGAAATGCTCCCGTGCCCATGGATGAACTACCCCCCTCAGAATGTCATTTTGATAGACTGTAGCATTAATTTTTACGTTTCTTTCAATAAAGACAAGTGGTGTTTTTCCGGTTGCGCAGATGCCGCCCCAGACCATTACCGATCGAGGAAAAAGGCTTCGTTCAACAAGCTTTGCAGCAAGGCCTTTCTTTCTTAGCAATTGTCGATGATTTTGACTATTGTGGCGCGGTTGGATCGTAAAAATCTTCTCGTCAGTGAAAAGCACTTTGTTAAGGCGACCAGCTGCGACCAGCCGTTTAATCTTTCGACATTTCTGAAGCCGCTGATGCTTCATACGATCGTTAAGGAAATGTCCGCGGCTGATCTTGTAGCTACGAAGTCCAAGCTTCACTTTGACAATTCTTCGGAGGCTCCTCGAGCTAATTCCGAGATCTGAGGACATTTTTCGCATCGATTGTTCCGAAAAACGGCGAATTCGGCATCTGACCTTGTTCACGTTCTCAGGCGTAACTGCGGTTACCGGCCGGCCACTACGAGGGCGGTCCTGAGTATTACCAAGCTCCTGATAGCGTTTAATTGTTTTGGAAACTAACTTACGACAGATATCGAGCCGTCTTGCGATGTCACATTGTCGAACATTTTTCAAATACAAAGAAATAATAGAATCACGATTATTTGACATTCTGTAAAATTTTTACTTTAAGAGATAGGAAAAAATTTTCAAGATAAAATTTGTAGAGCGCGAATCATAAAATATTGGAAAAATAAAGAAAAAGCAAAATATAAAATAAATTTTAAGAAAGAGCAAAATAAAATTTGTCGCCGAACTTTTGCCCCACCCTGTATTTTCCGGAATGAATATAACTCACACTCATAACTTCCTTTTCCGGATTTGAATTTGAATTTATTTTCCGGAATGAATATAACTCACACTCATAACTTCCTTTTCCGGATTTGAATTTGAATTTATTTTCCGGAATGAATATAACTCACACTCATAACTTCCTTTTCCGGATTTGAATTTGAATTTATTTTCCGGAATGAATATAACTCACACTCATAACTTCCTTTTCCGGATTTGAATTTGAATTTATTTTCCGGAATGAATATAACTCACACTCATAACTTCCTTTTCCGGATTTGAATTTGAATTTATTTTCCGGAATGAATATAACTCACACTCATAACTTCCTTTTCCGGATTTGAATTTGAATTTATTTTCCGGAATGAATATAACTCACACTCATAACTTCCTTTTCCGGATTTGAATTTGAATTTATTTTCCGGAATGAATATAACTCACACTCATAACTTCCTTTTCCGGATTTGAATTTGAATTTATTTTCCGGAATGAATATAACTCACACTCATAACTTCCTTTTCCGGATTTGAATTTGAATTTATTTTCCGGAATGAATATAACTCACACTCATAACTTCCTTTTCCGGATTTGAATTTGAATTTATTTTCCGGAATGAATATAACTCACACTCATAACTTCCTTTTCCGGATTTGAATTTGAATTTATTTTCCGGAATGAATATAACTCACACTCATAACTTCCTTTTCCGGATTTGAATTTGAATTTATTTTCCGGAATGAATATAACTCACACTCATAACTTCCTTTTCCGGATTTGAATTTGAATTTATTTTCCGGAATGAATATAACTCACACTCATAACTTCCTTTTCCGGATTTGAATTTGAATTTATTTTCCGGAATGAATATAACTCACACTCATAACTTCCTTTTCCGGATTTGAATTTGAATTTATTTTCCGGAATGAATATAACTCACACTCATAACTTCCTTTTCCGGATTTGAATTTGAATTTATTTTCCGGAATGAATATAACTCACACTCATAACTTCCTTTTCCGGATTTGAATTTGAATTTATTTTCCGGAATGAATATAACTCACACTCATAACTTCCTTTTCCGGATTTGAATTTGAATTTATTTTCCGGAATGAATATAACTCACACTCATAACTTCCTTTTCCGGATTTGAATTTGAATTTATTTTCCGGAATGAATATAACTCACACTCATAACTTCCTTTTCCGGATTTGAATTTTAATTTATTTTCCGGAATCAATATAACTCACACTCATAACTTCCTTTTCCGGATTTGAATTTTAATTTATTTTCCGGAATCAATATAACTCACACTCAAGCATCAAGCTTTTTGCTTCAAAAAGATGTTTCCGGAATTTTTTAAAAAATTTTCAGGAAGCATCTTCCTGTTGGCTACCATGGAAGAGCTTCAAGTATTGTTGTTTCTGGAGTGCCTGTTCGTCGTCCATGGGGGCAAGTAAAAGCAGATGAAGCAAAAGAACCCGAATTCGTTCCAAGTAGATTAATGGATTTTGAATTGGAAATGGCTTTCTTTGTTGGTGGAAAAGAAAATGAATTGGGGAAACCTATACCTATTGAAAATATTGAAGAACATATTTTTGGAATGGTTTTGATGAATGATTGGAGTGGTGGGGGAATTTTTTTAGTTAAAAAAAAGTATTAAAATGAAGCATGCTTCACTTACTAAACAAGTTTCCCCTCTTGCATGTGTTTTCCGGAAGGAAATAAAATTATTATTTATTTTTCCGGAAGGAGTATAACTCTAAATTTTATTTTTTCCGGAACAGAATTTGTATATTCTTCCGGAAAGAATATAATTCTAAATTCCGGAAAAATAAATTTAGAGTTATATTATTTCCGGAAAAATTAATAAATTCGGTTCCGGAAAAATTAAAATCAGAGTTATATTCCTTCCAGAACATTTATAAATCTTTCCGGAAACAATATAACTCTAAATTTGTTTTCCGGAAAAATTATAATTAATTTATTTTTTAATCGTTGTGTTTTCCGGAAAATTCTTTAGTAAAGTTTTGAAGCAAGTAATTATTTTCTGAAGCATTCTTATTTTTTAAACATTTTTATTTAAGCAAGTCTTTATCCAATTGAAATTTTTAATTTCAAATTTTTAAAATTTAAAGCTAGAGATATACAAAAATGGGAATATATTCCACTTGGACCTTTCCTCAGCAAAAGTTTTGCTACAAATATATCGCCATGGATAGTAACGATGGAAGCTCTTAAACCTTTTATTGTTGCTAATACAAAACAAGATCCACCTCCAATGAAGCATTTACATCATTCTGATGATTTTAATTTTGATATTGAATTGGCTGTTTCTATAAAACGTGAGGAAAATTTTGATTTTTTTTGGAGGAAGGGGGGCTTCTTAGTTGTCCATATTTTCGTTTTTAACTTTTTCAATTAGCATTCGTTTCGAATAGTTCTTGTATCAATCGAAAGCTCTAGTTGTGCGTATTCTTTTTCATATTAAGACAATCCTGCTTCGGAGTATCCGGAAAAAAGTTATAGCCTTATAAATAACAAAAATCACGATTATTCATACATAAATATTCGTAACTTTTTAGAGACTAATCGGTTTTGATCATCCTTTTAGAAGAATCAGCACATTTAGACCTTTCGATTGATATAAAATTTATTACAAATGGTTGAAGTTGAAGAAAGTTATAGGTAAAAGAAAGTCTCATGGTCTTCATAGAATGAATGACGGTTTTTTTAAATTTTCCGGAAGGAATATAACTCAGAATTTTCCGGAAAGAGTATAATTAATTTATTTTTGTGTTTTTCCGTTAAATTCTTTAATTTTCTTCTTCAATTTTTAGCTAAAGACAGTAATGTAGACTATACTCTTTCCAAAACAAATTTTAAATATTTATATTGGACAATAAAACAACAATTGGCTCATCATGCAAGCAATGGATGCAATATACGCCCAGGGGATTTAATGGGGTCTGGGACAATTTCTGGACCGGTAAATTAAATAAAAATTAAAAAATTTTGATTTTTTAGACACCCGATTCTTTGGGATGTTTATTAGAACTTTCTTGGCGTGGTCAAAATCCTGTTAAATTGGGTGATAGTGGACAAACTAGAAAGTTTTTGGTTGATGGAGATGAAGTTGCTATAAAAGGTAGAGAAAACATACTTAAATTTAGTATGTATAACAATAATTTGTGTTTTCCGGAAGACCAGAATTTAAAATCAGAATTTAATTTTCCGGAAATATATTCACAAATTTATTTCCGGATATTATATATTTTCGGTATGTTTACTCTATTTAATATTTTCCGGAAAATTATAACTACCGAGAAACTTTCCGGAAGGTAATATAAATACTATATTCCCGTAAAGTTTATACTGTATATTTCCTGATAAGTTAAGTATTATATATTTCCGGAAAGTATTTAATTTAATATATACCTATATATTTTCCGGAAAATTATACTACTTTATTGTTTCCGGAAGTTATATATTTTTAAACAGATGGACACACGAGTCTTATTTTAAATTTGTATTTTCAGGTTTCTGTTACGATAAGAAAACAAATATCCGAGTTGGTTTTGGAGAATGCCGTTCGATGCTTTTGCCTGCCTTATAAACAAATTGAGATATAATCTAATAAAAGTTGCTGTGATAGATAAATATAAACATTTACTTAATTCAGCTGAAAAATCTATTTAATCTGTTTTTATGTTCTAATTTATAAATTTGATATTTTGTATTGGTGATCTTCTGGATTTTTTAGAAATTTTAATTTTTCAAAAAATCGATACTAATCGATAAAATCAATACTAATCGATATATCGATTTTTTAAAATTTTTAAAAATATTAATTTTTCAAAAAATTGATACTAATCGATAAAATCAATACTAATCGATATATCGATTTTTTAAAATTTTTAAAAATATTAATTTTTCAAAAAATTGATACTAATCGATAAAATCAATACTAATCGATATATCGATTTTTTAAAATTTTTAAAAATATTAATTTTTCAAAAAATCGATACTAATCGATAAAATCAATACTAATCGATATATCGATTTTTTAAAATTTTTAAAAAATTTCAATTTTTCAAAAAATCGATACTAATCGATAAAATCAATACTAATCGATATATCGATTTTTTAAAATTTTTAAAAAATTTCAATTTTTCAAAAAATCGATACTAATCGATAAAATCAATACTAATCGATATATCGATTTTTTAAAAATTTTTAAAAAATTTTAATTTTTCAAAAAATCGATACTAATCGATAAAATCAATACTAATCGATATATCGATTTTTTAAAATTTTTAAAAATATTAATTTTTCAAAAAATCGATACTAATCGATAAAATCAATACTAATCGATATATCGATTTTTTAAAATTTTTAAAAAATTTCAATTTTTCAAAAAATCGATACTAATCGATAAAATCAATACTAATCGATATATCGATTTTTTAAAAATTTTTAAAAAATTTTAATTTTTCAAAAAATCGATACTAATCGATAAAATCAATACTAATCGATATATCGATTTTTTAAAATTTTTAAAAAATTTCAATTTTTCAAAAAATCGATACTAATCGATAAAATCAATACTAATCGATATATCGATTTTTTAAAATTTTTAAAAATATTAATTTTTCAAAAAATCGATACTAATCGATAAAATCAATACTAATCGATATATCGATTTTTTAAAATTTTTAAAAAATTTCAATTTTTCAAAAAATCGATACTAATCGATAAAATCAATACTAATCGATATATCGATTTTTTAAAAATTTTTAAAAAATTTTAATTTTTCAAAAAATCGATACTAATCGATAAAATCAATACTAATCGATATATCGATTTTTTAAAATTTTTAAAAAATTTCAATTTTTCAAAAAATCGATACTAATCGATATATCGATTTTTTAAAAATTTTTAAAAAATTTTAATTTTTCAAAAAATCGATACTAATCGATAAAATCAATACTAATCGATATATCGATTTTTTAAAAATTTTTAAAAAATTTTAATTTTTCAAAAAATCGATACTAATCGATAAAATCAATACTAATCGATATATCGATTTTTTAAAATTTTTAAAAAATTTCAATTTTTCAAAAAATCGATACTAATCGATAAAATCAATACTAATCGATATATCGATTTTTTAAAAATTTTTAAAAAATTTTAATTTTTCAAAAAATCGATACTAATCGATAAAATCAATACTAATCGATATATCGATTTTTTAAAAATTTTTAAAAAATTTTAATTTTTCAAAAAATCGATACTAATCGATAAAATCAATACTAATCGATATATTGAATCCTCAAATTATTTCACAAAAGATAAGAATTTATTTAAAAAAATAAAAATGACAACCGATATTCTAAAAATTAAACATAATAAGTTGGGGAAACAATTAGATCAGTGAGTATTTGTAGCTGATCTTCTGTAAATTCGAGCTTGTGCTCGTGCCATTCGTCTTGATGGGTGCGCTAAAAATCAAATTATTTTATTAATTTATGATTAAACATTTTCTCTAAAAAATAGACAAATAAAAAATTAAAACACGCTAAACGGATTCGGACCTTCAACTACCAACCCTATAAACCTAACTCACTAACCAATACACCATAAGGATCAATGGGTGTTTAATTTAATTCGATATAAATAATAATTAATATTTTTCCGGAAAAACCAGAATTTAATTAAAACATTTTCCGGAAAAACCAGAATTTAATTAAAACATTTTCCGGAAAAACCAGAATTTAATTAAAACATTTTCCGGAAAAACCAGAATTTAATTAAAACATTTTCCGGAAAAACCAGAATTTAATTACAACATTTTCCGGAAAAACCAGAATTTAATTAAAACACTCCTCAAAAATCAGAATTTAATCAAAACATTTTCCTGAAAAATCAGAATTTAATTGAAACATTCTACGAAAGTACCAAAATTTATTTACAACATTTTCCGGAAAAATCAGAATTTAATCAAAACAAATTGTAGTTAATTTCCGGAAAAACACAAACTTAAATATAAATAAAAACCACACCTTAAACTCGGAGAGTGCCCGTTTCACGGTTCCATAAATCGGTTGGGGCTCAGTTGCATGTTTGCACAAATGCATCAACACTTTTGGCAGAAAAGAAGGGACAGAATAAGGAAAAGCTAAAACAATAGAAGCCAAAGCTAGTACTCCGCTGTGTCTTTCAATTGACTGCTTGGGTGAAGAAGCGAGGGTTTCTGCGCTTTTAACAAGTTGTTCATCTACAGAAATAATTCCAGCTCGAACTAAATATTTTTAAAAATTAGATTTTTGACGAAAAATAAATTTAAGAAAAATTTCCTACCCAATCCACTCAAAGTTTCCGCACTAGCCTCGCGAACTTCAAAGCGAACATCAACCAAAAGTTTGAGAAGTAACGATTGTAAAAAATCAAAAGTTCCAGTTTTAGCCCGTAGAATAAAAAGATTTGTGAAAATGAAGACTTGTAAAAATCTGAGAAGTCTGAAAAAAATTAAAAACTTTTGACCAAATAAAAAAATCCCTCACGTTATTTTTGCCTTCCACGACCCTTTCTCTTGTATAGTCTGGCAGACTTCGAATAATACATTTATTTGATCATTGGAAATAATAGAAAGGCCCATATTTTGTACAATATGTGTAATACAGCTTGCTTGGAGTTCTTCATCTCTAAAATAATATTTTTTAATTAAAATGGGATGTATTTTTTGTAAGAAAATACTCAAAAAATTTTTCGAAAGGTATGCAACAGGGCTGGGCGGCTAAAAAATGTGAAAAAATCGAAAGATTCGAAACGCAAAATTAGCCCAGTCCTGGTATGAAAGCAGATGTGATTCTTGAACCATGAACTTGCTCAATGACCTCATTTTTTTAGTTTAGTCCAAAAGATTAGGGTCTCAGCTGAAAAAAGGAAGCCCAAGATGTCAATTATTCTACTAATTCTTGCAATATCCCTTATTCTCTACTTCAAAACCTTTCAAAAAAATTTTCTACTTAAAAGACTCCTCACGTTTTATCATTCGCATAATGTGTAAATAAAGGCAATAGCTTCATTGAACTTGTATCCAAATGTGTTCCATACATTGATTTAAGAGAATAGAGGAAGGAAATTAGTGTTAAAAAGTGAAGCTTTTCTTTCTTGAATTCATCTTTTCCATTTAACAATACAGAGGTTGAATCAACATGTTTTATTGACGAATCATTGTTTTTGAAATTTTGTGATTGGATTGAATTTATTGCTTCATTCCACAGAGGTTCAAGCTGTTGAAATAAAAAAAATTATTTTGTTAATTATTTATATATTCAGGATGTTTAAGTAATATTTTAAGAATTTTTGGAGGCTTTAAAGGACTTTCCTGGGGGGTTTTTGGCTTGAAGATTCCTTTTTTGAATAAAATATAACGAGAAAACCCCTCTAGATACTACCAAACAAATACCAAAATAAAAATATGGTTTATTTTAGAATATATAGCTTAATTCCAATGGTTCAGGATGAAGAAGGAAATAAAAATATCTTTATTTCGAAGTTAAAGATAAAAAAAGCATATTTACCTTTCCATTAATTTCATCAATAACTTGACTAATTTTCAAATATTTAAATTTCTCGTCAAGTTCAGGATAATAAAAAGCATCTTTATGATAGAAAAATGCACATGTAGCTAAACAACTGTAAAAAATTTTTATTTAATTTTTAGAAAAAGAATTTCCCCCAACCTTCCAGCACGCTGACGAACATTTTGGAATGTATTATCAGTTAATTTAATACAATAATTAGCTAAACGTTTCCATTCAAAAGGTATAAGCCATTCAAATTCGTTTAAAGCAGATTGTAAAAGATAAATTCTTCTGAAAAAATTTTTAGGATTTTTAAAAATTAAAAAATTAATTTTCTCTCACGTTTTAATTTGGCTACTAATATCTGTTGGTTTATTAATTAATTGGAAAAGTAATTCTATCAACCATCCAATTTGACGAGGTTCACAACTTCCACACTAAAAAATTAGAAAATTAAAAAAAATTTGTGAAAAATCAATGCTTTTTCAGTTAATAAATAGGAAATGAAAGGGCTCGAACCTTTAACTACTACAAAAACAAGCCTAACACACTAACCAATACACCACAAATAACTATCTTCTAAATGTTCCCGGAAAAATCAGATTTTAATCAAAACATGTTTCTGAAAAAACGTAACAGAAAACCAGAATTTATATAAAACATTTTCCGGAAAGATCAGAATTTAATCAAAACATGTTTCCAGAAAAACATAACATAAAACCAGAATTTACAAAAAACATTTTCAGAAAAAATCAGATTTCAATCAAAACATGTTTCCAGGAAAACATAACATAAAACCAGAATTTACAAAAAAACATTTTCTGGAAAAATCAGAATTTAGTTAAAACATGCTTCGAAAAATTCAGAATTTAGTTAAAACATGTTTCGAAAAATTCAGAATTTAATTAAAACATTTTCCGAAAAAATCAGAATTAAATTCAAACAAAACATACAATTGTTGCAATACATGTTCCCCAATATTTTTCATTTTCTTGAGGCACTTCCAACAATGTTGTTTCC